AACAGGTTAAGGATGTTAAACATTTTCGAGAAGAAATATTTGATTGGGACTATTTCATGTAGCCATATCACACAACGGCAGCACATTCAATTTCGGTAACATCACTCAAAGATCATCAAAAAATAACTAAAACGTACAATGATTTATGATCGCACAACTGCATGCACATTAAATTAATAACAATTTATATTTTCAATCCACACATAGCATGTTAGCACACCCAGCGAAGAAATCCCATCGTCTTTGTTCAGAAGATTTTTAGTTTTTCATGCTGACTTGTGCTCTTTGTTTGTCTTTTTTATTCTGACCAATGTTGTTTTCGAGTTTAAAATTTTCGTTTAACCCGTTATTGCCAGGCATATGTTGGTGATGAGGAAACACTGCGTTCGTTGTATCTCTGTATCGAAATCTTCTGTCGATTACCATTCAAAAAGCATTTAATATTTTCACCGTTTGTTATTTGAATTAGAAATCAACAATAAATTTATACAACAGATGTAAGTTCAATTTGACTTCATGATAAATAAAACAGGATAAAGTAATTGACTATGACGAGTAAAAATTCAAGCACAGATTCAAGACAATCGTCGTCTATATACAGTTGTTGTCTTTTACTTTCGACAACGTTTGTTTAACAGTTCGGATAAAAATGGTTAGATGTACATAAGTTTTTGAATACTTCGCGCCAAATCTCAAAGCATAAAAGGACGCGTCGATCTTTTCGAAAAGAGGGCAGGCGCACAAAGCGTTACGTTCGTTCCTCGGTCTTCGGCGCGGTTACGTCATATTTTGAACAAGTCCAGACCTGCCCGGCTCATCGAGAAGAAGGCGACGGGATTGCTTTGTTTGTTTTTAATAACGTAGAACTCACGTGAGAGTTGATGGCAGTCAGACGGTTTGGGAATTTTGTTTGGTTTTCTAGCACGAGGTGTTGGCCCGTTTCTTTCTTGTTGGAGCGTTTATGGTGTTTTATTTTGCAACAATAAAGTTATTAATTGCATTTTGTCAGGTTGTTTCAGTAAATTGTAGTAGTTATAGAACGAGTTGACACGCATTTGAGGAGCAAAAAAAGACACGGTACGGTACCTGAATACGGACCAGGATATTGTGCAATGTCTGCATGCAGGAATGTCAGAACTGCAGAATGAATGTGCGGTTGCATAAATTACAAATAGTCCAAATACAAAAGATTACACATTCTTACATAACATGCGATACAGCTTTAACACAGAAGTAAAGTGCAGAAGTTTACCTGTAACTATTATTTGAGTGGCAACTGACTGTGATGACCCCGAACTGCCAAGAGACCGTATCGTCAGATCGTTGTCTCCCAGTCATACACATAAGCATCTGTATTTTAGTATTATTTATATATGTTTGCATATATTGTTCATGGTTTGACGAATAAAATAATTTCTCTCCCTCCTTAATACCGGTAATGCTTCATCGTTGACATGATGCTACCATTAATATTATTATGATTGCAATGCGAAATTGCCCCTAAAAATTCTCCGTAGACAGGTCAGCAGGTAGAGTGATCTCAATTCAGTTGTTTTTTTTCACTTTTTTCCTCATTTTCATCTTTTTCTCAGTTTTCTTGGTCACATTTTTTCTATTTCATTTGTCTCCTACTTTGTTTGGATTGACACTTACAGTTTACACCATGGCTCATTGTATTTATACATGCCTTTTTATTACGAAATACCACTATTCTGCTATTGCACTAATAATTTATCTGTTTTATTCAACCTTGAGACGTAATACTGCTGTACTGTAATAGGTATAACCATGACAGCATGATTAGTATTACACAGCGTACTTGCATACTCTCCCATGAGGGATATGTCAGTATGTGTATGGAAGCTCTATAACCAATAAAACTAATCAAATAATTGCAGATCGAATACAATTACAGTACATTCGAACCCATAAATTTGCACCCGTATATCCGCGGGTTCAATCTATATGGGGATGCTAAAATCCATGGGTTAGGGTTAGTATGGGTTCAAATATCCGTAAAAAAAAAATTTCCATAGGTGCAATTGTTGTGGGTTCAAATGTAATGAAACCGTAATATCTTTTCAAACCAGCATCCTCTCTTTCTCTGGTAAAGTTAATAATATGTTGATGGAGTGCGGTATAATCGCATACAAAAATGATACATTTTGTTTCACTATAACCCTACACTATTCCGTCAAATCTGCAAATTGAGAAAGCCACTCCATTTTGAAATAAACTATAAGCAATGGATACATAATTTGCATGACGAGATATTGCATATTTGCCATTACGCCGATGAATACTATTCGGTGGGCTTTACATGTGCAGATAGTTATGCATGTTAGTATTTCTTTTGTGGGGTGGCTTCATACCAATGCCCTGTATTCTTAATTTTAGTCCGTTAATCAATACTGCCATATGAGATGCCAGGCTGTCTCAGGCTTATATCTGTATATTGACAGTCCTTCCCTCAGTTTATTGTCTTATTTCTTCCTGTATTTTTGGCACTGGACTTGATGTTTTTCTGACTACTGAACTATGCAACCGCCATCTTTCTGCGTCCCTTGTATGAGTAAAGAAAAAGATGAATCCATGGGGTTCTGATGTGACAACATCATTATGCTGTTATGTGAAGAAAGTCAACTTAAAAAAACACAATTTGAGGGTGTTGTGATGCGGATGTTTGATTATTTTATTCTAATTACCTGCATAATATTTTTTCAAATAGCTAACCTGTTTTTGCTAAATCAGTGATGAGTTGGCAGTTTTTCCCTGCCAACTGTTCCTTTATTCAAAATAAGCTTTGAGGATGATGCTTTACATTATGCTCATGAAATATTGTTTTTAAATATCATGTCTATGTGCACATATTTTGGGATTCGATCCCCAAATGCAATTTTCCATGTACAGTTGTTGATTATTTTATTCTAATTACCTGCATAATATTTTTCAAATAGCTAACCTGTTTTTGCTAAAATCAGTCCAATTGGCACTAGAGATATCTCTCTCCTACAAATGTTTTGGTCATATGTTTCATCACGCATTTAAGTGAATTTTGGGCCTCTTGTTCTTGGTTCCTGAGAATATTATTGGTTTCATTTTTTCCAACTTCGAAATCACGAACTGTCATCTTTAACGAAAATAGTAATCCAATCTTTACTTATTATATTTTTTTGGAGTTATCAATTTACTCCTCTTATATCAAGGAAATTCTTGACCACTGGTGTGTATTTATTTCATCTGCTTCAATAGGCAATGTGATGAGCGTGAATGAAGCAGTCTTGGTAAATCATGGTATTTGGCACTTGTGTAAGAAAGTTGATTGGTAAATGTATTGATATTTTGTAAAGAAATTGATGCTAGACTTGAAAGTAGTTCAAGTTAATATAATTACGAAAAAGCTATGAGTTTAACGTAGCACAGTAGTTGAATGAAAGCTGTAAAAAAAATTGTGGCCGTGGTGAAATTATGCTTTTCAGTTAATCATAGGACACATTATTACTTAACGATTTTAATCGGTAAGTATGTTGATAGGTATTTGTCTGTCTGTCTGTTAGATGCACGCGATATCTCACGAAAACGAGATTGAATCTGCTCCAGATTTTTCATGTGCATTCATCATATCTCGGACCAGAAGCCTATTGATTTCGGGCGAATTATGTCGTATAATCAGCGAGTTATTAAAAAATTAGTGATGGGACACAATGTGTCACTATGGAGTAAAAGCGCCGTTTTGGGGATCCCCTAACTTTTGATCGATAAGTCCTCGGTCACTGACCGATATTCTCGTCATTTTATTGATGAATAAAATTTAAACTTTCATATTTCTCAACCCTTTAAAATCATAACATAGTTATGTTTGATTCTGAAATGGCATTAAAAACATAATTATGGTAAGCCTACTCTATGTGGAAAACAACCAGCTTTAGCCGTTGGAAGTTTGATTACTCATTCCTTAGTAAACATTTGCTTTCTCTTGAGCCTGCCAATGAGAAATTGGAAAGCGGTCGTTCTTCATGGCATTTAATTTTAAATATGATTGTGGTGACCCTTTACAATATAACTTATGTTTGAGGATTCTGTTTACTTTTCTAAGCCAAACTTCTTGAACAAATAAATTTAATTGTGCCAGCCAACGGAATTCGCACAAATCAAAATAGTAAATTTGCGCGGGTGTAAATTGTCTCTGTTTCAAAATGTCTTGGGAGTGGCCGACTTTGTGCGATGTAGTATGGTAAATATACCTGTGGCTGGGACAGGTCCAGACGCAAGTCTGTGAGTAATGATTTTTACAAGTGTTAGGCAAGCGAGAACATTAAAGTAGTTGATAATAGTAAATCATTCTGGTTTCCCTGAAGGGTTTCTCATTTTTACATTTAGCGGAAGTCAAATATTTGCTTCCTTTATAGCCGTGTTGTTTACTGTGTGAAATTGCAGGCTTGAAATTTTATGCCATTTTATATTTGTTTGGTTGTTATACATACAAGCCAAATCGTTTGACCGTTTACCAAAAGGCGCAAAGATAGAAATTTAATTACAGATGCGGGAGGTACAGTAAATACATTTGCATTGCAATTTCAGAATTTGTTGGCAGCCTATTAAAGAACATTAGCCCAAGGTGAGAAGTATGTTTGAGGGATTTTTTCGCAAGTGTTGGAATTTTGAAATAGTTGAGTAGTGTCTTGTCGCATCAGGGAATAGTGAAAATCGGATAATTTGCTATTACTAATATACTCGGAATTAACGTTTTCAAATATAGGAAATTTAATTCTTCTAAGTTGGGTCGGGTTTAATTTTAAAAACCTGTCAATAATTCATAAAAATTTCTTGTCAAATGCACAAAAAACTAAATTATACCCAATTTTTTAATGTATTCAGTTATATTATTCAATCTAGACGTTGTGAGCATTGGCAACTAACTTCTCATAACCACATTTGATTAGTAATGATTTATAACAAATTTGAATACTTGAAAATGTATATAAATCAATGCTTTTTATATAATCAGATAATGTTTTCCAGATCCATAGCCAGTATTATTAGGTTAGATAACTGGAACTGATGCTCTGAAGTGGTTCTTGATTTGCTCAAACAATACTATGCGGTCAAAAATATTATTGTTAGTTGTTCTGATCTCGCACATATTCACTCAGGTGAGTGAGTTTAATACTTATCTTTCTGAGGACTTGACGTTTTGAAATTGTTCTTCAAGTTGAAAATTTAAGTAGATGTGGAAATTGAAATAGTAAGCCATATGTATGGGTGCTCAAGTATATCTTTGAAGATGTTTATAAGCTTCCTTATGCTTATGTTTGAACACTTTGACTGTGCTTAGTAAAAGTGTTGAGTGATCTCCAAAATCGCTGTGCAAATTACACAATAAGAGGGTTTTAGGGTCGATTGTTGAACATTTGAAAACATAATATTTGAAAAAAAATCACAAAGAAATAGATGCATTTAGCTGGTTTTCTAATCAAAGTTTGAAGTCACATTCAAGTATTTCGAAAAATGGTTCGAAAATCAAAAATATATATTTTTCTTAAGCTTTTTTTTTCATTCTAGTTTAGGTTGAAGCCCTCATATTTTGGTGGAAACAGTGGTTGTTATAATATTTTGCTTGAAAGGGATATTTTCTATTATTTACATAGAATTGTGAATTATCCTAGCACACAGATAAGATAATACACATTTGTCTTTGATAAAAAAATTAGTCTCATTGAATTCTCTTTTTTAGTTGGTAGTTGCTACTGAAGATTGCAAAGGTGAAAACCAATATCTGGATTCAAATGATGGAAAGTGCAAACAATGTCAAAAATGTCCACCTGGTCAGCAACCTAAAGGAGTAAGTTTATTATAATCTTTAGAAATTTTTTTTTTCAATTGATTTTTTTTTCGATAATTGATTTATACTTATATTTTTCCCATTCAGCATTGTGGATATGGTGAGAAACACAGCGGATATAAATGTGAGAGTTGTCCTGGCAATACTTTTTCCAATCAACATGACTATAATTTGTGTGTCGTTTGTAAGGTATGTACTATATATTATGACAGTTTGAACAAATTGTCTGACATGGCGCAAACTAATTTTAAATTTGTGGCAAAATATCTTCTATTTACTAAATAAATTTTCTCATGTAGAACTTGTTGTTGAATTTTGATAAGCGTTAAAATTTATACTGAGAGAATGGTACAACTTGCATGTAGCAGACATCCAGTCATGTTATGATAAAATATGCATGTATTGTAAAACATTTTCTTGTCATAACTCAGTGTTACTGAAGTCAAGTTTTCTTGTGATGTCTGATGTTTTCCAACTGAGAAATTCAGGTTTTTGGCTTTAGACGCCGGAAGTTTAAAAATAGCACAAACAAATTCTCTCTCTTCCTGTTTATTGCTCATGTGTTTTTTGGGACCATTCAGGCTCCAAATTTATCCTCGCAATTTCCTCTTTTTACATGAAAGCCTTGTGCAACTTGGAATTCTGTGGTAGCCAAAGAATGTAGTAGCAAAACCAATAGAGTGTGTGGTGCCTGTTTAAGCGGACATTTCAAACCAATGAAAAGTGATGGAACAATGGATGATGAATGCCATTTGTGTTCTGATGCAACAAAAGATAATCCTCAATGTAGGAGTGATCAGATATAAATTAGAATAACTGCTAGTTTATATTATTCATGTCAAATTTTACTTGGTGGTATTACCTGTAGTGGAATAAATATATTTTATTTCTGACATTTTGGAGTTACATTCCAAGCTCGCTATTTTCCTATATATGAATTTGTATAATAACTTTTTTGAATGTATTTATGGTAATTTGAAATTTTGATTTGAAACAAAATCTAGGTATAATTCAAAAAAGTGATACAACGTTACCTATTATAAGTGATACATGTTTGGGTTTTCATATCACGAAGAACCTTAATGTCTATTATCTTATATGCATATCTATAGCAACGATTGCCTTGTTTTCAGGTCAAAATCCAGAAACAGTTCCATGGAAAAAGATAGCTTTTATTGTTGGAGGAATATCAGTTTTGCTAACTTTGATTTTTGGGATTATTATATGTGTCCTGTGCAAAAAAAAAGTGATTCAATGTGGATTTAGTCCTGCTTCAGTAACAGGTAATTTGCTGAGAATTGCATTTAATTTATTGTATTTAATAAATGTTTATGTACATTTGTGCAAGTCAGATTTTATAGAGTAGGAACTATAGCATCCTCCATTTTTGGAGGTTCTCTCAAAAATTGTATTTTCTTACTTATCGTGGGTGTGAGTCGCATATAAAAAATTTGTAATGCATTAGAGTCTTTTCCAATATTGACTCAGTGAATTACTTCTTCGGTGTGTTTTGCAATCAACTTTGTTGCCGTCCGGATTAGAAATATTTGCTCCATCAACACCCTGACATAGTCGGGTTTTGAGATTAACAAGTTTCAAATGTTTTGATCACAAAAACTCTCACCATATAAATTAATATTCTCTAAGTTTTTTTTACTTTTTTTTTTAAAAGTTCTGTTTTACCAGTCACATATCATATTCATATTTTTGAAGGGAAATCCAGTCAAAAAGATAATAGTAGTCATAGGAGTAGCATTACCGAGCAATCACCTATGATGGAGAAAGCTCTTCTGACAAGTAAAGATGAGAAGGCCTGTGTACCTGGTGAGTGATGAATAAATAATGTGTATAGGTAATTCAGCCACAAAGGTAGATTCAGTAATTAACAATTGAAGGTTTTGAAATTGCATTTTACGAAGTGTAAGTCACTACTGGACTTTGTTTAATTCAATCCAACAGCTCTTTTGTTTTGTGTTGGCTAATATAGAAAATTCTTTCATGGCATGATTATATCAATTATTCAAACTTGGATGTATGCATTCAGTTGCAAAATCTTCCTTATCAGTGACACACGCAATTTAATTTTAATTGTTGCCATAGATTTGGTAGTCATTATTAAATTTAAAAATTAGCGTAATTCGACAGATTTCATCTGTAATCATGTGTTTATCTGTGTCTTATGCTTTGCAAAGTGCATTTAATTCAATCATATTAGTGCTCTTTGTAGTTGATATACAGTAGGTAGCTGCAATTTTGCTGAGATGAATTTTTGTGGATGCTCAAAATCGAATAATTTGCTTTTCCCAAAACATATTTTGTTAAAAAATAGTTTCAAATCTGAAATGTATATTGTGATATACCGTATTTCCCGGCGAATAAGTTTGCCCAGCAAATAAGACGATTCTCGTTTTTACGCCTGGAAAAAATGGGTTTTTGCACATAACCTGCCCACAAGGCGGGTAGTAAAATCGCATCAACATCGGAATCTCAAATTACCATACAAAGGCTTTTGAGCTGTCGGTGCGTTTGCGCATTGGTTAAAATAGCCTCTTTAATGACTTTTTCTTATAGCGTAATATTCAATCCATAACAACTATGGAAACTCAAACTGCCTTTCAATTTCAATCTAATTGTGTTCAACATAACTCGCGGTTGCGTCCAACATATAAGAACATTGCCGATCTAAAGTAACACGGCAATCTGCAGACATAACAATGTGAGATAAACTACCTGATTATATTTAGTTTTTATAAATAAATATACATATAAAGTGTATATATGAAACGCAAAACGAAATGTGTTGCTTCATTGATTTAATTGTGATCAATTTATTCTGCGATTGGGACAATATAAATAGTATCACTGCTCCAAATCACCAACGCAATTCGTGGACATAAACATGTACGATTATATGTTGTTTTGATTCGTATTTTTGCAATTTAAGAACATATCTGAGCTGTTGCTGCAACAATTCCGCTTTATCGCAATGCTGCCACACATTATATTGAAGATTTCACAGTAGGAAAAAAACTTAAGTCAACGATAATATCCCACTGAGTAAAATTTATGTCAAAAAATGAATTAAATACACTTTTCATTATGGTATTATACATATATCATAGTCGCGTCAGGGGAATGCTGTCGCGGAAGGTATTTTATGGTCCGAATTGAATAATAAGGCGACACCAAAAAAATGAAAATTATCATACTCGCCTAATAAGACGAACCCCCCAAAATCAGGTCAAAAATTTGGGTTTAGAAAAGCGACTTATTCGCTGGAAAATACGGTATGTCCAGTTCTGAGATTATGCTTGAAATACAAGCATATTCACATTAACTCAATTTGAAAAAACGTAAATGATGCATTTTTTATTTAATTTGAAACACTTTATAATATCAAATATAATCAACATAAACTATTCGATTTGAACATCCGTAGATGTATTTTAATTAAACTCGGTACAGATTTTTTGCAGGAGAGAAGACTTGCCTGATGCACAATTCCCCACCTATCATTGTTCATTAATTCCTCAATAGTGTTTTAATAATTGGTGCATTATAGTAGATGTACATGTATGTTTTATTGATGCAAGAGCTTGTGGTTGGGCCGGCACCTAGTGTATCAATGCTATTTGAGTCCAGTTTCTGATATCTGTCCTATGCCCATCCAAGCCTTATTTACCAAAATATTTAAAGTAATTTTATCAATTCGGAATAGGCAAAATATTTTTGGGGAATTTGGAAGTTGGACGTTTTTTGAGATCATTCACATTTGGTAAAATAATGATGTTTTTCGCTGATTGTTCTCATTATTATAATATTCCAAGTATCACCTATCGGCTAAAAAATTTGAAAGTACTGTAATTTTGTCATATAACTCCTTGAGCTTTACTGTAAACCAGATTGAAAATCTTATATAATTTAAAAAGGTTCATGCATGTCCTAGTGCAATTTATTCATTAAAGATGGTGATGGTGCGGCTCGCCCGGTTATGACGGCATCCATTTTACATTGTGCCAGGTTTAAATCTGTTACGAAGCCGCTGCCATTGGTCAGAGAGTGAAGGTGAGACGAAAATGGAGAAGTGCGAGCATGGATGCCAGAATGTCAATCTTTTCTTTTGTTCTGCTAACGATCGATCAATACTTGTATTAAATGCCTCGATAACCCTTGAAATGGAGATATTTACAAAGCCCTTACACATCTATACTATAAAGCAGCCTAAGAAAAGATTGAGTCTCTGGTCCTGTGCAAGCACTATTACAACATCGCTAATGAGTGGAATCGTTTTCACTGGAAGTGTTTTTCAAGTGATACTTCTCACTTTCATTCCACACAGAATGAAAACTTTAGAAATAAAGTTTTCGAAAAACTATCCTAAGATATAACTAACATATATATATTCAGTCAGAAATATTTTTATTCAAAATGGTCATTAAAGAATGACCCATGTATGGCAATGAAAATATTTTGACTGATATGTAACCATCTAAACACCTTTCTGGTTCAATATTTACATATATTACTTCATTCGTAGTAGATCTTACTCACCAAATTTAATAGTTTTTCATTCAGTGTCAAGTAAACCTGGTCGGTAGATTTAATTAGGCCAATTTGAAATTTTAGTTATGTTTGGAAACAATAAATTTGCTGAACTTAGATGTAACGTTTTTCTGCAACTACAAGCTAGCGTCGCCTGCCATGATGAACATCATTAGTTTTTTGTTATTCCTAGGTAAAAATAATTGAATGACTGCAAACTTTGTGTTAGGCCATACACTTTAATTAGATAGTGATCACAAAATTCCACAATCTACGGTAGAATATTAATTTGTAGACACAATATTATGATCATGCTTGCTTTGAAATTTATGCTTTTATATATAACTAACATATATTTAGTTTGATGTTGAATTTCATGTTTTTTATATTGATTTATATAGACATTTTTATCAAGTATATTTGTACATGTATGCTTTAGCGCAGTGTTTGTTTCATAAATTGGCATATTGCCATTTTCTGAATGGAATGGACAGAAGTCTTGTTATTTTACCTCAAAAATGTTGTCTATTGTTGCGCATAGTGCAAAATATAATATGCCTATAAAATTTGATGTAATCTCTACATAATTGAATAAATCAATTTTTCTTCGGATAGTCTATTTAAGAACTGCCTCCCGCCAGTTCTATTTAGGATATTTGTTTGTGGTTATGTATAAATGGTCTGTTAATCATTGACCTAATATGTCGTAATTCTTGTCTAATCGGTAATTTAATTCCTTGTTAAAGATGGAGAGGATATGGATGGACATGGAGTTCATGTTGTTCAGGATGTTGACCAGTCAATAAACAATGGTCAAGCAGAAACTGTACTCTCCAAGTCACCTTTGGTTGTCGCAAGTCAATATGAAGAAAAATCTGAAATTCAAATGAAGGCTGAACCGACTCGCAGTCCATTATTGTAAGTTTTATCTGACATTTTAATTGGTGTTAGAATAGATAGGATTTTCACATTTATGCTGACGAAAAAAAGGCTGATAATGTTGAAATCATACTGTGAACCACTGGCTGGTGCTCGGTTACTAGTCCATGAAGGGTGTTAGGATAGTTAACCAGTAATTTGTTGCTATGCACAGACTTGATGGTGGAGGAAGCTGTAACTCACCAGCGGTAACCTGAGCCACCTTACAGCAGTGAGGAGTCTCCAGAAATCCTCGTGTACATACCGTAACTATCCCGCTCATGATTCGAGCCCGCTCAGGGTAATCAGAGGTGCGATGGCAAGGGTTTTCCTTATGCTTAGTATAACACATCATACTCTGATCAAGAGAGAGGCGACTGAATGTGGTTCTTCGTTTGGCTGTACCTCCCACTCATGTTCACATTTATTCCGTCGCAGGCCTGCTGAAATTATGAGCATTGTTACTACCAACTCAAACTATTCCAACATGCCAACAGCTGAGTATGATGAAGATGTGCCAGACAATAACATGCCAACCATGCCAATGACTGGGAACAAGTAAGACCATACTTTTCTATTGCTACTATATTTCATACATATACCAATGTTACCAGGAACATATATGTGTATTTTCAAATCCTGCATATAACAAATCATGAAAATTTTGGCTCTACTTCACTGAACTGAAATGAATCAAGGAGTGGATATGCTACAAATCACAATAAGCTCTGTTCATCATTTGAGACCCTGAGTCACTCAGGCATTGTGGCTTTTGTGCGATACCACAAACTTTTTGTTTTGTTTATACAGCACCTATTCACGCCTTTAGAATGCACTAGCGGGTACTGATATCTAACAGTATATATCAGCTATTATTTATGAGATAGAATGTCTTTTTACGCCTTTCACTCTTTACAAGGACAAGCAGCCGCGTATAAACTGCAATGCCAACACAGTTTAGTATTATGCTTCGTCCCTCGCTTGCCAAAAGAACTATTTTGTAATTCACACAGTTTACCATCGTACTCCAACCTCCCAACTCGCCAGTATGAGGAAGAAAAAATGGAATCAACTCTGAATCGCAACTCAAATTCATCTACCAGACCAATAATACAAGAGAGCTTGAGTTCCACTCACTCATTTCGTCGCAGAGGAAGTGCTGGAGCAAATCGTAAACGAAGACCTCATCTTGTTGACACAACAAGCAGTATTGAAAGTTTACTCGACAATGTTGATCGGGACAGTAAACTCGTTGGAGGAAAAAGAACATCTATATCTCCTCTTGGTCAAGATTACGGTGGGTATAGAATCTGGGTTTCAGTTGTTTCTATTTTGAATACATAAATAAAAATCTATATTTTTGTTTACAGTTGCAGTTGAATTTTTTGACACTGGAAGCATTGATAATGACTTGACCAAGCCGCATATAGTTGCCAATCGTGTAAGTCTAATAACTATCATCTGGTCTCAACATATTGGTATCCAATTTTGGCTTGCTTTTTGGTAGTACCAGATGTTTTCTTTTTTTTCTATTTTGAAGTGCACTGCCTGCACCTATTGATAGCGAATAACTTATTCAGTAATGGGACTTAGGATAGCATTGAAACCCAAGCAACCCCAAAATGCTCAGAACTGTGATAAATGTTGAACAATCATTGACACATAATTCTAAACCGTAGTTCTTTATGTTCTCAGGAGATCTTGGCACATTGGTGTTTCTCTGTAACTTAGCTCAGAGATCAATATCTATTTTCAAGTGTGTGCTAAATTTCAGCTACTGTAATTTGAAAGCAAATTAAATTTAATCATTTCATGTAATTAACAGACCACAAATTCACCCTGTCAGAATCCAGCGTCGAGAACTGTCTCCCCAACATTTAGACCAGCTACTCCTACATCATGTAACCAGTCCCGTCCTGTCAACTTTCAAACAAATATGTCATGCCAACCTCATCCTAACATTATCCGTCCAAGGTAAGATTTCAAGTTACTGAAATGAGCGCAAACAATTTACGGTTTGAGCTTTTCACAACTTTAATTTAGTTGCAATACAATTTTGGTGTTCTAGATTGTAGCACCAGGGGTGGGAAGCTGGTTTCATACTGGCTCGCTTCATAGCCATTGAGGATTTTTTGTACCGCCACTACTGGGAAACATCAGATCAAATGCAGTTTCACATAAACGGGACTCAAAACTGTGATAAGAGTTTCAAATTTTAAAATTAAATCTCAGAATATGCAAATTTAACTGAATGCTATAAATTAAATTTTGAAAAACTATAACCTAAAAAGGATAAATTATAATATTTGTATGGAGTATTATTTAATTGTGAATATGAAAAAATGATTGGATGGTTTGGAACTGGAGTCACTAATATTTCTGGTAGCCCTGGCTCTAGATCCATCTATTTATGTAAGCTTGGCTACAGCTCCTCAACTCTGGAGCACTATCAATCCAAAAATATTTCCCTATCATTTTTTTTTTAATTTCAGACCTGTTATTCCCACATCCTTTCCGAATGGTTCACTGATTCCACCTCCAAATGTAAGAAGTAACTCATTGAAACACCAGTCACAACAGTCCTGCGAACCTTGTTCACTAAACAGAAGTTTGTCATCCTCTGAAGCTATCTTGTCAAGTCACACTGTAAGTTGATCACAGCATTCAATTTTTTTTTATCTTTTGTTTGCTAGTACAATTGCTTGCTATGATATGTTGTGTCGTTTTAGATAAATATACAGAAAATCAAAGAGAAATTTGAAGAAGCCTGCATTAGAGTCAAAGGTATGTATGGTATTTCATTCTTATTATTAAAGAATGGGAATGTCTGAATCCTATCTTAATTATTGTTGGTTTGTTATCATGGAAGCTTGTGCTAAGCATATAATACATGCCTTCTATTATCTCATTGTACACAGACCTTGTTAACAAATGTGTTCAAAAGTATTATTGGGCTTTCCGCTGCTGCCATAGGGTAGTTCAAATAACCAATGGGTCAATAACTTTCAAATGATTAATTACTCCCCTAGCTGGTAGCACACTAGAGAAAGAGCAATCTCTTTCATATACTATTGAAATTTGAAAAACTTATATTAATATTAATACTGTTATTCTAATTTGTCATGCCTCTTTTAGATCAACCCCTGGACAAGCTGGATTCCAATTTAGCAGACAGGATTACGTTGAAACTCACAGACAGACCAGAAGGAACAGGAGAAGCTTATCCAACCATCAAGACATGGCGGCACGTCGCCAATTGTTTCAAGATTGAAGCAGTAACCGTGGATAACTCCCGATCATTATCTGACATACTACGCTACCTGAGAGCCCACCGAAGACACACCATTAGAGATTTGTTAAATGCAGTCAACCACATTCAACGCTATGATGTTTTGTCAGACATTTGCAACCATATTTTAGGACTGCAAGAAAGTGAAAGTGCCATGAATCACTTTGAAGAGCACATTCCAAAATGTGTTGTCACACAAGCTTAAAAGACGAATAGGCATTTCAAAATACCACTGTAAATATAGATAATGTGTTCAGTTGATTTTAGTTGAAATTTGTCAATAATTATGTGACTTAGTCAAGTGTGTTTGTTTGCTAAAAGACATTCGTATCTGCCATATCATGGTGATTTGGGCCAAGTTTTGCAATTTCAAAATCTAAATACTGCCTGTTTAATGTTTCGGATTATGCTTTGTAAAATATGTATATAATGTTTACTTTTTATATTAATTTGCTGTATATACTTTTGCTTTGTGCCTTTGAATTTGTATTTCACCATATTTCTTGCCCTGATTTAAGGCACAGTTTTCTTAATGCATTTTTTATTATCAATAAATAATAAGCTAACTGAATTGTTATGGGTTGAGTCAATTGTTTGCTCAGCATATCATTGTTTTTCTGACCCACTGGAGTGGAGTTGCAATGTCGACGACATACCGAACCTTAAAAGTACGAAAACGTGTATTTGTTTGCTTGGAAGTGCGTCCAAGTGTAAAAGTGCCTGTGGGGTTAATTACTATTGTTATTGCATCTTCCATTCCTTCCTGATCTGCCTTTTGTATAATAAGAGACAATGGTGTCGACGATTGGGGAAACGATCGAATCTGAGCACAATGACAGCAGAGAATTGAATGTATGGGGTACCTATAGTAGTAAAGGGAAGTTGAGAAGAGCACTAGCAATTACAAAATTCGTAAAGCAGATTTACTTGTGGGAGGTCGTTCAGATTTTGGCGAGCGGGGTTCAGAATGACAACCCGGATGCGAAGTCAGTATTTCATACAATAGTACATTTTAGCTCTTATTTTGATAAAGAATTATCGGTATTACTTGTGCGATGCTATCTTACATCGTTCGGTGATATTTCAAATAATTTTTTTCAATAAACATGACAACAAGACATGAAAAGTTTGTCCGATATTGCAATATGTGCAAACTGTAGTGTAATTATATGACATCATTGATATGAAACAATAGATTTCCGCTTGGCTGCCTAAACCTATAAAAATGATTTCCTGATTGTTCGCTTCTTCTGATTAGGGACGGTATTCGATATCCATTCTTTTGATAACACGTTCATACATTTTACCTTTTTGGCAATGATTTTGATATAATTTGAACGTATTATTGTTTTTTTCATCACTGGTTACGCTGATAAGGTAAAAATAAGTTAATTCTTATTCATAGGCGAATAGAGTCACTTTGACAAATGTAGAATAGACGAGCTCTTCTGACACGCAATAAACAACTTGACTCCTATTGCGCCTCTGCCGACGTTGGTGTTCATTTCGAAATTCGTGGGTCTTCAGTGAGATGGTCCCGCACACGCTTTGCTGTTTTTGTGGTTTCTTCATGAAGCGGGTAGTCTATGCGAACTGTGAGATTTTGTGAAGAGGTTGATGCTTTTTCGTATCAGATTCGAAATTTAGGAAGGCCACGGCCTACAACTGTCTGACTGTTGTCTTTGTAGGATAGGATTTTCAGAATAATGTTTCATTACGATCAAATCAATTGTGCTTTGATTTTATATTCGGATTTTGGTGGATGTAGTATAATATAGGAAGGCGTAATTCCGCAGGATAAGCACAATACCACACTGTTTCTCTCTCCCCACTCTTTTTGGGGTCAGCCGGTACCGGGATCGAAGTAAACGTCAAACAAAATTGTGATGCGAAAATAACCTACAGCCCATTTTTTTTTGAATAAATAAAAGTAACAAGAGGCTGTACAGCTGTATATTGCTTGACGCTATACAGTACCGGTACCTTATTCCAGTATGACATACCGGTACCGGTAGTTCTCCTATTTCAGTATTTCAAGAATAACATTAAAAGACATCAATTACTGAATTATAACATTGAGTGCCAATCCTTTATTTTTGAGATAGTATGAGCCCCATACGCCATATCGGCACAAACAAAACCGGTGCTGCTCGACCAAAGTCGTTATCAGTATATGGTTTTGAATATTGTTTTGCTTTATGTTTTAAGCGGGATATTTCTGAAATTGAATATTACAACTGGACCATAACTTTGTAACGCTGAATTGTCATGTCTGATATACTTGATCCTGACAACAGTCTGGATGGTTTGAATTCTCATGATGGAGTCGATGATTCTTTAGGAGTTGACGATTCTAATATTCTTGATCAATCAGCGATTGATGGAACACCAAATGGAGATGGGATTGTTGAAGATCCTGTGAGTTTTAATATTTTGAGAATATTTCTAACTTGCTAATTCCTTATGGTTATTATTTGTGATGCTTCATTTCATTAGAGCAGTGTTTCCCAACCCGAGTCTGCGAACTTAAATGAGTCCGTGGAGCGTTTGAATGAGTCTTCAACAAGTAATACAGTTAGGAACGTTAGGCAGTAATATAGGGCCACTTTCATGTTTAGAAATTTATACAGGGCATGCACGGTTTTACCAAACTTAAGTATCAGTTACGAACAAATTACGTTAGAATTTATGGAAAACATAAAAAAAATTCGCTCACATTAAATTTAATTGAGTCAATAACTACAGGTTACTGAGTAGGGCTGGGCAAAATATTCGAATATTAAACTATTAGAATACTTGGTAACACGTGACTTGGACATACATACAAAAAACGTTAAAATTGAGTGTTATATTTGCATTGCTCTTTTACCCTTTCCAACAAGTTATCTTTGCAAAGCTGGATTTCCGGCCCTGATTATGATGAAAACCCAAGTATTGCAACCAACTCCAACCAGAAGATAAAATTAGATGTGCATTACCAAATATAGACCCTGATTTTGACAAACTAGTGGTGCAAGTTCAGGGACAAGGTTCCCGTTGAAATTTGTAAATGTGGCTAATAAACTAACTTCGTTAAAATTATGTTGTGTTTGGTGGTATTGCTTCTTCACGCCGCATCAGAGTAACAATCAGTTGGAGTTATGTGAGACTAACTCTCTATCCTTCCTATATGCCTTTGCACTATTAAATCTATATTTGTAAAATGCAAGTATACTATAACTGGAATAAAGATGATTATTCTATGTAATTCAATAGTCTGCTGTATACTAACATAAATGTATTTCTGAAAAGTTTCATTTAACTGATGTCAAACTTTTTCAGGCAAGAATATTTCAACTGTAACAAGAAAAACAGTAAATAGTAAAAAAAAGTGGTTTTTTACATTTAAGTAGCATTTTATCCCGATTTATTTTATTTTTCAGGAATTGGAAGCCATCAAGGCTAGAGTTAAAGAAATGGAAGCAGAAGCTGAAAAATTGAAAGAAATGCAAAATGAAGTTGAGAAACAAATCAATTTAAGTCCTACTCCACCACATCGTAATGAATTACTTGATTATGGTTTATATTTACACTGATTTTTAATAGTAAACTGGTTTATTATTTACTCAATTCGTCCTTTTTTTTATTTCGTAAATTACCAGGCCTTAAAATATGGTGTAAAATAACATTCAAAATGATTATTGATAGTTTATTAAAAATCACTTTGGATGATGTCACAGTCCGATATTGATTGATTACTGTTTCATATCTGACCACACTCATTCTTTTTCCAATACAGTGGCGACTGGAGCTGTTGTGTTTCCATCACTTGAAGACAAGATAGAAGCTGATACGAGATCAATCTATGTTGGAAATGTAAGATTGAATTGAATGATTATCCAAATAACACAATTCAAGTTTTGCTCAACACTTGTAAATTAAATAAGACTGGCAATTAGCCATAACTCAATCTAAGAGCCATTTTTCATCATGATGATACTTGTACAATATTATCATTCGTCCTAATTCTTCATTGTGTAAATTAAATTTAATTGTGGCCAATAGTTGACTTGACATTCATGTGGTACATTTTACTAAAAAACTATCAAAAGACTATTGATAATTTTTAATTTCTGTAGCATGTTTCAGGTATTTATCATCTGTTTTTATTAAGTAAATGAGTACACATTTTAATCTAAATCCTTATTTTGGCCACCTTTTGTTTTTTCTGCTCCTATTATATATTAGATGTAAAAGCAACAAATCTGTATTTTCAGGTTGATTACAGTGCGACTGCTGAAGAATTAGAACAGCATTTTCATGGTTGTGGATCAGTTAATCGAATAACAATTTTATGTGATAAATTTTCTGGGCATCCCAAGGGGTAAGTCGTATATAATATATAGTAACACAGCAACAAAGCAGATTATTATTTCATGAAAGTCTTATAATTAAAAGCTTATGATTTTTGGTTACATAGAATTAAATAAAATATTTTTATTCCAGGTTCGCCTACATTGAATTTTCAGATAAAGAATCTGTTGAAACGTCTTTAGCATTGGATGGTTCACTGTTTAGGGGACGCCAAATAAAGGTATGGAATAGCACAGGCAACATGGAATTTTGTATTTCATTTTTTTGAGAAAAATAAATGTGTTGATAAGTATGTGGAGTGGAATGACAAGAAGGAAAAATAAAGATTTAATTTTGCTGTGCACTAAAATATTTGCTCTCAAATGCCAGGATGTTTAGTCGGCTCATTCAGTTCAGTGATCATTCTCGATTTTGCATCATTTTTGCATGATTCATCTCTAGCTGGTACTCCACTGTCCACTGACTGGCGTAAGGGTTTCAAAACAAACATACTGTATTTTTAAATCAATATTGGGGATAGTCCTCAGTAACATAGCACTGAAACTAGTATATACCTATTCCTCATGGAAGCTTGCCCTTTGTCTGATAATGTACATCTATTATCTGTCGTCCTACTTTCAGCAAAAAATAAAAGATTAATTTTTCATTTCAGGTTAATCCAAAACGAACGAATAAACCTCATTTTCATTTCCCTGAAAGGGGGGGTGGGAGACCAAGAGGAAGGCCACGATACAGAGCAAGGGGATATGGTGGTGGTGGTGGGGGTTATTATGGCGGATTTCCTAGGTCAAGAAGAGCATTCAGGTGAGCTTTAATCAACTCCTCGTTTATTTCCAATGTTGTTTCAATTTAAATATCATTGTTACGCAATTGGGATAAAAGGTGACTGATGTAATTACAAACCCTTTTTTGTGAGGCTGCCTTAAGACAGCAACAGCTAAAATAGTTCTTTTTGAAGCTTCTCTACAAATTGAGTTGTTGTTTCCGAAGATTGCACCCTAGTGAGAAACAACAACTGTGACCTCACTGTTAATTATCATTTTTTGTTCCCGCTTTTTAGAGTGGAGATCAATTTACACCAACTCCAAAGTCTAAGCTATTCAAAAAACACATCCTGCCTCCAACTTAACAAAAAAATTGCAACTTTTGCTCCGAATTATGAAAGAACCTGATTTTGCAAAAATTTTGGATATGCATATCCTCTTTGTCTATTGGGATTAAGAATGCCTAGCCATCTTATTGCTATTTAGGCTTCTTGGGTATTTCAACTTAGAATTCGCTATTATGGAGTAACCCCGAAAAAAACAGAACCCAGGTCATTTGGAACATATTTTCGAGAGAACGTAATGTTTGGACAAAGCAATCTAGATTACTGAAACTTTCAGGTACAATTATACAGAAACAGAAGTTAAAGTGTTGAATAAATTAAATAAATTGTTGAATAAAGTCATCAATAAATTTATGGGTAATGTTTTTTGCGGCCACCTAAATGTCTGAAATTTGCCTCTGCGATTCAGGAAGTTTGAAAATATTACTCCATCTTAGACTCCAATATCAATAAAAATATTCCAAATTTGAAATCGACTGACACTGTTTATTTTTTTGCAGGGGAAGAGCAAGGGCTTCATATTACTCTCCTTATTAATGGATATGATGAACGCATATTGCATGATGACGAAATGACCATGTTAATATGGTTTATCGGGCCCATGTTCTGTTGTTGTTTTATACCATTTTATTTCTGTGTGAATTTTTATTTCGATTTTAAAATATGCGATTTTTGGGACTCCAATTTCTAAGTTATGACACTGCCTGCTACCTACTGCTTCAGATCAGAGCAAGTTACTCTGACAACGGGATGCTATAAGTTGGTAAGTACAGCAACGGCATCAATTTGTTTTTGTGTTGATGTATGTGTCTGTTAAAAAAGAGAAAAAAAAAACATGATAAAATGACTGGAAAAAATATGAGAAAAAAAGGAATGACAAAAGGATTGAAAGAAAAAGACTAAAAACAAACAAAAAAAGGAACAGTCAACTGTTGAAAAGAGTGAAAAAATTATTGAAGAAAGAAAAGAACATATAATGAAATAATAAAAGTACAATTTCGTACAATTGTGTTTTTTTTTCATGGTGTATTCGTTTTGTCCAGGTCTTAGTAGAATTGTGACAGGAAGAGTGAAACTTTGAAGCAGAGCTGTCCAAAATTAGCGGATGTTAATTGTATTTAAATTAAATATTAGTGATTCAGGAGGAGTTTCAAAATGTTCAATTCGGGAAAAGTGAGTATAACTTTATAAAGTCTGTTTGTTGAAAAGCACCTTCGTTTACTGTTCAAGTCGTTGTTAATCCTGAATTTTCTACATTCATACATATTCTGCCTCTTGAATATATTCACCATAATTGGAGTTATTTGGCCCCTGCTGAGTAGGCGGGGACCAATGCAAAATGAATTTCTTCGGCCTATTGCTATAACTAACTAATTAACAAGGGTGCAAATTGAGATGGAAGAAGGGAAGTGAATTTGTTTTTACATGACCACGATCATGCTAGGTTATCCTTGGATATGGAATTAATTGCTCGGCCATTTATTTTTTCTCAGTACAGAGTTTCGTGTGGTAGGTGAAATCAATCATAGCTTATGTGAGTGACTGAATAAATTAGAGATGATACGAAAAGTGTGCAGATTCTAGTTCTCACAGTAACTCATAATAATTTAGCAAATATCTCATGATTGGCTTTTTATATTCACTCTCGTCAAAAAAACACTCCCTTGGATCATAGAGTGATGCAGTGACCAAATCTCCTCTTTCCGCCTCTAAAAATGCCTGACCAAACACGCCTGATCATACAGCTATTGTTTGTTGTATAATCTTTATTACAATGAATATTATAAAACAATGCCACTACAGATGGAAACAACATTTATTATAATTATTTTCTAACTTTCCAATCGAAAAACTCAACGGCCCATACCCCCAACTGAATACATAAAAATATCTTCCGATTGAAACACAAAAATATTATTGCACACCCTCCTTTCTATCTTAGCCACACAGTAAAATGATTCCTATTTTAATTACTTTGATTGAAAAATGCCAAGCTAGTACTTTTAGCCAAAATATAGAAGATTTGCTCGGGAGAAATACTGAGAACTTACTTCACAGTGATGGAAGATAATACATTAGTACATAAGCAGTAGCAGTTTTGCAGAACAAAACTAAATTGCTGTAATATTCAAACGCTCTAGAGCATCGTTTCCCAAACTTCACTAAGTACCATAGCAATTAGTACATTAATTTAAAGTAAATTAACTGTGAATTGTTTGATTCTTTGACTGTATTGCATTCATTCTTTTGCTTTACAATATTTAATATGGCGCATAAAATATCTGATACAAACCCCTTAAAAGAGAAAAACTTGGTATTTTATAGAAGATAAGGAAGACACAGGTGTTGAGCATGTTTACAGGGGAATCATAAAAGCTTGAAAAACACTGTCCCATAGGATGAATGAAGAAAAGAACGACCTGTAATATAAATCAAAATTTGGGCATGAGGAAATATTTTTTCTTGAAGCACATAGCTGTAAAAATCTCAGTACAATAATCTACCACCTTCATGAATAAGGTTTGGAATACAAAAGTAGGCCTTATCAACAAACAGACAGAAAATTTTCAACTATTCATGGACGTGATATGAGAAACACCAAAAACAAAAGTATTTTAAATTGGTTTCACCAATGAATATATATTACAATTTGGAGACAAAACACAAAAAAGTATAGGTATATAAAGTACAGAAAAAAAGGAGTTTTTGCCATACACGTAATATTGTAAACACTTAGCGAAAATTAGGGGAAAAAAGCGAGTGCAGAAACCTGTAAAATTATCGAACAACAAATATAAATAAGCGTTGTGCACTTGGGATAGTGAAACTATGGAATATTAGACATAAACACAGTACGATACCTCCTATTAATTAACATGTAAACAAAAAGGCATTCAATCAAAAGTGCATCAGAGTCTATAAATGAAACTTATTTACCGGTAAGTGTACATCTTTTTGGATATAGGTAAGTGAAAGCATATTAGAGAGTAAATTATTGAGCATGAATCGCATTCATAGGACCTAATACAATTTTTACAACGCTTTTCGCTCCAAACAAAAGCTTAATCAAGCAGCCATCGATATTCACCAATATGCAATGAGCTACCATAGTTTGGAAGGATCAGAATATGAATGGGATTTGAACCAGAGATGGTAACTGTCGGAGACTGATCTAGGCACCTACTATAATAAAAGATACAATTTCCATTTCAAATAGGTCCGAGATTACGAAAATAATATTCCTATGTAGGAACAAATGCATGGACAATCCATAAGCCTTGTGCAAATATACTATGATAGCTACATAACTTTTACAAGAATATAAATAAGTACAAAATGAAGTTACAATTTCATAATGGAATGATAATGAAACACTTGGCACGACAAGTCAACTAGGTAGTTATAAAAGGACGGTGTCTCCTAATTTGAGGTATGGACAACGCCATTATAGTACTCATTTTTCAATGCAACAAAAAAGAATATTTCGATTTATCAGGGTAAAATTTTTTATATAGATGCAACAATTCTAGGGTAAGGACTTGTAACATTTAGCATTGAAGATTGCCATTTTACTATATGCTAATACAGCCAACTCATTCCATAGTTCACTTTGTATCGTTTGAACACTGAATATACTATAAAAATCTCCAAACAAAAATATAAGAATGGGTTCAAAGTGGAAATGATAAATTTACAGAAGATTTCCTTATTTAGTCTGTGTTTAAGACTGGATATTTTTCACCTAACAACGAACAAATGTGTAATGTAAAGATGCAGTTACAGTACAGATATCTTGGAATGTAATCCTATGCATAAGGATGTGCAGGAGGTTGACTTGAAGCAATACTCCCTGACATATAACTTGCAAGGGAAGTCATTGAACTGGATGCGGATAATGGAGGTAACTTACGACCAGAGGCGACATAACTTTGCAAATCTTCTGTACTGGATGCCCAATCGACAGAGTTTCTAAGTGGAGGGAGACGTGATGGTGAGTTACCCAATCTCGGAATTCCGTTCAATCCTAATGGATTATTTGAGTTTTCTGGTAACACTGGCAAAGGACGAGGAGCCCCGTCATCTCTATGAAGCATCATTGCTTTCTTCGAATGTCGCTTTGATCTTTTTTGATGGTGCCGACGAGAAGATGTCAACTCAGATTTTGAAGTGCTTGAATCGACGGAGTTTGTCACTAAGTTACCATTGACCCCTGATTGATCATCTGCTTCTATACTGTCACTAAGACCACTTGCTGGTCTTTCTGGTGAAATGTGACCCTTGCTGTTATGTGATCTCATAACTGGCTCACCAGCGCTCTGGAATAAAGATATCATTTATGATTTCAATAGTATAACGGTCGATTTGATATAAAGCGTAAATTGGCCGGCTGCCACGTTGCATAAGGATGACGTCCATATACTAACAATTTGATATTCTAATTTTTAATTAATTCGGATTTAGACCTATCATTATATGTAAGATTCATTGAGAAAAATTTTAACAAATATTATTTTCCTGCAAAAATGAATAATTTACCTAAGAGAAAAATAATTACAATTATCTGAATTCATAAAATGAATCTTTTCAAATACTTCCACTATCAAAACACATAAACAAGTAGGGTTTTGATAAAGACAAATTGGAGAATTTTGTTTATAAATCATTTTTGTACGAACTCGAATCAAACATGAATGGCCTTGTAGTCGTAATTAAAAAACACAACTAAGCAACATATACTTACAGGCTTAGGTAAGATATTCGTTGCCTCCCATGACCTCAACTCTCCAAGAGAAGATTGACTGTGAATTGAACCATTGACAGAAATTTGTGGTATTTGTACTGCATTCGAATTTGCATTTATATTTCTAGTTTCCTCCGGGGTGAATGCGGCATTAGTGAATTCAGATGGAGACCGACTAGACTTCACTTTCGTTTGTGTATTTCTAGGTGATGAATTTTGAGTTGTATCTGTGACGAAGGCAGATGGTACAATCACTGCTGGTGTATCGTATGCCATGTTATCTTCAGAGTCTAATTTAACGGAATTGTCTGCTACGCCATTTGCAATTTTTACCCTCACACCCCCCATCCTTCTTTTGATTGACCTCTGTACCAATATACTCAGATGGCGTTGAGCATGCCACATCTTGCTCTGTGACATCATCACCCGCAATATTAGCAGCTGAATTTATATTCCCAGTAGAATTTTGTTGCTTTTTTGCTCTTGAAATTTGAATGTAGTCATATGTTGTAATACCTCGTCGAACTGTGAAAAGATATAATTATTGTATATTCATCTATACTAGAAATGAAGATATTACCTTGCTACACCTCACAAACGTTCAGTTTCCATAAAACTTGGTAACAGACTCATGTTTTTTTTCTAACAATATTTTTAAATCCCTCTATTTCAATAACAAAATACTCTTTAGGATTGGTAACATTAAATATACTCAAACCGTGGTGATCAAGGAAGTGCATGCTCGAGTAACAATATTTTGGACTGATGAAATAATTTATTACCGAATTATGAATACAGGTGGATAATCATAAAAGGTATATAATATTACCCAAAACTATCTTAGTTAACTCTGGTATTATTGTAAGATTAATAAGAATAATTTTTTTAATGTTGCAAAATTCTTGTGTAAAGAATAATGAAAGAAAGATAAAATATTTCCCCAACTTTATAGAGAAGTGAGTTAATGGCAAAACTAATAAAAGTGAATAAAGGAACCAAGGATCAAATCTAGTCCTGATTTAGGATTTAAGTATTAATCCCAAATCTGAAAAAACACAGAAAATGAATTTATTAAAACCAGTATTGTACCCTAGTACCTCATTGCCAAACAAATTTATATAAAAATATAAATTACAAAGCAGTCAAAAAATTCTCATTCATAGCATCATATTTCGTGGAAATAGGAACACTCATTACACTGTCAAAAATGTTTGTGAAAATGTGAGTATAACAATTTGAAAATTTCATTCGCCAGATGTCAGCTCGTAAAGTCATCGATTCACTTACAGGAAATGGATAAATGGGATTAACTCACGTCATACAATACAACCAAACCTTGAACAAATAAAGACAATCAATAATTCACAAAAGAAGTTACTACGCAAATATATGGACTACAAAGGATGACACAGTGTTGTTGCTACATAACATAAATGAAGCGTTCCATAATTACAAATGAGATTAAGTGAAATGTCTTATCTACTTCAATCCTTTAGATTAGAACAGATTCATCATTAAAGTTATTTTAACATCAAACTTCCAGTATGATCTCATGCTACTGTAACATGGTATTGCCTATCAAATTATTGTATAAAAGATAATTGTATTTGAACTTAATAGTTGAAATAACATAACAGCAGCACTCCATCAGATCAATTCACAGATATAAAATATTTAAAACACTCCAATATCGCTCATATTCAAGCTAATTAGCAGGTCATTTAATCTCAGTTGAGAAATCATAATTAATTTATGTTGGGTCCATAAGATACTCGAACCCACAAGTACTACCTATGATAAACAAGCAGCCTCGAAGTACTTACTTAACAAAAGATGAAAAAAGAATAGTTGACCAAGTAGAGCACAACAGATGATACAAAGTACGATAAGAACTCCAATGAATGCTTGAAATAAGGGAGGAGAAACACTCTTCCACCATACATCTGAAACAAAGTAAAAAGAGTATTTTAAAGGGAAAACAATTTAGTTCCATGCATTAAAAGTTTTCATAGCTCTACCCTGGCAACAAGATAGCTAAAGTGTAGATAAAAACTTCAAACAATTTCCTCCATAAATAAGTTACTGATGATTGATAAGATTACTGATTCATCATAGCAACATAGCTCAACTCTCAATATCCCGTACTGGTTCACAGGGTCAAATCTCATGCAGAGGCAGATTGTTGGACTCTTACTCATTGTATGCAAGAGGGTTCACATAACCACTGGTTGGTTATGGCTTCCTCCACAATCAAGTACATACATCTTTAATGAATAACTAGTTGACTATTACCATACCCAAACTGGACAAGAGGTTGCAAATCCACCATTTGATGGAGTCATCTCATCGTCTTTTCTCCCCCCAATACAAATATGAAAATCCTATCTTCCTTACACAAACCATGAAAATAGATACGAACAGAAGAATATTTAAACGAATATTTTCAAACCACAGCATCATTAGCAGAATTATGGCTTCACTGAAACCATGATGAGTATAAAGCCAAAGTCAAATTTTTTAAACGTCTGATTACGAAACTAGCCACTCAATTCAAACACATACACTACTATACTTACTCGGATCTAGATATTGAAATTCCATCAAAGAATTGATAAAAACGAATAAAGAAACAATCACGATGACCAAACTACCAAGAAAAGCTGTTGAAATTGTAGTGAAAAAATATCTGAAAGAAAGAAATAGTAGAATTATATTTTATTCATATCGCAGGTACTGTCTAAATGAAAGTTTTGGAAATATCGAAATTGAGTGTATTTAAGACATTTCACCTTTCCAGAACTAACTGAACTTGAAACAACTGAATAAATATCTGTGAAATCGCCCTATTATGTGTTTAAAATATAAAGTTTAATATTACAAAGTAAATGTTGATGACCATTTGACCAATATCATTGAATCATACAATGAACATTATGTTAGATTAGAACATTAGACTATTCAATCCATAAGACCATGTCATTGTCATGAGGTGGTTCAAGTATCTCTTGTAGGTTAAGGTTTATTGTATCATCATGTCCATGCATTTATAACAACTCAACGGGGACTGGTAAGCGGACACAAGGCTGTAGTTCGACTTATGATCAAGTCATCACATCGTAAAAACATGAGTCCTATCCTATTCCATCTATCTCACCTATAATTCCGTTGTCCAACACAATTGTTAAGCCAAAGACAATGATGGTCAAAGTGTTTTACACATTTATTACATGCTCTACAGTGTTTGCTTTCCTTGTTTCTGTAATGTAAAAAAAATGACAAAAATTAATACCACCATCTCTAATGTGATGTTAATCCAGATAGGTGATCGAGATATGCAAATTGGATATAAGCAATTAGTATTACGGTAATTGATTTATTTTGGATGGGACACCATGACAGGCTTTTATCTCTAATTCACATTTTTCAAAAAGATTTCAACACAAAAAGTATTATTAAATTTAGTAATGGAAAAATCTACTTTAGGCTATCTATTTTAATATGACATGATTGGAGGCATATCTTAATGGTTCTGGAGCTTACATCTCCTTGGTGAAATTTAAAAAATCACGATTTGGTGAAAAAGTAATAAATAAAACAGATTACATTATATATTATATATACTTGGATACAGCTTAAAAATTTAGATTAAGTAACATCGCACTTGAATGTATTGATATTTTCAAACTTTGCATCGCAGTTTATTTTCATTTCATCAATTATTCAATAAAATCGTGAATATATGTTAAATTCAAAATTATGTATTTTGAATAGCAAATTTCAATTATTAATTCTTAGGATCCTATTTTCTAATACACCTCAGTTTAAATTTCGATAAAAATAAACCCTTGGCACCTTGAACATAATCAAGTAATAGGCCATTGAATGAAAACGTAGGAAATGACTTTTCTCTATACTCAAGTTTAAAATTTTTGGTTAACCTAATCAATAATTCTCGAATCATGATGTATTGCACTTGGTTGCGTAAGTAAAGAATACTAATTATTCAATAGCGATAAAAACAACTTACACATATGTTTCACATAAATTGCAGTATTCATTTTCAATCACATGTTCATGTTTTGATCTATCAAAATCTGGCATCTGGTGATTTTGTTTGATTTGTGCACGAGCATTTTCATCTCCAGGATTTTTAGTTGTTGCAGCAAGATGCGCAGCCACATGAAGAAGTAATAGAATCCCCACACACTGTGATAATATGGATTTTAATTCGATAGAAAGAAAAAGTCTGAAAAAGGCAAATGTTTTGATGCCTATTGCATACAAAGTCAAACATGGCACTGCAATTTGAGATATATGGGGTTTGCTTGAAATACAAATAGGCAAAATATGATCAATTTATTCAGTGTATACGAATAATTATTTTCCAAAATAGCCTTCATCAGTTCGGACAGGTGATAAGAAATTGTAGTTTCGAGGCAAAACTACAATTTTTTCGAAACTTTCGCCGAATGATTAATGGGGAGATAATGTAATTAGTCTGTGATAAATTATGAAAATATGATCATCTCAAAATGACAAAGATAAAATAATATGAACTCTGTACACATACCACATAAGCTGCAGGTTTCCATGGTGTAACTACAGCTATAGCAACAACTCCAAAATATACAAGTGAAAAGAGGAAAAGCACAACCCAGGCAATCACCTGCAAAATTAATAAATTCAAACAAAAGTTGGGGGGCCAAATACATATATAAAGAAGCTGGGATGGGACATGTTTTTGATATCCATCCTTGGGAAAAGTAAACTCGATAAGACCAAATCATATGACAAACCATGGCAGTTTCAGTTGCATGGACTTGATGTCCAAAAGATTATAACTATTTGAATCGATTTGAAATTAATCATATCCTATATTCTGGATTTTGGAAATATTTTTGAAATTTAATTTCAAAACATTATCATTTTACGCAATTAAAGTTGCACGAATGCCTTTGTGATTTTAAGAATAATTCACAATATTTTCATTTAAAATGTCTATCTCAATTATTCTGCATGAACAAATTCAATTTCTACAAATTTACAATAGTCTCAAAGTATTGAAGGGTTTCCCTTCTGGAACAGACCCATTTCCAAATATATTTGATATTTCATATTGAAAAAGATCATTCCAAGTTAAATTAATTTGTCATTCAATAGCAGGTAGAATTATAATATTGAGAGAATAGGTGGTAGTATGATGATATATACTAAACCCAAGAATAAATATAGTTTACAAAGAAATCGTTACCTGTAAATAATGGATAGGTCGTGTCCACCCGTTAATCCTAACAAACTGATTTTGCTGATTACGTGGATGAACCCGAACTTTATTTCCGTCAGTGCAGACCATGTTCTTTATTCATGCCATGCCAGGACATTGCATGACACAAGGTTTGCAACATGGAAAGTGGCAAAATATGGAAATATAAAGATAATACTTCTCAAGCCTGGTAAAATACAGATATCAACAATTATTGAAGGGTATGGTGGCAGGAAGGGGGCATGAGTATCATATATTGTAATATAACTACAAATGGATAATATTAGACATGCTGACACGCATAGCCTACATATTACAGTATTAGGTTCTAGTGTAGATTCGTACCTCAAGTACCGTACTAGTGGACTTACCGCAGCATGACAATTTTTGCATATGTCTGTATGTCAATCCTAACCCCACCAGACCAGACTGTGTCATCCAAAAATTATGTCACTCTGACGTCAAAAACTTAGATTTGGTTCGCGCTCAAAAAAGTTTAAGAAGTTTGGAAATTCAACTCCAGAGTAGAAACAAGCCTTATTCCAATCCATAGACCAAGTAATACAGAATTTACGCCTATATGGAGGTCCAAACTGTCTCGTAAAGGAGGGGTTTCCCACTCATTGTCCAGGTGTTATAATTGGGCTATTTTTGGAAACTGAGAAATGTGTCATACTGTAATACCAGTTCAATGGACAGATGAAATTACCGTAATTTGTTTGCTTTCAATAATAAGGAACAAACACTAGGCTACCGGTACCGTAATCTATCATTACTACACCCGCTGTACCGTACCGGTACCGGTACCTCCTGTAATAGAAAAGTCAATTTTCAAGAATTCGATCATATGGCTCCCTGCAACTTTTGTCAATAAACAGGAATAAATGACTCCACGCCCCGGCTTACTTATTCTGAAACATATCGGTACCACTGAGGTGTATAATTAATACACCTCAATGATCGGTACCGTACACCAATGACATTTAACAACATGATGCGCAACTCCGGCATTTTTGTCCGAAGATCGTATTCGATAGCACGCTCCAATGCACATACTTGACGAGACGAAAACGAGCGGATGCGTGCTGCTTTCAAGGCGTAGCACAAATGGTGTTCGTGCCTGCTTTGACAGTTGTTGTCGATTTTAATGATATTTTGGAAAATTGAAGGTAAAAAGAAATCGGAAAAAGGTAAGGTAAATACTATTGTTGTATATCACACCCGGACATAGCACTGTTAAGTACATGTGGGAAAGCCAGCTTTTGTCAAATACTACGAAGTTATCAAATCAATACGGTACGTAGTTGCCCATTTGCCGAAATTGCATATTTACTTACCCTTTATGGTTTCAAATAGTTCATGCACCTCCATTTAGATTTTTCTAATCAGTGTAGAAATATATACCCATTGCTGTAGCATACTATTGCTCATTCACTTTTATTTGCGTATTGAATCAAAGGGTTAACAAGTTTACCTAACATTTTACTCATACCGGTCTATATTGTATAGTATGATCTCTCAAGTATTTGGAGCCACGAATGCTTGTAATTTTCTGACTAAACCCTTTTATTAGTTGATTTATATACCAAATTCAGTAAAACATTTTTTACATTAAACATGAGATATTGGATTTATTAGCTTTTCCATTCTAAGTCATATTGACTGCTTTATTTATTCTTAACGAAAATTAATAAATCTCCTCTCTTTCTTCAGATGTGAAAGTTGTGGACAAACCTGTCTAAGCATTGTGAGACTCCTGCAGCACAAGAGGCAATAGCAAAAATAGTAAGTATATCAATCAAAAAATTAAGCCGACATAAAGCAAAACTTTCAACTATTCGTCTAATCTCAATTTCCTATTATTTATTCACAGGACAACTGTAGCAGAAGGGGAGATATCAGAAGTCTGGCGACATATCAGTGACAGTGTGATTCCAAGAAATATAATTAGAATACTCCATAAATGTTTGCAATAGAAGAACAACCTATGAAGGCATGCAAAAGCATTTGACCCTCCGGTAGAGTTGTGTATGGCCCCTACATCCTGCAAGGCTTGAGGAAAATAACTAAAAATTCCAATGCGTAAGATTGCATAAGCGGTCTTCTTTGTGAGCACAAAACATGCCAGGCATACTTAAAACAGCTTTGAAAAATGAGGATTACGGGTCACTACACCTATGTTATATTTGGTTCATCAATTTTTGGTAGTACTATAGAAAAAATTCAGGAAAGGGTATAATCATGATTCATGATAAAATACTGGTATATATTTTGGACAACTTCAATCTAGACCAAACTCGCGGCCCCAGAGAACTTCCAGTGCGGCCTCGAAAGCTTAACAATAATTGTAAAAGTATTTTGGAAGTTTTTTTTATCTAAATGTAACAGATTTTTCAAACTTTTTAAAGTGAAATTGAATATTCACACAGAAAACATAAAAAATTAATTTTTTTTGTTCACATTTTGACCCATTTAAGAATACACATCAAGCTAGCAAAAGAATACTTGAATAAAACACTTGAGTTATTAAATTAAACGCAAAGTACATAAAGAAGGTGGCCTTTTTTGGAAGAAAATGGGAGTTGCAATATTTCTGCATTTCACAAAATTCTCTGAAGCACATTGTTTAATTTGTCATATTTCCATCAGTACAATGAAAAACACAATAAGCTCAGCAGTCAATATGACAAATTCGAAGACCAACTTCGAACAGAAAATTTCCATGTGTTTGTATATTAATATAATTATACAACTTTTTTGTTACTAAATATCAATAATAATTCAAGCAATCCTATGCCATGCAATGTGGCGCGAAATGTCTTGTCGAAAAAATCTGTCATTTGTTTTTTTACTGATCTATACATGAAATGATAAAAGTAACTTTTTTGCATTACTGGAATTAATTAAACATTTGCAAAGATCCAGATTAACCCATGATCATGTGACCTCGTTAGTTAGAGTTGGTACTATAAAATTATTTCATCCTGGCTTTAGTATGCTGGTGACACAAAAAAGATGCCAAACGTCAGGACAAATGTAATTAAAAAACATTGAGTTTATATTGTAGTATTTTTGTTAATTTTAGGTCCATATATTTAGATTAAGTCATTTTTTAGTGTATGTATTATTCTTTCCTTATCCAAAGTTTGTTCAAAAATGATTTTGATGGTTGTACATAGAATTTTATTGATTTTTTGTAATAAATACAGTAACTTGCAATAATAGTGGAATGCAAATATTAACATGAAATTGCATTTGAAATTAAAGAAAATAATAAAACTTAATCCAACTGTTTAGTTGCATCCTAATATACGTCACAAACTAAAACTATCTTGAAAATATCTTTCAAGTATACATTATCAAAAACTGTTTGCGGCACTTTTTACAATTTCCAACATGCAATGCGGCTCTCGAAAACCCATGAGTTTGACACCACTGATCTATTCTAGACAATTCAAGCATTGCTTTGGGAAATAATATCACTTCAAATAAATTGAAAAAAATCTTGCCGTATTAAATACGAAATCGTTGCTATCATAAAGATGAACCAATTCAGCCACTGGGAATATATTTATACTTGGAATATATATATATAATCAGTGTGCATATTTTGCTTCCAGATGACATAAATGTATTGTCCTGTTTATTACCTCAGCTTGGAGTATTGACAAGAAAAAGGTGCCAGTAAATTCTTTGTTATAATCAGAATTCACAATTAATAGGAATTATAAATAGCCACCAATCAATGAGAATCACATGCGAAATCCCTCACAATAAATTTGTCTAATAATGTCTAATAAATTCACCTACTAAAGCAAGTTCGATAGGTGCAAACTTTGTGTTATGGAATTGTATCACAGCACCGTTAAGAGAAGTAAAAACAGTTTTGCTGTTTTGTATGACACCCTCTTTAAATGAAATTTCAATGTTTAAGCGCAAACATTAAAATTACTTAACTTTGAACTTTGTCCATTATCTGCAAAATGTCCACACAAATCTTTACTCTATCGCGTTTTGTAATCTTCTCTGATAAAAAAAAAAGTCTATGATGTCCAGAATTACTCTTTACAGCTTGTATGTCATTCCAGCTTTCAAAGTGAGCAAAACTTCTTAGATATAGATATTATTTTCTTTCGTTACAGGCGCAAAAAGGCAGGTACTAAACGTAAAGAGGACGCCGATTAGCAAAAGCAAGCGGAAAACGGTCGCGAAAGGCGACGAGAAATATGTGCATTGGAGCGTATCATGAAATACAATCTTTCGCATGTAGTCTTATGGAGTGACGTCAGAGTTGCCTATCATGTTGTTTAATGTCATTGCGTACACTGAGACATCCCCGGATTAGCATTTGCTGGTATTTACCGTATGCTCGAAGTGTATGCAGAAGGCAATGGATATTTCCCTGACTCTTGACCCCAGAAATTCTATCCTCCTTTCTTCCCGACCTTTGGTGAATGTTTTGGGAATATTTCCATAAGTCAGTAAGTTGACGCGGTTGACGCGTGTAAGCTGGTTAACATTTTTGAAAAAAAGTCCTTTGTCGTAAAATGTAAAACGCTTCCAGTAAAAAGAACTGACAGCTTAGTTAATGTCATTGGTTATCGATAAGGTGGTTCTCGTGACCGCTGGTCGGTGACGGCTTCCTCTACTATCAAGTCCATGCATCTGAAACAAATAACTGGCTAACTAAACTAACCCCATACCTGACATGGACTGGTGATAGGCCGTGGTTCGTCATATGATTAAGCCGTCTTAACGGCTTTCCTCTCCCCGGGATACATTCGTGAAATTCTATCGTATACTTTATACTTCCTATTTTTTTAAGTTGAAACTTTTTTCCCAATTTTTGAATATTCGAACACATATTTTTCTATCACAAAATTTCACACTTGTGAAACCCCATCTTCTCCAGACATTTCAATATTGGTTTGGTATTCCTCACGGCGGGAGCTTGATCCAATTTGTCACTTTTCTGAGTAAAACACACCCCAGCCACTTACAATTTCTACGTAGTCTACTCTGATAATTTTTCTTAAGTTTTGTGTTTATCCGAGCTCAAAATAAAAGCGTCTGCAAAGCGCCATGATTCCAGCCAACTTATAGAGCAAATGTTTGCTTATAATACTGCTCCCGTCTTGTAAGGCTGAAAAGTCTGAATCACCTTTGCCTAACAAACACAACTTTCAACATCCACCACTTTATCGTCAAGAAAATATGCAGCCACAGCGAATTATAAAGTTTTAATGGACGTAAAGGTATAATCGACAACTTTGCATTTAAGTAATTCTAGTATATCATAACCGAAGACTAACGAGCTCTAACGCCATATTGGCTCTTCAAATGAACTTGACAGGACAAGTGATGCTGCTTCAAAATGACTCGTCTCCACAACGACACTTTCTTTCTTCTTGGGGAAGACTTACAAAGAGTTGTGGTGTCTGAGTTAAATTTATATCCAGGTCGAATAATAGGATTTGGACATTTTGTCAGTCTTTTAGATTGTTTCGTGTCCTTTTCGCTGTTTGTGTCTAAATAGCAACTTCGGAACGTAATGGCCTTTTTGACTGCGTTCTTTCTTACGATTGAAGGCTGATTGGTTACTTTTTCCTTTGCAATTTCTGCCGGTTTGCTTGCGCTGTATATGAGTAATCTTTTAACGGCTTCTTCGAAGGCTTTTTCTTCGTCATCAACATTGCTCTTATTTGATTTTTCTTTGAGTGATTCTTCATTTTCATAATTTTCTGGTCGGTTTTCAAAATTGCTGAGTGCAGTGGATATTCGACTATCGTCTTTGTTACTTTCTTTTTTAGTTTGAGCAAGTTCGTCTCGATTCGTTCTTGACTTTGTGCTGAAATTTCTACTTCCAACGCTGAACAATCGACACTCGAATGTTGACCGCTTGTGTCGTGGGTTTAGGGCTGACTTTAAAATGATGTTTGAAGTATCCGGTACCGCCGTTCTTCTCCGAAACGGACGACAAACATTTTTTTCCGAAAGTTTTTTGTATTCGCTTCTCACTTTTTGAAGTTCCGTTCTGGTGGCAAAATTATTTGAATTTTGCGAATTAGAGGAATCATTAATATTTGGTTTTTCTGGTGAAATCAATGATCGGTTCTCTATGTCCATGCTATGTCGTCTTGGTCTGACTAAACAGTTGAAAATTGCATTTGAGTGTTTTTCTTGAATGGGTAGAGTAGAACTAAAGTGAACGAAAGACAATGAAGTCGGTAACACGGATGACGGTTTGTTTCTTGAAACAGTTGACGCCCAGGAATCCAAGAGCAATCTCAAGTGCGTGGAGGTTGCAGAAGGCCTATTAATGCAAATATACAAAATCCGTGACTTTTTTCTTATAAAATAGGCTACAATGTTGTAGGTTATCATAGATAAGCAATAGATTATCCTTGGATTAGATTGCAAAATATTCGCTAGACCAAGAAGAACAATGGGGGGCGCTATCGTGCGTGACGCCTTATCTTTGCAGCGTACAACGGTGAGGGCGCGAGTCTCACAGGGTGATCACCATTCATACAACACCTCAGTCTAATTGCCCATTGACCATAATACACAAGGCAGATAATAGAGAGTAATACTAATTCAAACGAGAGCGTCAAAATTGGAAACATAGAGCGCACATTAACGCTTTGTTATTTGGCATTCAAGGTATGTCACCTTTTCGCACTGAAAAATACCTTGTTAAATGATAAATATTTAAAAGGCCAATTACGTCACGCGACATATGTCACCTATGTGCACCAAACGTAATTATTCATGCTTTGATATTGTCTGTGAGCGTCGTTTATCTCCAAGGATTTTGTATGACTTCAATAATATATATCAGTTAAATTTTACACACACATATATATATATATATATTAGTTTGCTTAATTTAAAAATATACTTTTTCTCTATGCTCGCTTCGATATCATTTCTCAATTAGAATAATATGTATATATATATATATATTAATCGTTTGATTTCAACAATTTACCCATGAAAATGAGTGATCAATTATAGATGAACGAAACAATGACCTTCAATTCACAAAATCGTAATTCCCCAATATATGATATGAAAATTGGAATTGCACAATTCGTTTCTTGTTTCGAGTCGAGCATATTTCGCAGCAGCTTTGTACAACTGTCTCAAAATTTATAGTGTTAACCTAAACATTCCCGACAGGCATATAGACGTGAAGAGCAACGGTTACGGTACTCTCGTTTTAATTATAATTAAACAGCAGAATATGTTTTGGACGCGCTCAGTCGGGAACAAAGACCCAATGACATAGATACACTCACCCATCCACCACCCACCCACACCCAAATATTTGACAATAACCATATAGGTCATAGGATCTAAACGCGAAAGATATTCATTTACAGAGTTACAACTGAACGAATAGCTCATATGTGGTGCGATTTACAAAGACAAATATGACACGACGTGGCGGTCGCTATTTTGAATGTCGAAACACTCATACTTACAGCATTTTATTAAAAAGAGCGCCTGAAACGTTTATTTAAAATTTAGATGTCATATTCCTAATGCAAGCGCGTCCTGTATACTTGTAACAGAGCCTGACTAAACAATCCTACGAGGTGTTGAACAGATGGATACCTTGTCACAAACTTGATGGTGATCCAAATCTAAACTTTCACTCGATCACTTTCTTTAGTATATGCACTGCTATATTAGTATTAATTCACCAAATACGATTTGATTACAACTTTTTACGAATGGGTCGCAAATTGGTATCGACGTCAGAGGGTTTGTATAAATGGAAACCTTGACTTTTTAATATATTAACTATTTTATACTATACAATATATTTAATTTGGTGTTGACATAGTCTATAAAAAATGCAGCAGCAGCAAATGTTGGAAAAATTACGTACCACGTTCTTACGATGTTTTAGCTGTTGCTTCATTCTTCTTTAAAAACGCAGACAGATGGTCTGAAATTTTCTGAATATCCCAATCGGTTTTCTGAGTCCTTCTAATGTAGTAGTACTTTAGGCTTTTCCCAACTAATCATCCACTGGTGAGGCTTTAATAAATGATGCTCTAATGTGTTCTGATGATTTTATGCACAGACTATTGAATCGAAATTAAAGGCAATTAGCAAAGTCTTCTTCTTTTATCGCGATATCCCGCTTCCATAAAACGTCTGACAGCATTGATCTCTCGTCTCGATGATCTGTTGCCAGATTGCCGACGGCCCAGATTAACATAAATATTTGTTTGCACAGAGAAGATAAAAAGTATCTTATCGTGATAAAATTAATAAGTCTTTGATTATTTATCTGCTTTACAGGTGAATTAACACTAAATTAAGGCAGAGGATGTCGCAGGTCTATTTCTTGATTTTTTTAATATTTCCGCAAATTAAATATCAATTGAGCACTAGACCTGTTACATGCGATATCAAATAATGTATGTACAAAGATGTAGCTAATTAGTTTGAGGCGACAGTCATGTAGCGATGTCTTTTTTAAACTACCTATTTAGAAGCCGACATAGGCAACGCTTCTAACATGCATGTCTATGTTTCTTTTTTTTTCAAATTAATTTATTTTCGAGTTTTCCTATTTTTTTCTTTACACAAAAAGATCTGCACGCGCTCAGTATTTACAAGCATACGTCAACGAAAAAGACATCGGCTCAACCTAATTATAAATTTACTACCCAGAACAATCCGGTATACCCAATGACCCGATTAAGAACCTATTTGAGCGATTACCGATATGGTTCTATATTTCAATATTAATAATTTTTTTATCTAAGTTACTATGTGGACATTACAAATATTTCTGTAAAGCTTTGAAGAGAAACCACTAATAAAAAATATAGAGTTACTAATTAGCAATTACCGTATATATCTCTTTCAATATTTCCCGGGCACAAATGGATGCATTCTGCCTCAAAATTTAGGGAAGAAACAACATGCGATGATGGGTACTAAAAATGAAAAACCGCAAAAGTTTTGCGCGCCATCATGTATCATGGTACTCTTGTTATAGTAATTCAAGAAAATTACCTTCGACCTTATCGGTTTTGATCCAACTGTAAATTAGAAAACCAAAGTTGGGTATACTTGTAAACGTCTCTGAAACAAACTTGAATCACGCTCTCAGATTTGGACATTTACGTATAATGAGTTTTATTGGACACGTCAGTGTACATAACGATCGTTTCAATATTATGTTGTTGTTCTTGTTAGTCTTCTTCTTTCGTCATGATGAAATCGCTTTTTTCTTCGAATACTGGACCAATTGGCTTTGGAAATTTTTCAGTGGTTAAAGATTGATTTTTTTGCCAGAAGGCTATTACTTTACTTATTTTGAAAATTTCTGTGGACTTCAAGAGATTCGTTTTTTATGTGTCAGAATAAAAAATAGCGACACCTTGTGACATGTCCATATATTTGAGCACATCTCTCTTGTTTATATCGTATAATTGTACGTTAATATTAAATTAACTTAGATTTTTATAGAAAGGTGGATATTCAACGGTTTATTAAAATGCACCAACGAACTATAGCTTCCAGATGCTGTAAAATACTATCTATTGGGCACATAACTTACCGGAACCTCGCTGACTAGAATCGATTATTCGCGGCAATACTGTCGCTCGCTAACAACATGTATGAAGGTGATTATCATACACTTTACGACATTGCACTCGGTAGATGAAAGTTTCTGGACTCGAATTAAACGTATGAAGCTTTTTGCTAATTTGTTATTGCCGTTGTTGTGGTGATTGATGTTGTTTCTATCTTATTTATACAGGGCCCAATATTTCCACCTAAACTTTATATATCGTGAATATTTCGCCACCACGTAGCATGTTGTCGGACTATCCCGATCCCGGATGTTTCCACTTTCCACAACCATCGACTTCTTTTTTACTCCCGTAACATTGGCTAATCGATAAAACGCCCATGATGATGTAACAATTGGATTTTTAGCAGGCACTCGAACATCTTTTTCCGTCAAATAGATTTTCGGGTGTGGTGATGAGCATTAGCTTCCTTTCGCGGATTTGCTGGCTATTTGTCAGTTTTTCGTTGTATTTCCAAAATTTAGATATAAATTTAATAACTCAATGACCAATTTGTTTTCTGGAAGGTTTTGTTTAGTTGCAGTAATCAAAAATCAGTCTCGGAGCTGCGATTGACGAAAATTTGTACCGGAGCCTACTTTCAAATGGCGGGTGGTTAAACATTTTGAATCAAAATGATGGTTTGAAACATGTAAACCAGGCTGTAAGCGCCAACTCGCGATAACATTCTCAGAATTAACGTAAGGAATTTTACAATGGTAGAGTACAGGGAGAATTTTTCTAGGGTCGAAGGTCGGGAGGACGCCCATGCCCAGCTAAAGCTTTACCGTGGGAGTCGGCAAACTGCTGCCCGCGAACGACCAGACTTTTAATGCATCAAACAAAAATTGATCCTAAATTTATTATTGTCTCCACACGGATTTATGGGGTAACAAGTGCTGCTGTACAGCGCTTGTTTTATAGTAAGTAGCGTCAGTTGTATGTCGTTTACTTGACGAACGTCCCATCGTTGGTTGGAATTATAAGTCAAGTTTATTTTGATTTTGAAAATATAAAAATGTCTGGGGAACGGAAGGAAGTTTGCCATGAGGGGCGAACATTTCAAAGTGCGTGGACGGAAAAATATTTTTCTTTCTTGCGCATTTCAAAACCAGTTAGCTTCAGATCCCCAATCAGCATCGGAGTTATTAAAAGATTTGATGTTAAACGTCATTACGAAACGTGTGATTGTAAATACGAAATTAGACCACAAAACCCGGGGCTGCGACACTGCTCATCTTTGCGACTGTGAAAAACGTAAAATGTGCGCGTTTGAAAGTATATATTGCTGTGAGCAGCTTAAACTAAAATGTATTACACTGAGAATAAATTTCGTACTCGCTTACCAGATAGTCATTTGGACGACGTACTACGAGGCAACAATGTTGGCATTTGATTTTAACGCTTTGGCCATGACACAGAAACGACATCATCCTTCGCATTGATAATATGTAAATAAAAACAATGTATTGTTTATTGATATATTACAAAAGGCCACATACACTTCTCATTGTGACAGACAAAGGCGCCTTAATTTAAAGTTTAATGTAGCGATTATCGTAGGCAGAAATTAATGCGGCCCGCACTCTACCAGAAATGTGTATATTTGGCCCGAAAGTACAGGTACCGACTACCATGTGCGGTGATACGGTCCTACATTTGTGTCAATCTATTTGGGCACTGCTCTATTGTGTTCGTATTCGAGTTATCGGGCAATTCTTCCGCGCATATTATAGCCTTTTCAACTGCGAAGTTCGAGCTGTGTTGTGGTGTCTATATTTTATTTAAATTTCATCACTATTTGATAAAAGTTCAATTCGTCATCTACCAGCCAAATACTATTTTATTTCGACCTTTAAAAATTCTTTACAGTTTTCGATCATGCATCACTATACAAAACTTTACACAGGTTTGGAGGGGAATATTAATGATCCGTTCAGTTAAATGTTTCTTATCTTAATTTTCTGATATTTGATAAAATTAACACTCGTAATACGTCACTCGTAATTTTCTTTGTTTGATATATTTAGCGCATTCATACAATCAATCCGTACATAAGGTCAATAATTTTAAAATTTGAGTGCGACAAACTTTACCATATTTTCCATTAGCAGTAAATATATATATACTAATTACAACGTGGAAGTGCTGTGGGGAGCGTTTTTGAGCTGGGGTAAACTTTTGAATCGGTCGGAAACATCCCATACTCCGACAGGCCCAATGGATAAGTTATTTATGAACAGATCAACTTCTTTTATATACGGCGTTTCCACGCGTTAACGATGGACAAATCTCTATGCAGCCACTAACATGTAAGGAGCTGTTATTTTGTGGAAGAGTCGGGTTGATGTTGGTTCGGCATTGCCTATTCAATTTATTACACCCTCAGCATGGAATTTGACCCAGAATATTTAACTACTAGTGCCGAAATTGTTAGGTTTAACAATTAAAGAACTAATCAAAAGTGCTGGGCCTATAATAATGGAAAAGGTGTTTAAACTCTACCAAAATGTTTGGTATTCGTCTCATTTAACAAAAGTACTATTATTGCGAAATTCGATAAAAATATATGCGATAGGCGCCCTTTTTAATAACGCCAAGTTAAAAATGATCTCGGTATTTTAGAAGTGTTTCTTTTTCTGTTGAACATTTTTTACAATAACTACCTACTTCTCACTCATGCAGCTGCCCTAAAAACCATACCCGCTGTCTACGTGATAGCCCAATGAGCACCCTGTGGAAAAGGATATTTGAATGGTAATTGGAACCATATATCCACATCTACTCCTTACTGTTGACGGAAAATGGAATTTATGCAATAGCTTTTATTAAAAATATAATTATTGCAACTACGGTATTTCGTACAAAAATACACAATATTATAATGAAACTAAATAATGAAACAAGAGGTATTCCGGAGTGGTTAGCCTGGTGTATCGATGCACCCAAGATAATGTTGTAGTCTTCAGTTGACTGTTGGAATATTCAGGGCTTGAATCATGGATAGCTGAGCTACATTTTCAATTGGAATGTGGACTAACCGCATAGTCCAAAACCATCCCATACAGAAAAGCCTACTTCTTTTTACCGGCAGCCTCACGCAATGTTCGATTATGTCGAATTGCAGCATAGTGTTGCCTTAATACAACCTTTTTGAAAAACGGAAGATTTTTTCGTTTGCTTTGCTTCCCATTTTTAACATCGTTTATTAATCTCCTCGCTTGAAGAATTTTAGCTTGAAGTGGAACAAGTACAGGTCGTTTTGGAGGTGTTGGTTTGTGATGTTGATGTATACTACTGAGAGAGAATACTTTTCCCGACGAGTCTCCAAGTCGATCGAGGACACTTTCGTATCTTTTTTCTTTTCTGTTTTCTTCCTTATTTATGAGAGCACATTTTAAATCCGTTCTTTGGTAATAATCCCGTGTATCTTCAATAAAATTTGTACAGCACAAAATTGCGGCCAAATTGAGACCTTCTTTCTCTCTCAAATGCGGTGTTACCCGATCACATCTTAACAGCGCTTTGCTGTGCTTTTCCAAACTTGGTGAATACTTTGAGTCCGATAAAGTCTTCGGAATTAAAGCAGGCCGCAAACATAGCTTGAATTTACTTGGTGCGTTTAATGTCCAAGACCTCAAAAGTTTCTCAAACTGGGTCAAATTGCCGAAGCTCTGCTGTAAATAAATGAGTAAGAATATTATTGAATTTGCAATTGAGCATTTTCATTGATATATATATATATATATATAATTATGCATAAATTTATCGACTAAGCATGTCCAAGTAAAGAATGAAGCGACTGACATGTTTTATCATTACATATTAAACGAATGTATTCATTACTAATATACTTACAAACTGTTTTAGGCTTTCTTGTGGTAGCTTCATTTTAGGTTCTCCGATATCGTATATAGTAGTCCGAAAATTGGAAGTGCGATACAGAGTAGTGATGGGATTTGCGTATTTTTCCATGGTATATATACTACATATATTTTTACTTGTTGGCTGCACCAAATTTCATGCTATCTGTAGCTATTGTTTGCTTTTCGGAAACGGAATGATTTCTAAACAATTTTCGCACAATTAGTCTTACTAATAGTTGGCACAAAGGCCGTCTCTATTTGCTTTTCGCTGTACAAAGTGCTACCTTTCTTGGTTATCAGGTAAAGCTTGTGAGACATATCATTTGTGCGACTGATACGCCGATTGAAAAGTCGTTATCGCCATGGGGCGTTAGTTTACCCTCAGAAATAATGATAAGATTTTCTCACGTTATTAATCAGAAGTGAGAAATTTGTAACATGTTTTAGTAGACGAATGTGAATGTTTCTGACTTATACATCATAAGAAACAGCAACCTCAGAATTCTGCCACAATTGACCATTCCACAGCGTCCAATTCAACTCAAGACCAAGCATAACTTCAGACGGGAAGGTAGAGAAACATCTGTTTTTTTAAAAATTAACGCATCCATCAAAACCATAAAAATAGTTAGCTGTGACGACAATATTTCGATTTCGTTTGCAATGTCGCGTTGAAAAGAAAGGAAAGTATTTTCGATAGACAGTATTTGCTCAATATTGCAGTACATATTCTATTATCGATTCGTATTTTAATCTCCGTCTTTGTACTCGTATATAGTTAATTGTGCTTTATAGAAGATTCTATTACTTTGCTATTCTTCAAATGATTCCAAATTACGTATTAATTTTTTACGGTAAAAATCTGTTTATGCACTATATGCCCACCGTGTGCCTATATATATGTGTTAGCACCTTTGCTTGACAAATTAAAACGTAGAACATGAAACCCGTTAAAATATTTAATAAAACACATATTGATTGGCAATAGATTCTAGTCGAAAATGGCGGCGTGGTTTTAATTATGTAACGTATATCCCCATTTCCAAACCAATTTTGAGCCATTGTGACCTACGGGCGACCGCAATGAACCGGCGCTAATTATAGATGAAAATTATTATAAATTATACTCGTGTATAGTCAGCGTCAGTGTGTTCATTAGCTTCTTTTTTTTTATTATGTTATATTGTATATCACCGAACGGTAAAGAGATGTTGGTAAGTAGCATGCATCTGAATCGAAAATAGGAATGAAGCAAATGAGGCTTCAGCTGAACGGGCGATCAACGTAAGTTTTCATAACCATCAAAAAGTTTTGTACTTGGATAAAAAGTGCTAGAATGTGAAGACAAATTATCTCTACCCGCGCAACGCGTTTCGCACATAAGCTAAGGTCGTAAAAAGTAAGATGGCAATCGGCATTGATGACACACATATATGTCAAAGCCCCAAAATTAAACGTTTCGTTGTCCTCAGGTTGCAGAATTGCTAGATCTTCGCAACCAAATACATTCAACAATGAAGTTGTCTGGGTTACTGAAACTCAAATGACTGCTTAATGACTGGCTCAAATTTTGATTAATCTGAACGCAATACACACTTTTTATACATGATTCGGAGAAAAGAACTTTATTCAATCAAATTGTCAAAAAAGTAAACATAAATAAAGTATATAATTTTTAAAGGGGAATATATAAAATCTGACGAAAAATTGAAATATTATTATATATTAATACATCAGCAAACGGCACATTTCATGTAGTTTCGAGTTGCTAGGAAATGTTGCCTCAACACAATCTTTTTCCAGAGACAAGGTTTACGTGGAGTATATTTGACTTGCGACACTTTTCTGTTGTCATTGGATGAAGTGTTTTTTCTAGCTGTTGTTTTCTTTTGGCGAATGGAAATGTTTAAACTCATATCCACACGGGCTAGTTTGGGATTACTTGATTCGTTCAAACGAGTCGTGTAGTTCATTTTATTATCTTCTGATTTTCGCTTGCGTACTCGATGAGTAACATTTGGACTGTTACTAATTACACTGACATCACAATTTGTTTGATTGGCGGAAGATTGATTTGTCGTAGTAGACTTTCGTCGAAGTGATTCTGTCAATATTTTTTGCTGTTCCCGAAAATATTCTATAGTTGAACTGAATCCATTTGTTTGCAGTTGGATCCTGAGCTTTTGCATTTCCACATTCGATCTCTGAGTGCTGGTGAGGTGATTTAAACCTGTTCTGATGCTGCTTTGTTTGCTGTAATTATATAATGCAGGCATATTCTTCGTACATGAACCAGTTTTTCTCATTTTCAAACGCTTCTGTTCTGGCATTGAATTCGATGACATGCTTTGTAACCGTTTCAGAGCCCGAGTCCACTGATCTAATCCGTTGTTCAGGTTTTGAAGATCGTTCGATGCCTGTGTGTCAATGAATAATTAGATATTACATGAAATCGCAAATTTGAATACTACCCGCTGATTCAAAAGAGAAAAACGTGAAAGCGCATTTTGACAAGTGCTCGTCATTAATACTATTTAGGTCAATCCATTCTTTATCAGCTTATTAATCTCTCGCGATAGACTAAAAAAACAAAAACGATGCGAAGGAGAAATTCGTAAACCTGGCGGGATACACTTGTGCACTGTTAAGTTAGGTCACTAACGGAGATGACAGAAGCCAGTGATAATAACTCCGTAATACCCCGTGACGAATTCCATGTAATTAACGAAAATTCCCACATATCCAGTATTAGATGAAACTTACCATGTGTTGTTGTGAATCGTTAGCAGTGGGATTCATTTCTTCAATGAACTGAAACTCTTGATTGTAGTTCAGGAATGGGATACGAAAAAATCTAAAAATAGATATGTGGAATTAGTGATCACACCAAAAAAATCACAAAATTAATATTGCAAATGTTTATTGTTTAGTATTTTATTCCGAATTAAGTATTCTTTTCATATATATAAATATATGCCTGTCATCAGCCATGGGTAAAATATACCACTGATAAGACGAACCGAAATGGAGATCATCCTTGCGTTCAACTTAAATGACGATAATGAACCCATTTTATGATTATTTAGCTGTTTTCGACATTTCGGCGATTATACTAATATATATCATATTTAAAGATATCTAATCTAGAAGTTTGCAGGGTAAATTTTTATTCTGCATTCCTTTTAGCAACCCGACCAAAAAATCGTAATCTATAAATATATGGATTTCCGAATGCTTATCCAATGAATATTATAGTAATGATGTTTCGTTCCCCTACCTGGTATAGCGATATTTGCAGTTCGTAGATTGGTGCAAACAGTATTGCCTTCTTGTTTTCAAGTTTGCTTCGTTGTACTGTAAGATGGATGACAAAGAAGTGTGTGATATCCTAAATCAGATATGAGTATTTATATGTGCGACGAGCGTTTCACGTTTCCTGCTGCGAATCGAGCTCCTTTTATTCGCCGGTAAAAGCGGCTGCATTCTTTCAAAGTCACCGGCACGGCTGCTCTCTCCTCGCTCCACTGAGGAACATCACAGACTTCGCTGTTTGCGAGGTGACGTGCGCTAGACGCTCGAGACGGGGACTTAGCTTGCACGTGGCCGAATTGAGTACGCCACTCGGAAGGTGCGATTACAACTTGACTCTTATCACGAATTTCGGCAAAGATGAATGATTTTAGCCAATTAATAGAGTGATAATAATTTTTCAATCGTTTTTGGCATAATAATAACCGAAATTAAACGCTACCTAAGTTAAACCACTCAACATATTGTTTTACGGAAATGAGCAAACTTATCACAATTGGCGGAAATATAATATTATTTTGTAATCAACATGCTTGTTCATTGATGATGACAAATATTGAAGAAGAGAATTGGAATTTAAAATTCTACAAACTACAAAAAAGGTTACGGAAGACTAATATGATTCTGGTCCGATATTTTGGTTAATGAAATAAAAGGAAAGATTGTTTTTAAAAACATATGATCAAATATGGATGTGGGGTGACTCAGTTTAGAAATTTCTTATGTTTTTATGTAGATAGTAATGCGTATACATCACATAGAACTTATTAAAATCCAGGGCCATGTGATGCGGGTTCTCTCTCCTGGATCTTTCAAAGCACATCACAGACCTCATTGTTGTTAGTACGATGACGTGTGCTAGACGCTCAAGAGGAAGTGTGCCTAATTGGGTGTTCCAAAGGTGCGATTACAACTTGACTCTTATCACGAAACTTCGACAAAGGCATAACATTATTTGTAAGTAATAGAATGATAATTAATTGGTCAATCGTTATATGCGTAATAATAACCTGAAATTAGTGTAACACAATTAAACCTACCGACATATTGTTACGGAATTATCTAGATATCACCATATAGAAGTGCTCGTCAACCTTTTTTCAAGTGGTACACCCTTTTTCTCCTTCACTCAAAATCTGGTACACCCCAGCCACCCTGCATTTTTAATTGGCTAAAACATAATATTTAAAAGATATATATTTTTATATCGACACAATATTTCGTTATTTGTCTATGCAGTCGCTGCTCCTGGATTTCATCAGTCAGTTGTACAAAGAGAGGAAATAATTTTGATTTGATTGACCCTCTCATTAATGTAACTGAATCCTCAAATGAATTTCTTTTCATTATTTCTCTGAGAGCAAAAAACCCCTGTTAGGCAAGCTATATTGTAGCCATTCCGACGAGAATGAAAACAGCTTGTGTGCCAGACTGTAGTACTCAGAAATTCATAGTACTGCCGCCGAGACTTTGTTGCAGTTCCCAATTTTTTGAGCTTTCTCTGTTGTGCCGAATCTGACCGTGATTCAAGTACAATAGAGAGGAACTCCATAACAGCACCAGAATTGCCGATAATGAATACTTTGGAATTCCCAGACTTCCATTGTGCATGAGCTTAAACACATATATACTCTGTGCGTTATTTGTGACAAGTTGTCAATTTTCTATAAATAAATTAGAAGATACCATGTTGTATATTGATGTATGTATACCTTATGAAACATGGTAAACCGCATAGTACACCCTATCGATGTGGTACACAGAGGCTATGGGGTCTGCGGGTCGAATCGGTTTGGAATGTGTAAAAAACGACGACTAATAGGCGCGACTTTCCACGCGCCGAATAAGCGCATAAAACTCTATGCTCCGTATGCGTCAAGTAAAAGCACCATGATTGTGACCGAATAAAGCGATTTTTGGACCTTTTCTAGACCTTTGACCCCCGTGAAATTCTTCCCATATTTTACCCATCCTCTGCTTTACCAGTGAAAAATGTTCGGTGCTTATTTTAAGAGTGGTTTTTACAGTTGACCCCTGTAAAATGGGGTATTTTTGTTTCAAACCATCTTTCTGATTCATAGCATTCAACATCAACAATCTGTTTTTTCATAATACCGCTGAAGAATTTTAGCCTAGTCTATCACAGCTATATATATATACACTAATTTTTGATTACTGCGATTAAACTGAAATTCCTAAGAAGACGAAGTGATCATTGAATTATTTGATATATATTTAAATATCCGAAACACAACTAGAAACTAACAAATAGATTTCAAAAACGCGAAAACGAGGTAATGTTTACGACGACGCCTGAAAATCTGTCTGAGCAAAAAAATTGTCTGGGCGGATGCGAAACTAAGTCACTTTTTAGATCTTGCTGATTGGCCAATGTCATGAAGTAAACCTTGCTCGGGGAAACATCCAAGTCGATGCTCGGGGAAACATCCAATCCGTCTGCAATTTCCATTTGAAGCCATTGTTTCCGTCGAATCCTGGCATATTCAGTTTCGATTTCTAAAATCATTCTGTATCACACATAGCAATTGTTAGAACATCAGGTCTTTTAGAAACTCGCGTTTTGCGGCCTCCGGCCAGACCACCTGTTACAGTCAAACTTGGCAATAACAAATTCCAGGGTGCTCCCGAAGTATGTGTACCAAGATGGCGCACTACCTGACCATAGTATGTGTACCAGCTACCAGGTTAGAATTCAGGTTGTGCGTCATCTTGGTACACATACTTCCGGAGCGCCAATTTCAGAACCCTTTTTTGAAAATTTCTGGCTACGCCCTTGGTGGTACACCCTTTGAAGTTTGTGGTACACCCTGGGGTGTACTATACACCCGGTTGACAAGCACTGCTCTAACGGTATGATATTGCACTGCTTCCAGATGGTTGTCGACCACTGTTACAAACTACGTACAACGCTTGAAATATATTTTACCTAGATTTTTATTTTAATATTGTTGTGATTTTGAAAGATTATGAAATTGGAATTTGATGAATTACGCCAGTGTCGCTAAATATCGATATCCTCCGACCGAGACAATAGAAGACTATTATTAAAAATGTTTGATCTGGACAAATCTCAAATCGGTCGATAACAAAAATTTCCGATTGAATTGAAAGTAATGTGTATGAGAGGATAAGTTTTCCATGCCACCCTAAAGCACACAGCAGGCGGTATGCATGTAACGAGGCCGTCAACAATTTGATAAACGTCGATTTTCTGTATTTTTGAAACCATAAATGGGCTATTCCAAGTGACACTACGGGACAATTCCAGAAATTTTGCATGTTGTTAGATTCAATATATTTTTCACATTTTCAGCTACATGTTTTGTTTCATTGTCCAATCAGTTGCTTTATTGAATATGTAAAAAATTGCACAAAAGTTACACCCAACCTTACTTGGTAGATAAAAAAAATATAGTAAAATATAGCGTGACACTACAGGACGGCAAATCCACCATGCACTAACAGTACGTTGTGTTGTGCTGTAAATTTTCGCGATGGTACAGTAGGAGCCCATAATATTTTCTGGTGCAGTAGCTGGACTACCCCTCTATGTGTTGCTCAAGTTACTTAATGTAACACTGTAAATCCATGCCAATAATGTGCATATTGTATGTGACACTACAGGACATTTTTCCACTTCGGAATAGCGGCATCTATCATCTCTTAAAATTCTGGTAATAAATCGTTAAATGGGTGAAGAAATGTTCTACAGCACTGCAAACATTTAAACTTTATTAACTTAAATCCAGTGCGTCAATTCCATATGAAATAACTGTACCACACAATCAAACACTTTGTGTCAGGAATCATCACAAAATATGTCAATTATTCCAAAATTTATACATTTCAGGCCATTTTTTAAAAACCATCAAAACCTGGGTGAAATTTTAAATTGTTCAATGAAATGAATGCAGTCCAATAAAATTCCAATGTCTTTTGATATCAAAAGTAAAAAAAAAAATAATTTCACTACACTTTTTAAAAAATTGATGGAATTCAACTTTTGCTTGGAATGGCCCAAATATACAAATTGGCAAAGACAAAACATTTCATTTATATAGCGTTAAAGAATAGGTTCCATTTGTATTGTTTACGATGATAAAATAATATTATCTCATCAACGCCAATCAGCCAGGTCTTAAATTTATTTGATACAAAGAAAGCAAATCAACGAAAGCATACCAACAACTATGACTCGTACGTTCTATCGTCTATTTCGATCCACATATCGGGGTCTTTGTAACCATGTCCTGTGATTGTTAGGCCAAATCCAGAATCAAAGGTGAATAGAGCGTACATCTAAAGCCAAAGCCGAATATTTAATAAAATTAAACGCAGACGAAAATTTCCGCGCATGCAAAATTTCTTCGGATAAAAGGATTCGGATTTTTTTGGCCTCGAAACGAAGGCACTCCAATAATATCGATATAATGCAAAGTGAGACATGTGGGGCAAAGGGACACGTTGGGCAAGTGGGACACGTGGCAGAAGTGTGACAATTGGGACATGTGGGGCACGACCTTTTTGAGACACCCAGAATTCTGGCTGAGAAATGAAAATAGGAATGAAGCAAATGAGGCTTCAGCTGATAGAACGATCAACGTGACTTTTCATAACATAAAAACATTGAAAAGTTTTGTACTTGGAAATTAAAGTGGTAGAATGTCAAGACGAATTATCTCTACACACGCAACGCGTTTCGCACTTCAGCTAAGGCCGTAATAATTGGGATAGTGATCGGACATATATGCCAAAGCCCCCACAGTATTGAACGTTTTGTTATCCTCAAGTCACAGAATTGCTAGATCTTTGCAACCAAATACAATTGCTCTATTCAACAATAAAGCCTAGGTTAATGAAACTCAAATGACTATGTAATTCTGGTTAAACGGACTCCGAACTGTCATACATGATTCGGAGAAGAAAATTTTATTCAATCAAATTGTCAAAAAAGGTGAATCTAAATAAAGTATAACATATAAAGGGAATATATAAAATCTGAATCTAAAAAATTGAAATAATATTATATAATAATACATCAACAAACAGCACATTTCATGTAGTTTCGAGTTGCGAGAAAATGTTGCCTCAAGACAATCATTTTCCAAAAACAAGGTTTACGTGGAGTATATTTGACCTGCGATACTTTTCTGATGTCATTGGATGAAGTGGTTTTTCTAGGTGTTGTTTTCTTTTTGCGGATGGAAATATTCAAACTCATATCCACACGGGCTTGTTTGGGATTACTTGACTCGTTTAAACGAGGTGTGTAGTTCATTTTATTATCTTCTAATTTTCGCTTGCGCACTCGATGAGTAACATTTGGACTGTTGCTAATTACACTGACATCACAATTTATTTGATTGACGGAAGATTGATTTGTCGTAGTAGACTTTGGTCGAAGTGATTCTGTCAATATTTTTTGCTGTTCCCGAAAATATTCTATAGTTGAACTGAATCCATTTGTTTGCAGTTGGATCCTGAGCTTTTGCATTTCTACATTCGATCTCTGAGTGCTGGTAAGGTGATTTAAACCTGTTCTGATACTGCTTTGTTTGCTGTAATTATATAATGCAGGCATATTCTTCGTACATGAACCAGTTTTCCTCATTTTCAAACGCTCCTGTTCTGGCATTGAATTCGATGACATGCTTTGTAAACGCTTCAGAGCCCGAGTCCACTGATCTAATCCCATGTTTAGTTTCTGAAGATCGTTCGATGCCTGTGTGTCAATGAATAATTAGATATTAAATGAAATCGCACATTTGAATACATCTACCCGCATTTTGACAAGTGTTTGTCATTAATACTATTCAGGTCAATCCATTCTTTATCAGCTTATTTATCTGTCGCGATAGACTAAGAAAACAAAAACGATGCGAAGGAGAAATTCGTGGCGGGAAACCTGGCGGGATACACCTGTGCACTGTTAAGTTAGGTCACTAACGGAGGTAACAAAAGCCAGTGATAAAAACTCTGTAATACCCCGTGACGAATTCCATGTAATTAACGAAAATTCCCACAAATGCAGTATCAGATAAAACTTACCATGTGATGTGAACCGTTAGCAGTGGGATTCATTTCTTCAATGAACTGAAACTCTTGATTGTAGTTCAGGAAAGGGATACGTAGAAATCTGAAAATAGGTATATGTATATGTGGAATTTGTGACCACGGCAAACAATTCACAAAATTTATTTTGCAAATGTATTGTTTAGTATTTTATTCCTAATTGAGTATCTCTCTTCAAATACTAACCCATGCTTGTAATCAGCCATGGGTAAAATATACCATTGATAAGCTCATACTTGAAGTGATGGTTCAACTTAAATGACGGTGAAAGTGAACAATTTAATGATTATTTTAGCTATTTCGACATTTCGGTGATTATTATAAGATATATATATATATATATATAGATAATCTGCATTCCTTCAAGTAACCCAACCAGAAAATCGTTACCTATAAATTAATGTATTTCCGAATGCTTATACAATGAGTCAATGAATATTAAAGCAATGATATTTCGTTCACCTACCTGGTATAGCGATATGATATTTTCAGATAGTAGATTAGTGCAAACAATATTGCCTTCTTGTTTTCAAGCCTGCTTTGTTGTACTGTAAGGTGGATGGCAGAGAAGTGTGTGATATCCTAAATCAGATGCGAGTATTTATATGTGCGACGAGCGTTTCTCGTTTCCTGCTGCGAATCGAGCTCTTTTTATTCGCCGGTAAAAGCGGCTGCATTTTTTCAAAGTCACCGGCACGGCTGCCCTCTTCTCGCTTCAGCGATGAACATCACAGACTTCGCTGCTTGCAAGGTGACGTGCGCTAGACGCTCGAGACGGGGACGCGGCGAACACGTGGCCTAATTGAGTAGCTTCGGAAGGTGCGATTAACTTGACTCTTATCACGAATTTCGGCAAAGATGAATAAAATGAGCCAATTCATAGAGTGATAATAATTTTTCAATCGTTATTGGCGTAATAATAACCCGAAATTAAACGCTACCTAAGTTAAACCACTCAACATATTGTTTTACGGAAATGAGCAAACTTATCACAATTGCCGGAAATATAATATTATTTTTAATCGACATTCTTGTTCAATGATGATAACAAATATTTGAGAGATTTTGGAATTAAAATTCTTCATACTACAAAAGAGGTCACGGAAGAAAAATATGATTCCGATCCGAGATCATGAACTAGAAATCTGACCAGCGACCGAGATTTACGATTTGTTACCAGTGTGATCCGTGTATACAATGTAAAGTTAATGTTCAAGTTCTAACCTTTCGAAAACAATATTAGATAGATCCTTTGTGCGACCGGGGTCAATCCATCAGCAACCAAGGTCATTTCAGGTAAAATTTTCAATAGGTAACCGGGAAATAGCGCAGCCCCTCTGATTCGGAAATTGGATACTGAAACTCAAAGGGTGGAAAGAAGGCACAACCTTCAAATAAAACAGAAAGCTAGTTCAGCAAGATTTGTTCAATCGGGAGCTACTCTTATTCCTCGCCGCATCGGAGGTAATATCGCTTCTGGAACTTATTTTGTGAATAAAAATTATCATGATTCAATCCGAACATTCAAAATTACAAGGCGTAATTAGCAATGCTGCCGTTAGCAATTGACTGTTTGAGCTAAAATCCAGAAAATCTGAATTCGAATCAAGTGCAGTATATGATAGCGAGAATCATGTCCATATAATCTGATCTAAGTACATTTGCCATTCAGAGCTAGAGGTTTTGTTCTTGCCTATGATACCCTGGTTATGACTGCGAATTTCACATACATTTCACAACGATCATTTGGTATCATATAACTTCAACCACCGGGTATGTCGGTTCATGTCATTGGCAGTGTGTTCATTAAATTCAATCAATAAGTATGGGTCAACAAATTCACATACATATGCCACACAAATAAAAATTTATTTGTGCCAAGAACGGTACATTTTATGAATGCCTGATCGAATGCGCAAATTGACATTTTTTGGTTATTGAAATAGAAGAAAAGAGTGTTTTGAAGAATATATATTGATCAAATATGGATGAGCGTATAAGCAATGTGGGAAGACTCAGTTTTGGAACTTCTTATGTTTTATGTAGACGCTCGAGAGGAAGTGCGCCTAATTGGGTATTCCAAAGGTACGATTACAACTTGACTCTTATCACGAAACTTCGACAAAGGTATAGTATTATTTGTTAAGTAATAGAATGATAATTAATGTTCAATCGTTATAAGCCTAATGATAACCTGAAATTAGAGTAACGCAATTAAACTTGCCGACATATTGTATACGGAAGTGAATAGATAAAAATATATAAATACATATGTGCCTTACATGATGGCATGACGCCACTTAAATAGACCTATAGCCACACACTTGCAACAAATACTATAAGGCCGGGATTCTCTTACGGTTTTCAAGTTGCAACACGAAAAAGTCATGTAATATGTCCCGAATGAACCCACAACCACGAAGTATTTGCTTGAGAACTTCACTTAATTCTGTACATTGTACAGTATGAAATGAATATTCCCCCGCTCGCATATAGACCTGAACCACAATGTTTTAATAAAATAAAACGGTTCCTGATCCCACCGATAACTGTCATTTGATCCCATTGAACTTTAGATAAATAATGCGAGAGTCAATTTTCGATGCATTTTCAATTCAAAGCAAGTTAAGTTTATGGCGACTGTAAGCATTTATAAACCATTCAAACATCTATTTTTAAATAAAGCGGTATCGTGAGTGTTTCATGTATAGTGGACAGAGAGTAATTTCCAACTACATCCCGAGGAATGAATTTGTACCTATAGCCTGAACATTAACGTTCTATCAACAGTCAATTCATCAGGCGGTTTAATAATAAATTTCCAATTAACAAACAAGAAATCGTCAAGCAAAAGAACACGAACAAACATTAAAAAAAAGTAATTCTCTTAAATCGTAGCATTTAGTGAATGCAAGAAATGATAGATTTGGCACTTTTGAAAATGAGATGAAAAAATCCAAACATAATAAATTAGTAGTACGAACGTTTGAGCATGTGAAAAATACTGAGAATTATCCGTGAAAAATTATACCAATGCATCGCAGCGTGGACCATTGATCTACAATGATGTAGGTATCTCAAATCAACAACCTCGGGAGCACCGGATGTTTGTCAGAACTAAACTCTGACGTGAAGTTCAATAATTCACAAGTTATAATTTATATTTTACTTGCAAGAAGTGAGTAAATGTGTTCTTGTTTTATCTGTAACATTTTTAAATATAGTTGGACAGGAGGCGAAGTTTCGAAAAACAATGTAAGTGAGCAGGAAGCTCATTGATTTATACTTAGGTAAAACTAATCAATTAGTTAACACCACATATTGCGAGAAACAGACAAAAACATTTAGGATATTCCCGAAGTATGTGAACCAAGATGGCGGACACCGGAACGTGTACCAGGTTAGGGTTAGGCCATAATTTTATTCCAATTTTCCTTATTTTAATTCTATTACGGGTTTGGGGACTAGCCAAGTGACTCCCGTAGTAATTGTACCTGAAATTATGGACTAATCCTAACCTGGTACACATACTACGTTCCGATGTCCGTCATCTTGGTTCACACACTTCAGGAGTACCAAATTTAGAAATAAAAGAAAATAGTATAGAAATTCCGCTTAAAATGGCATTTTTATTAGAAATATAATCAAATTTTTGAGACAATAACTAAGCATTTTAAACAAGCAAAATATTCCTATGTATTACATTTCCAAATACCCGATAGAGAACACAGAGAGAGTACAAGCCCCAAGCTCTGGCTATAATATGGTGTATTTCAAAATATTGAAATCAACCAAATGAATCCATTTCGATAGTAAAATATGACTCAGTTCCAGAATAAGTGGCAATCCATATCAACCCATACACTTGTATTTAGTTGTCCCGTCGTTTAGCTAAGATCGTTTACTACTGTCAAAGGGTAAAATCATGATCTGACATGAAGTATTATGGAAATATTGTAAATATGGGCATGCAAATATGAATAGATGGAAATATAATATTGAAATGCAAAACAATTTTTTTCAAACAAAAACATTTGATGGTTTCAAAAAGGCGTTATCAATTGTGTTCGTGATCCAATCTCGATTAGCAATTATCTCAGTATAAACATGAAATTGCTTGTCTTTGGAATCACTCAAAGCAAAATTGAATAACCCCACTGCATACCAGTTTTCATTCCAAAGACATTGTAACACGGTTCCACCATCGTTATCAATGTATTTACTTTCAAACATCAGTGGCAATTGTGGATCAGACTCGTAAAACATTTCAGTACATAAAAGATCTCCACTATCGAAAGAGAGGCCTCTTTCAAAAATTAACAATCTGTCACAAACTTCACGAGTGAGTATACGTGCTGTAGCTATTTTAGTAAATCTCCAGGTTTGAGATGGTTTTGTCATCAACGAAGATTTGTAACTACTCACAACGCAGTTGTCACCAGCTCTTTCAACACGACCGACATCAGGAGAGGGGAGACAAATAGGATGTAAGAGATCTTCCGGCATTTGAATCCCTCGTACGAGTCGCACCATAGCAATATTATTAAGTAACATATCAGGTTGGTATTTAGGATGAACCCACACCTTGTCTGCGTGATCGAATCGTCGACGTTTGAACTTTAGAAGAAATTCTGACTGCGTAAAAAAGTCATACGCGACAATGAGTTTGACAACTTCTTTTGCACTATGTATATGTTCAACACACTGGGCAGACGTGATTACAAACCTCTTGTCAATAAAGGTTGCATCACACACACGTTTCCAAGTTACTATAACAACTTGCCATGGATACCCATGGTTTGTCGTATTGTGAAAATCAGTTGGACCCAATTCGCTTACCCCACACGTTGGATACAAGGGTGGATATTCTTCTGAAAACCAACGAGCAGAAAATCCCTGACCGTTGTCTTTATCACTATGATCAGAAGTTAATTGAATATGTAACACACCATGCAAGCTCTTCACTCTTAAATTATCCCTGCTATGACACACGGTACTCAAAATGTCGCTTTGTTCGCGGTCACTGGTGGCCCCGTCAAATATTACAATGTTGTCGGTGAAACATTTGTTTCCCTTTTCGGCTCTATTTGAAAGCTCTACTAATGAAAAGTCGACATAAATGGTTTTCGTTAAAGCAATTATTGTCCATTTACAAAGAACATCTCCTGGGTACGACGACGGGAAATTAGGAGTGGCCAGATTACCTTCTTCGTCATGGAAGGTTCCTCCGCACATATATGTACAAACCGGAACACCCTGTGAATAAGATTCTGACAAACTCAAATCGCCTTCATTATTAGAAGTGGATGAATCTATTGCTACCCAGTCAAGATTTGTAGCAGTAAAATTAGATGTTGCTTGAAGTCTGTGCGTTATTAATTCCATGTTGACACTTATTTGATAACTGGCGGATATGGAATGTATGTCGCCGCAATGAACTCTCTGTGCAGTAATGTTTAGATTACATTTGCCCAGAACTAAATGCCCACTTGATTCCAGTTCCCAACATAAGTGATTTGCAACGTTCTGTATTCTTGAACTTCCGTACCACCGCCATAATTTGAAAGGAGATAGTGGGCTGCAGTTGCTCATGAATAGAGTTTTGTTCTCTCCTTTAGTTGCTTCTATACAATTATTAGATGCGATTTTCTCGTTGTTAGATTGGTAAAATTTTTCATTAATTAGGAAGTTTATATGATGAGAATAGGTGTTTGTATCATGGCATTGTGGAGTATCGCTCTCCGACCATTTGCCAGTAGTGAGGCATTCTACTGATGACGCGCCGCTAAGAGCAAAGCCATGGTCACACGAGTAAGAACATAATGTTCCGATAGGGACGCCCAGTGTTGTTATGCATGATTCAGGTTCGACAAATCCATGGTACAATCGCTGTAATGGAGTGCATTTCAAAGGAGTACACAACGTTTTAGGACCAGACCATGAGCCGCCAGACATACACGTACGTTCATTATTATCGTGTATCCGGTATCCATCGTCGCATTCATATTTCATGTCAGTCCCTTTAACGATGGCACCATTATTCAATTTCGAATATTTTATGGAAATGATGGAATCTACTTCAGTTAAATATTTATGACATGTGTTGTTTCTACAAGTTGGTAACCCATGAGACCAAATTCCATCCTTGCACACGAGACGTGATTGTCCATCTAGCCAAAAGCCTATTTCGCAGGTTACAACACAAGTACCACTCGCTGAGCTTTTATTGAACACACATCGCTCAGGAGATATCAAGCCATGGGGGATTGGGTCGAGTTTGAGACATAGCTTGCGACAGAGTGTTTGCTTGCCAGACCACGTTCCACGACTCAAACAAGTTCGATTTATTTCTCCAACTATGTCATAACCTTCTAGGCAATTGAAAGAACATGTTTTCCCAACATCGTTTTCTGAATTCTGACAGGATTCGGGTGATACTAATCCATGTACAGGTGGAGGCAGCGTTGCACAAAATACGTTACAAGTAGGTAACCGATCACTCCATTTTTGATTCGCAGTGCATAAAACGACCTCAGTACCTGATAACAAATAGGTTTCTTTACATCGGAAGAAGCATCGTTTTCCTTCTGAAATTCTCTTGTCTTTGCAAATCGACGGACGAACTATTAATGGTTCCAGCACCATAAGTGGCGGGCATTTTGAAACGCCAATACAGACAGGAGGATCTTTTGTCCAGAATCCGTTCGGACGACAAATTGATGACTGGTCACCTTCTATTATGTATGAATCATCACATTGGAAATGACATTTCGTACCCGATGTTATAAATTCAGACGTACAAAGTGCAGGAGTGATTACACCACCATATATTGGTTGCATTGGTGGACAGACACCTGTCAATCTCTTGGAACAAATTGTTGAGATACCCTCATAATCGTTCACCATCCAGCGTGGGGATGGGTGGGAATTGTTGTTGAGTGTAATTCTGGTGGTGAACTGTGGACCTGACCCCAAAAATAAACCAAGTTTCGGGAGTTTAACACGAAATTTGTTTAAATGTGAGGTTGCATCACATTCCCAATACTGATTAACATGATCTGAATTGCAGTCTGCGACGAACACGTCACTTGGTTGCGATGAATTTTGAAAGTGTTCAAAATCGTAGCTGACGTCGGTATTCTCTTCGGCGTCATGAACCGTTTGCGTTTCTGTTTTCCCCGTGATCTTTAGCATTTTATCATCACTAAAGTTTGCTTGTCGTAGCGAAAGGCAAGACTCGCTGTAAACATTCTCGAGAGTGTGATGTGACCTCCATCGCCACATCTGAGATTTGTTACGTAGCTTGCATGGAAGCTTAACAACTTGATTTCCACTTATTACTGTTAAACACATAGCTATTCTCAAAGCTAAATTTTTCGTTGATATCGCAAATTGAACATCTTCAACACAGGAAAATTCGGTGCCTGACCATTCGCCGAAACCCTGACAAATCCTGGCCTTCGGTCCGTTAAGACGATAGCCGACTTCACACTGTATTGTACATGTACCGTGGGTACAAGGCAAAGGATATAGTTTGGCATTTTTAGGCTCTTTCAATTCAGTACACAATAATTTGCACGTAGCGCGTTTATTTCCACTCCACTCTCCATTTTTTAAACATTCGCGTGTTTTTGACGCAGCTTGCAACACATACCCAGATGGACATGAATATTCACAAATTGTACCTACTGCCGCTTGTTCTGATAAACACGACTCGTTTACAAAAAGTACTTTCCCTTCTGGGAGTAAAGGTGGGCATCTCGGTTCGCATTCTCCGACAATATCGGGCATCCACATGCCAGAATCATCACATTGAAATACTGATTCTCCTGAAATTACATGATGTATATTTAAACATTCCAATGTACAAACTGTTGAAGGAGGCACAATTTCTTCTCGGCATATATGAGGACTTACAGATACTCCGCCAGAAAGTAACAATTTTGGACAACCTCGATGAGGTCTCACGGAACAAAGCGTTCCGAGTTCGTCCTTGCTATTGGGGTTGAACGTATAAAAAAATGATTCTGGTGCTCCGACCTCCTGGAGGGTTATTTCTGGCAACTCAGGATATCTTCTTCCGGGGCCCAGTAAGGTCCCACTCAAAAATATACTATAGGGCTCTTCAGAATCACAGTCCCATTTTTGTAAAGAACTATGGTCATCGCAAGGTGAAACAATAATTGATTCGTCGACCGCTAATGATACTGCTGTAAGACACAAACCGCTGGCAAGATTAACAATACTATAGTGGTTTCTCCAAGCCCACTTTGTCCCAGAAGATTCATTCCTGCACGCCTCCCACGAATGCATGGTGACAAAAGATTCCTCTATTCCCAAACACTTCGTATCGAAGGCAATTCGTTGCACCATCAAGAGTGGATATGGAATATACTTACAACGCGTGATAAAAGGGGTCCAATTACCCATGACACAAGTTGAAGTAGGATGAGTTATCGGAACGTGAAATTTATGGCAATGCACAGTACATTTTTCCCCGTCGAAGACAACCCCAAGATTATTTTCTTCTGAATTTTCGCAAACGACGGCTCCATTCTCAACCTCATAAACATCACAAACATGTAAACATTGTTTTGGCGACGGCCGATTCCAAAAACCATTAGGCAAACATGACAAGGAAACCGTTTTTGCTCCATCAGCACACAATGTTCCATTAACGCATCCCACAGTACACTTTGTATTTACCGGTTGTGAAGATTCGGTGCAGGATACAGGTAATACTGAAGCCAATTTGATAGTTCCTAGAGGCGGACAACTAGGCACACATTTTGCTTCTGTACCGGTCCATTGACCTTGTCTGGAACATGTTCTAAGATTGGAACCACTTAGTAAATACTTTTCTTGGCAGGAATGTGTACATACCGTTCCGGCATATATATCTCCATTCATGCAAACAGATGGTTTAATGTTACCGTTAAGAGGTTTTTTAAGACGTGGACACTTTCTTGTACACACACCAAGTTTTCCGTTCCAGGTACCTCCACTGTTGCAAGAGACAAATTTATTGCCAATTACTTCGTAGCCGGTGTCACATTTAATGTTACACATCGACCCAGGAGCACTATCAAAGTGCAAACAGTCTGATGGATAGATAACGCCATCCACGGCAACATTTTCAATTACGGGACAATATATTTGACAATACAGTTCCTCTCCACTCCACGTCCCATTCTCTAAACACCGTCTGTAATAAGTTTCAGAAGGAGAATATCCAGCCTCACACGTAAACGAACAAATACTACCGATCTGAGATTGATGTCGGAGACAATGCGCTGGCCCTACAATCGAATGTGGTGGTTGATCAACAATATTACAAGGTTTTATGCATTTGGAATCAAAGCCAGACCACTCGCCAGTTTCTGTGCACACACGTTTAGATGACCCACTCAAAATGTGATCATGTTGAAGGCAGGAAATCTCGCATTCTGTTCCTTCAATAAGTCTTTGACCTAGGTCAATACACAATTCTGGAACTACTGATCCAAGCAAGGGGATGTTCAATGTTGAGCAGGTTTTTTTACACATCGGCGGGCTCGAAGTCCATTTTCCGTTGTTCAAACATGTTAAAGTATGATCTCCTACTAGTACATAATCTGGCGGGCATGAAAATCGGCAGGTCTGTCCTTCTGGCAACGACACAGAATAAAGGCAATTTTCCGGGGTAGCTCTAACACGTTTGTCAGCGACAAGGCCATCACAGGCCGGCGCGCATTTCGGTACACCATTGCTCCAATATCCAGAATTTAAACAGGTCGACGTCCGAATATCAGTGGTTGGAACAAAGCCACTTTTACACTGGAATGAGCAATCGGTTCCAATCGGCACAAGGGTCAATTGACATTGGGGCGTTATTGATAAATGTTCGCTTGGTTGCAAACCGTGACATGCATCGGCGTCTTTAGCAGAGCAGAGTAATGTGTGGTTGCTTTCCGACGTCATGGCGTACCACTGCAAATTTGCAAGAGGAACAATGGATTTCTTGTTTAAAAAAATAATGATATCGGTACTTAGCAGCATTACTTTGGATGGCGAAAGAGAAGTGAACACAGGAATTGCATCAGTATTTTTCAAAGATATGACATTTTTATGACCGAAAGTAGAGCAATGCCACTTTTGATTATTTTCAATATCAATGCAGTTTTCAAGTATAAGATAATTACCGAAATCACGGGAAGAAGCTGACAAGCACATATTAGCACCCACGTTGCGTATTTGGTTAGATCCGTGCCACGCCCATAAGAACCATGGCGATTTTAGATTACATTGGGCAATATTTGAAATGCGTACAATCAATTTTTCATCAGTAAAAAGACAAATACTAGGAGATGGCGGAGAACTTTGCAACAAAAGAAACTGTTTCTCGTACACACAAGTAGCCTTCTTTCCACTCCATAGACCGTTACTAAGGCATTGGCGAAGCGGATTCTTGTCAACTGTGTAATCAACTTTACATATCGTTCGAATGATCGCACCTTCCACATTTTCGTGGCCACTTTGTAGTATATAGACTGCATTTGACGGAGGGTACAACTTTGGGCATTTTCGTAAGCATGTTGCAATCTTTCCACTCCACAACCCATTTGCACCACAAGTTCTCGATTCCCCACCAATCAATTTATATCCCGATTTGCACCTGTGAATACAAACGCTGCCAGGCATCTTTTTTGAACTGAAGCAATCGGAAGGGGCGACTATGCCATGGATTACTGACGATAAAGCTGGACATAATATGGCACATGAGCCCTGTGGGCTTGACCATTCACCATTTGGCTGACATAGTTGGGTACTTTTGCCCTCAATTTCATAACCATCGTTACATACTGTTGAGCATATTGTTCCGGCTACTTGTGTTTCTTCTGTACATTCCGGTGGTTGGATCGCTGACGCGTGCCTGTGTTTAATGGGTGCACATAATTTATAACAAAACGGCTGAATTCCAGCCCAAGTACCAGTCGGAAGACAAAGCTGAACTAAATCACCGGAATGGATGAAACCGTAATCACAAATAAATTCACACCGAGAGCCTGGCATTGACGGATGTCTGCTGCAATTTACATTAGTGCCCGTGGCAAAATCTGGAACTGCCAGGGCGGGACACATCCTTACGCATTTTGGTTCCTGATCATACTCCCATCTTCCACGCCACATACATTTGGCACTTGAACTTCCTACAAGTGTGTAGTTTTCATTGCAGTGAAAGGAACATACCTCGCCGACTGAAATAAAGTCATATTGCGGTATTGTGGAGTGTTTCAATTGGCAATTTGGACTAACAGCGCCATTCTCAATAGTAGTCCATTTGTGTATCATGCATACATCCGCATTAGTCCGGCGCCCACAAATATGCTCATTTTCGATGTTTGTCCATTCGTCCTTGCCGTCTTTCGGGTCAAAAAATGAAGGAGATACCAAAGAAAAATCCGCATTTCGCATTTTAATGGCAAATACTCTATTGCTGTTATTAATATGTACGAGCTTAACACCAATATAATAATTAATGATTTCATACTCTAGGTCGTCCACACCACAGTCCCATCTTTGTCTGACATCAGTCAATGAGCAGGGCGCAAGTGACAATGTTGACAGAGAAGTTGCAGAGTCGTCAATGTTGAGGCAGTGAGTAAGATTTTTCCTGTTTTTCAACACGTGGTGATAAAATACCCACAGAACCCCACGATCATTCGTATCACATGATGTGAAGCCCACAAACGTGGGAGTGATAGCGTTAATGCACAGTCCTGTTGACCTAGATTGTATTTTAAACTCGGCAACTTTCAAGCATTTGTATAATTTTTCATGTTCATTTTCCGACAAAGACCACTCTCCATCTCTTTGACATTTAATATATAACGGTGACCCATAAGCATAAGGGCCGGCGAAAATGTCATACTCGTCAACACAATCCAGATAACACAAATCCCCTTCTGTGTTATTTCCTTCAAAACATCTTTCTGGTGACATGATAAATTTAGATTTTTGATGATTCCGATTGGACTCTGATACAAAATCAAATACCTTGCAAATCTTTAAACAACGATTTTCAGGTCCTGTCCAACCTCCGTTAGCTTGGCACCTGATACTGCTTGGAATAGTCCTATCCGGTAAATAACCCATGTTACAATTAATACTGCACATCGTTCCGTGTGACACTGCACCTTGAGTACATGATGAGGGCATGAGATAACCATTGGCTGGCGGAGATAGACCGGGGCATTTAATGGGAGGATTAGTAGTCAGTAGAGCACATGTAGGCACAGGACCACTCCATTCACCCCCTACACACTTTATTGAGTTATTCCCTACGATTTCATGATCGAAGTTGCAAAAGAACTCGCATGTGTCTCCATCGAGGAGCACTTGGTCGCCATTGCAATTGCCTGAAACAGATCCGTTTATAGGGGACGATACATGCTTACATTTACTAAGACATTCTGGAGCAGGTTCACTCCACTCTCCGTTTATTAGGCACACTGTACCTTTATTGAGCTTGTTCGATGCGATTTTCACGGACCCTTCGTCACAGGATATTTCACATACTCTATCGCCAGTCGTAGATGAATTTGTGTTTAAGCAGGTTTCATCATTGATTGATGCATTCGATGGAAGAGTTAGTGGCCGACATGTCTTATAAGAACAGTCGATGTTGACATTGGACCACATTCCATATTGGAGACAATTGAAAAGAACACCTTCTGAGGGACTACCTATTTGAGGCCCGCTTGGGCAAAATAAAGTACAATTAGAGCCAGTATCTACCGCAGAATGGCAATGCAAGTCACTCGAAACAAAATATGTTCCATCTAGGAGGCTAATCCTGGGACATGTATTATGCGCAATACCGCACACACTTCCCTCATTTAAATCCAAGTCTGTCGCTTTCCATCCGTAATAGCTGCGATTTTCAAAATTTTCGTCAAACAACGAGTCCAACTCAACATGTGAGTTGTCATGTCTGCGGAGATAGTGTGTGCCGTTATTATTCAAAATTACATATCGACCAAGGCGTAACACATATTGCCAGCGAATAGCCCGAGATGCTTCACAAGAACTCAGAATGATCAGTGCATTATCTCGAATGCTTTCAGAACCCAGACATAAGTTAGCTCCGACATTTCGAAGTTTGTCATCTTCATCAGCTTTCCATATAAACATTGGATCAGTTCTTACACATAGATGAAACGGTTTAAGCACTAGACGATAGGTATTTTGTAGCAAATATTTATTCGCATACAAGCATCGCTTATCTTCATCATGGTTATTCCAGATGAAAAACTGTCTATCGACAACACAGCTACTGGTATATCCAGACCAGCTTCCCGACGCTAGGCAAGTTCGAATACGAGACCCAGAAAGAATAAAACCAGCATCGCATGACACTGTACAAATTGTATTTTCAACAATATCCCCTGTTCCAGAGCAACTAGATGGCGTCAACGACATTCCAACTGCAATAGGTAGACCTTGACAAATGCGCTTACATACTGGCGTATTATGACTCCATAACCCCGAAGAAAGGCATTTGATTGTTGAAATATTGGTTAACATGGCATAGTCAGTATCACATGTATACGTGCATGATTCTCCTTCCACATAAAAGCTTGGGCCATTCATACAACTGCTTGATCCGTGACTCGAGAAAGTTGGTTTATTGCATTTTCTCTGGCACACGGGTTGATCGTTATCCCATGCCCCGTTCACACAACGATAAAATGAAGATGTTGAAAGAACAAAGCCTTCTGCGCACTCTATTTCACATAAACTACCATTGCGATGCAAACCGCTGTTGTCAAAACATTTATCCGACGATTTGATCGATCCACTTCCAACTACAACTAAAGTGTTACACAGCGGTACGCAAATTGGTGGGGGAAACGTCCAAATACCTCCTTTCAAGCAAACCAAGTGTTTTTCCCCGACAAGAATTGTATTTGTCGGGCACGATGCTGTGCAAATGATTTCCTGATCAACATACTTATCGTGACACGCAACTGGGGCAATCGACATTTTTGAATCCGTATGCAATCCCCTGCATCCAGCAACACAATTAGGAGTAATTGCGTTCGACCATATTCCGTTTACGCATTGGCTTTCGAGGTCTTGGTCACGGAAAGTGAACCCTGTTGAACAAACGAATGTACAATACGAATATATTCTACTTGTAATTTGAGAGCACGATGATGGAGACCAACGGCCGTTTTGACCATGTTTTAAAGGCGGACATCCTCCGTTATTGAAAGCACCATAAAATGAAGAAACTCTACTCGCTGTGAGGTCGTAAAGCTTCCAACTCGCTTTTAAATGAGTAATCTGGCTGGTTATAACAGTTTTTGAAAGCGAAGAATAACCTTCCCAAGGATATAGATCGTAATGTTTAAGTTTCAACGAATATCCTTCATCTGAAGAAAATGGCCAATTCCAAATTTGAAGTTTATCAGTTTCGTCACAGGATTTTCCGACCAGAAAAGACATTGAACCCAATTCTTCTGCGGCCAAGCATTTGTTTGAGTCTACATTTCTGATAAGACCACTTGGCAACACTGTCCACTTGGTGTATTGCATACCTCGAATGCATTCAACCCACTCAATTTTCAAAAGAAAAGAGGTTTCCTGCTCGAGTATCAAACACATTTTTAATTCGCTGGTATCAATTTGTATCAGATATTGTTGTTCCTCCACACAGATAGTAGTATTGTGACTCCACGTACCATCTTCCAAACACTCTGTTTTGAAATTACCAGATATACCATAACCGTTGTTACATTCAAAATAACATATTTGGCCGACCAAGCTCATTTCCAGTCCACATTTTGTTGGATGAAGCTTAGCGTGATCAGGAACCATATATTTCGGACAAGTGTTGACACAACGTCCTATGGGTTCGCTCCAGGCCCCGTCAGTGCGACACACCACAGAACTCGGTTCGAACAAAACATATTGTTCTGGACAAAAAAGTGAACACGAAGCTCCTTCGCTGAATCCAGAACAAATTAAGTAACCATTTTTTGGTTCTTCGAAGCGTATACAAGTTGCTCGACAAACTGGTGGATCTTTATCCCAGAGTCCATCATCTTGGCATGTGAGTACTTCTGCGCCATCTATTTCGAACCCCCGAACACATGACATATTGCATTGTGTGCCTGCTTGAGATGTTTGAAGTGCACATTCTGGAGACATTTTCAGATATTGACGTTGCCCTATTTTTGCACATATTCGGACACATTCCGATGTTGTGCCAGTCCACTGACCTGTTACATCACACGATCTTTCTTTTGATCCCACTAACTTATAACCTTCTCCACAACTGAAGGTACATCGCGTTCCAACATCAGCTTTATCTTCGCTACAAATACTTGGATGAACCTTTCCATTATACAATGTCTGCAAAGCATGGCATTTCTTTTTGCACACCGGAGCTTCTGTTGTCCATGATCCATCACTATCGCATGTCGCAGTTGTTTTGCCTTGTATTACATGACCATCGTCACAGAAAAAAGAACAGAATGTCCCCTCCTTGACCCAATTACTGGAACATGATGTCGGCACAACATGACCGTTTTCTGGAAAGACAGCACCCGGACAAACGCGTTTGCAAGTTGGGGGCATTGACGACCAAGTTCCATCTGATTGGCATACGGCTCTGAAGCTCCCAATTAGAGTATACCCGGGCGAACAGAAGAAGTTACAGCTTATGCCCAGTAACAACGTTGATTTCGCCTTTACCATTTTGCACCATCTTGGATCAACAATCCCGTTCGTTGGGGGCGTTATATGAGGACACGGTAATTCGCATCTTGACTCTGAGCCAGTCCAGGCACCACTGGATAAGCATGTTCGTACCTTAGAACCCGTCAGAATAAAATTGTCATCGCAAGAAATGTAGCATGCTAGACCAGTGCGAATTCTTCCAGGTTCAAGGCAAATATCTGGTGAAACTTTTCCATTAGAAACATTAGAAAATACTTCACAAAGTGTTACTTTACTCGCAAAACCCATTCTCCCTCGTCTTGATTTCAAATCTAGTTGGGGAAATTCAGAACGCATAAAGCTATCTACGGAATTCGCAACAGCTCGATTAGAGCCTTGTCGAACGCTTAATAAATTTGGGTCAAATATCCAGGTATCGTTGATTGATAAAATTTTCCGTACAGTGCGTACAATAGCATCAATATCTAATTCGCCTACTTCGGCACTTTCATTGAAAAATGCTGTATGTTCCAGAACAACCGTGTTTTTGTTCGTAGCAAGACGTCGGTCATGTTGTGTGTTGGAACCATTAAAATAGAATATTTTTACTTTTTGAATTGGAAGTCCAGCTTCTAAGTACACACTTTTTATTGAATCTTCTGCAATTTTTATTACAGATAGATTATCATTTTTCAATCCCTGCACAATCGATTCGACCCCCATGTCGTTCATCCTTACTACACCCCATCGGCCATGCAGTGGACTCGGCGGAGTCTCAACTTCAATTAATCTTTCACTACTTTGGGGTAAAAATATAAGTGAAATACCCACTGATATTCCAGTTAGCAAAACAGCAGCGATTACAATTATATACCAGTACCGCTTCAATTGATCGAAAAATATTTTACGGCGATATAGGGGTGTCAGTCGCTTCAAATTATCGATGAGATCGTTCTCGTTAATAACAGTATGTTTTCTTCTTGGATGCTTGTGCTTAATTCCATGTGAATGCTTGCTTTTGAGTTTTCTCATATGCTCGGAAAAATCGCCATCAGTTTTGCTGGCCTCTGCGGAAATAATCTCCTTGTGTTCTAGGGCATTCTTCGATCTACCGTGTGACTTATTTTCAGAACGCGGCGATTTCAATGATCTTACGGAAAATGAGCTGCTTCGACGCCTAGACTTCAGTTCTTCGCCATTGTTTGAAGAACCTTCCATTTCATATGTTTTTCTGAAAAACTCAACTCACTAAAAATATGGCTAGTTCAAGAAAACAAACATAAATGCGCGAAAACTCATCTCGAAACGGGAGACAGCAAAATATGAATTGAAACTTCGGCCTAGTTCAAGGGTCGGCAAATAGCTATTTAAAGAATTCTGGCACAACACAAAAGGTTGATTGCTCAATATTTATTCAGGCCGATCCTTGATCTAACTTATTCTAGCTAGATTGTTAATTTCACACAGCCTCACACGTTTTGAGCCTGTGTATGGGAGAATTACTGTTACTAAAAGAGTTCGTCCTAAACCTTCGTTGTTGTGTACATTCTCGAAAGATACTCTTCAAATGGCAAAACTGGTTTCCCCGTTGTCCGTCTCATTCAACTGCAAATACTTTTTGTTACCTATTTAATTTGTGTACATGCTTTATTTATATTTGAAAAAGAAACACTGTAGTTGGCGAAATGATTAAACAGAAGTCTCTGTTAGTCGTTTGGCGAATATAAATATGCCTCCGCGATACATGGCACATAAGCTTAAACTATATTTAATTTAATGCACGTTCTGAAAAAAAATTGATGCGAATTGGCAGAGCTAATAGAAAGCGTCTTTTGGTAGCCAAAAACATGCGTGAGAGCGATTTTCCCTAATTCAACCCTGATTTTCAACGACGAAAACCGATCAACAAAAATGCAAAACAAATATATATATTTATTGTAAATGTGAGAAAACAAAATAATTGCCGGTATACTAGTACGCAGAATTAAAAACGCGTTGGGTGTTATCTTATCATTCCCCAGAAATGTTATAAGCAAAATGGGTATCGACTGCTTCATGGCTCTAACGTTAAAAGGAATAACTAAGAAATTCAACATTCTGGTGGAGCAGGGCTTCCAAAACAGGAGTCGAACTTTCAACTGTTCGCTAAATAAAGTCACTGCCACGGAAGCAATAATATTTTCTGATAATTTTTAATAACAATAATTTTAAATTGATAATAACGAGATACTCTTGACCAAAATCCAAGTATGAAGATTCTCAGGATTTAGAAAGCAAATTTTTTCTCCTGAGGAATGCCAGTTGAAAAAATAGCATCTTCCGCATATTGATAAATACATTTTATCTCATGTATACTTCATAGATATTGGTGGAAAGTCTTTTCAAAAATAGTGCATGCTTGCTTAATAGGACGCGTGAGCGTCATAGTCCATCACTGGGACAGCATAACACTTGGGAGAAGTATTGAATTATCGGTAATGAATTATCTTTGCGTAATCACAGTGATCCCAAAACTCCCTACAGTTGTGTACTATGTGTCATGACTACGCATCTTTACTGCAGAGCGTTAGGTATAAAGAATTGCCCATAACACATTTTATTTCTATGGTAGACATGAAACACTTGAGCCGATATAATGTCGAAAAACCACTTACCCCATCTTCACATCTGTGACTCGGAAACCTTTGAGACACGAATCCGGATATCAATATTGCTCTGTTACATAATGATTAACAACTCGATGCTGCTTTGCCTGTGTTAAAAACGAAGAAGGAGTTACAACTAGGGGTGGGTAAAATCGAATATTTTTTTCGAAACGAATACTTTTTATACACGTCAGGAGACCAGAACCACGGTCGATACTCCTTTCGGAAATAAAAAAAAAAAAATTGAAAAATCGGCAGCGAACCGTTTTTTTATGCTGGTTAATTTCATTCTAATCGCTGATTGTTTTTATCCCCGCGATCGTTTCGGCGGCGATATATTGCATACGAAACTTTAAAAATATTGGGTCCGGTCTTTTCAGAAATTATATTTCGGCATCCTTAAACACGCGCTACCTCGGTCGACTAAGGATTATTAGCTAATCAAGATTGTTTATTATGGCGTAATAGTTCTTTCTATATACATTTAAATCTATAAAAGTGATTTTTTGGAAGGAAACTTCAAAAGTGGGGCTAATAATTCAAAATAAAGAATTAGGCGCGGTCCAAATCGAATACCCGAAAGGGGCGGATTCGGACCGCGGTCCGCCAGTTGAGTAGCCCTGATCTATATTTCCGTCCTTTGTCTTTTTTGCAAGTATTAGTTCTTGAAGGTCTACAGATATCGAAGTTTTATAGTTCGGGCATAACCGTGCGTTCACGTCGGCAACAGCTGTTAAAGACACCAAGGACTGATTTTAAACCCCAAATTAATTTTATTCTAATTTTTATCTTTTGCGTTGACTAATCAACGTGTGTAAGTTTACCGTCCCACTTTTAAGCGGACGGTAATATTATTATCGGTACCGGGCTGGAGATATTTATTAAGGCGAAAATTAATTTTAAATGCTTTTCTATGGTATCTATGTTATTTTACAGATAAACCTACTAAAGCTACGATTGCGCAATCCTTAATGTTGATTCAAGATTGTGATTGAATAATTTGGCAATAGAGGCAATTCTACGTGGTCATAAGACGAGATGACGTTAAACAGCACTTCTTGAATGATATTTTACATATGCTAGAAAAATTTTGCGATCGAGCGCTTTTGTGCATAATAGTGTCAGACAGCGCCAATTATAACTAATTCCTTCAAAGTTTCAACGTTTTTTTGTTAACAAAACAATACACCGGCGATCAATATAGCTAAAATCGTTACCGAGTAATTCACAAATTTATTTACGTAATTTTCAAATTCACCACTCCACTTCACGATTTTGATGATGACACCATAATTATCAGTGCAAAAATGCTCACAATATAACGAATGTTATCATTTTCGACGATAACATGCGCAACAATTCGCAAACGGGTCAGTGTGCGTTATTATAACGTAATTCACGATTGATTTCACGGTCTACTCTTGTTTACGATTTTAACACTCCACCCGCCATGCATGGTCGAGTAAAATGTTCACATTTTTGAAACATTACTTGGTCAAGGATGAAAGGGATCATGAACGAGCTAATAGAAAGTTTAAAAGGAGTTTGCCCTCCCTTTTCCCTTCTGGTTACAGCTTATAAGGACACGTCATTTCAACTTTTGATTTTCGATAATCAATCTAAGTTCGATTCATGCGTGAAACGGCTTATCAGGCCGCCAGGCATACGGAGTTTAACATCTGGAAAATTTATTTTAAATACCTAATCTGGTTTGACCAAAGTGACTATAAACCAAGTGAGGACATGCATTGGTAGTAGTCACTTTGGGTTTGACGTTTCTAAATTTGGGGGATGGTGTTGTCTCCACTCTATGAGTATAATATACGTATACTTATAGAGTACGTACGTGAGTATCGTATTAGTATACATGAGTTACAACGATAATTCAAAAATAAACATCATTAAAAAGCCATTTTCCCAATTGTTTGGCGCACTAATCGAAATCAAAAGAAAAGACCGACCATTTCGTGTAAATATTGGCGAGAAATGACAGTTGGCCCAAAATATGGCTACTGACACATGATTCAACGGATCAGGTGCCGTATTATACTAAGCAATGTCATGACAAAGTGAAAATGTTAACTTGGCAAGCATTAATTTGATTAGATTTAAAAAAAGATACAAAATTCTGCTCACGTATTCTAGTTTCTCCATATGACTGTTTAGATTGACGGATTCAAATGCTGTAACATAACCAACACGACATAAACTTTCAGGGGATTCGACCAAGTGAAAAACGATTTCCAAGTTGTATCCCGAGAAGAAAACATCACATCATCAACTTTATTTTAATAAACATAACGCTGTGAAATCCGATTTCGTACATGGACAAAGATACCGTACCGCCAGCACTACGACATTACACTACTACAAGAGGATTCGATCTGTCAGCCTGTCTGTTACTTGACGTTTATGATGGTTGCCAGATTATTGCCCGAAAAAATCACAAAATGCTACAGAAGTCCGAGATTCATCTGAAATCTTGTAGCTTCATGGGTTCTTCATGAATGTGTATTTTCAAGTATAGAATATAATTTTTTGTTTATTCCCCAACCAGTCAATGATGGCACAACAATTAAAATTGTAGCATCCCTCGGACACTTTTTGTTCCGACGGATTTTCGTCGTTTGGATGTGCCTCCGGAATTTATACGTATTTGATTTATTGTATTTTATGCTCATCATAAGGCAGTGGTTCTTAAACTTTTTCGAGCGCGACCCAAATCTGAGTTTTATGAATACTCGCGACCCAATCCTAAAAAACGCAAAATGTGTTTTTAATGTTAGTACAGTTTGACTCAAATACAGACAACTATTTATTAGAAACAGTCCATTGACTCAGTGAGATTGATCAAACTGAAATTTCTTTTTTCATTATATCTTCAATACACAGCTCTATTTTACTTAACGCAATACGCAAGTTGTCACGGGTATCGAAGCGATTGCGAGCTTAGTTTTTTTGATAACCGTCAGTGCCAAATATCCTCGCTCGCACAAGTGCCTTGTCGCAAATTGTAGCAGAAAAGGCGTACGCTATCCGTCGCAAACACGACATCCTAGCTGGCCTTCGGTATCTCTCGCAATATACAACTTTTTACTCGTCACATGTGCACGCACTGCTTCGTTCGCGGTAAATGGTGCCTCGAGATGAAGTCACATTTTCTCTAGATATTGAATAATCTAATGTCGAGAAGCGAGCTTTTTCATTGCGTCGTCTATTACAATTTTCATTACCAAAAAGACACCCATTTTTGGTTATTTTAATCCACTAAGACGACATTCCATGCGGTCAACACAACGACAAGCGACGTGCATGGTTACCGATACCATAAAAATATTACACGTGACTGGCATATCAGAATTGTGATGTAACAAAGAGCTCAAGACAGTTCTTTCCGTGAATGAAATTTTTTATTTCATTATTTTTAAATACCAGAGTTTAGAAGCTAAATTGAAACATTGGGAAAGCTGAAAATTCGTCCTTCTCCTCTTAGATTGCCCTTGCATTGACGACCTTGTCGCGACCCATTTTTAAACCTTCCGCGACCCATGTTTGGGTCGCGACCCATACTTTAAGAACCACTGTCATAAGGGGTGCATGCCGCACATTCGTGTGTTTTAGGCCAGTATGGTCTTGTGCATACATCCCGTCTTCAGTATTGATAATTACTACCGTAACTTATTTATACTGATTTTACAGACGAATAAACATACATTTATAAAAAACCACGTTGGTCATTTTGTGTTCCGGGGAGTATTAGTTTAGTTGCAGTAGTTAAGAGGTATTTCGGAAAAATATTGGATAGACAAGGCTGCAATTACACAACTTATCAGCCATCCAGAACGCCATATCGCGAAATCATTGTCAAACTAAACATTATAAAAATTTCCAAAAAGCAGATATAGTAAGAATTTTTCTGGGGTCAATCAAGCCTGGGGTAATATCCATTGTCACAGAGAATATGTCTTCTTACTAAAACGGCACTACAGTAGATATCATGGACAAAGCCAGGCACTGGTAAATAAACCCTGAACATGGTTCATGACATGTACGAGTTATTGTCTGGCCCTAAATATCCGGGTAATGTGTCTTCGTTTACCACTTTATTTTCCTTGCTTTACCTCACTGACCTGTATTATCACAATCTATCTCAGTGGTTCTCAAAGTTTTTGAAAAATTATGCATAACGGTTCCCTTGCAATTTTTTGATGACTTGCGGGCCACCAAAAAATGAAAGCAAATAGCAACGCGGTATATCAAGCAATCATCTATTCTATTGAATGACATTAAAACAGTTCAATGAGCCTGCTTGGCATCCATTAGTTTTTCTGTCTTGGGTTCTGTTTTGGATAACTCAACTCTCAAATCATGTCTCACGTTTTAACATTCTGTTTCAACATTTTGTTTTAACAGTTAGTAGCGTAGAAAAAGCTGCCTCACATTCGTAAGTTATTGTAGATGGAATGAGCGTTTTTAGGGCCATCTCAGCGACATCGGGATAGGACGGTACCACTGTGGTTTTTCTTTTCCTCCAGCACTTATCACAGCAACATTAAATTTTACATATGAATCGTTATATCTAAATTTATTTTTTATGATGGGGGGCATTTTTAGATTATCCCGAAAAAAATTTACAATCAGATGCATACGCCTTCCACAAACAATACGCTCTGATTTGCGGTACTTGCCTGCTTGCCACGTTCGCCAAAGTTTGTTGCGTATTAATGTCTTCGGTAGAGCGTGTCGTGCTTTGGAGAAACACTGTAAAAGCATGGCATCAAAATTTTACTTCAAATCAAAGTGCGTCTGAGCCGGGGTTAATGCCGTCTCGCGGTCCTCCTAAAATCGCGTCGCGGACCCCAGTTTGAGAACCAATATTCTATCTGAGGTTCTATGTCACACGGTGAGATCGTCCATGTTGTGCTTTTATCTTTCATGTCTGAACCCCATTTTGAAGTTTTGGCAACTAGCCTGATTCTCCGGGTCTGTTTTTAACAATTTTAGTAGCAATGGTCAATGAGGGGCACATAAATCTTCACTAGCTTAATAAGTAAGCCCCAATATAAAGACACACACTCACAGAACCCACATCCAAATACTATTCTATAACTTTTATGGCATATTCACCACCAGTATCACCCAATGAGTCCCAAAATAATGCTCCTTCATGGTGAGATCAAACTGGTAACTTCTACAGCAATTAAAACAAGATATAGGAAGTTTGAATATAATTTATTAAACTGTTAAAACAATTAAATTAATTGAGGCAATGAGATAATGTTAGAAATGAGAGTGCAATCTGCTTTTAGGTAGCTTGAATTGCATTATTCAAATCCTTGCAATTTGGGATAGACTTTGTCATTAAAAAATAATGAAACACCTATGGGATATTTCAGGTAGGATGTGACTCCTTTATTCAGTGGCACCAAGCAATTATCATTTTTCAAAAAACTCAAAATTAAAAAAAAAAAAGGGTGGTTTTTGAATTGGTGCATAAATAGGTAAAATTCAGTGGGTCTGGATAGGGAAATTGTTGATTAAAATTATTGAGAATGCAGGAAAGTAACATAGCTGAAAGCACACCAAATAATATATACCGAGTATGAGACAGTTCAGTGGCACTAAAAATTGCGTGCTACACTATGACATTATTCTGGGCCGAAAAAAGAAGTGATTATGTACCAGATTTTTGTTTATGAACCTGCCAAATTTAAGATGAGATTAAAATGTATACAAAATACTGCAGCATCAAAAGCCACCACACTTAGGAAAATTACGATAAAACTCTAAAAATCTCAAATATCATAAAACAAATATGAAAAAAATTTCATAGTAAACAAACAAAGCAATAAGAATTATAATACACGAAATTAAAGTAACAACTCTCCAGTCTCGATACAAACTTTGGAATGTTTCCCACTCAAACCATATTGAGGGTGTTGTCCAAAACCATTTCGAGAAACTGAAAGAGAAAAGTAGAAAATTTTAAAACTCCAGTCATACAAGGGATAAAGCAACCGTATCCAACATAATCTATATCCATTAGTTGATGTTGAATACATCTGATTGCTAACTGAATAAATTAATAGTCATGACGACGAGGAAACTGGATAAAACAAGAAACACATAGATGAAAATAATGGTATGATAGATACTGTTATCAAAGTACTCACTTCTTCATATCTTAGCTGAATATTCCCATTCTGATTACGATCCTTTTCTCTGAATTTATCTGTCAGAGTTTTCAACATAACACAAACTTGTATAAAATCATCAAAATCGATGGTATTAACAGATGTTCTGTCAAATTGTCTCACAACAAGTTTGGTAAAATCCATTGACCTATAAACGAAGAGTAAAAAAATATTTTCGTTGTGATAATTCATTCGTAGCATAACCAATTTCCAAGATCACTTACAATCTGTAACCAAATGTTGCAAAGGCTCTTGACAGTTCATTCGCATCGATATTCCCAGATCTGTCAGTATCAAACGAATCAAAACATTGTCTCCACTGCTGTATATAACCCCAAAGAGCAGAAAACTCGTGTATATCAATCTGACCATCCCTATTAAAATATGGAAAATACTTGAAAAAAGTGAAGTTTTTGGATTGCCCGAGTTTTGACAGAGGAGCGCTTGCACAGAATTTCATGGAGTCAGAGCTAGGTTTTTAATGAGTTCTATCCTGATGAGTTTGGTGTTTGGTGTTTTTGAATAAATTTGATCATTGGCTTTTGGTGCGAATCTCAAACAAGGTCATCAATCCAATTATCCATATAAACAATAAGTCATACATGAAGGGATAAGTTATACCCTGAAAGACTTAATTTAATACCAGATTTTATAGCTTACAAACTTACATATTCATTAACAGGTTTTACTTTTTTATTTTTGTGTTGTATTAAATAATATTCTGTTAAAAGTTGAAAACATGAATAATCCTAAAAAGTCTTTGTAATCGAAAAAAAATAAAGTAGACAACAACTCTATATAAAACAGAACTGGAAAATTTGTTTTAAATAAAGAAATATGGGACCTCCTAAAGTATGCGCACCAAGATGGCGCACAACCTGAACTCAGGTTGTGTACAAGGTTAGGGTTCAGGTTGTGCAACATCTTGGTGCACATACTTCAGGAGTACCAAAATATGTATGATAGCATATAATGTAAAAAGTATTAGATCTGATAGATCAAAGGAACAATCATTTCTTCCCTGAATCTAAGAATAACTTGAGGAAAAACATTATACTACAATGACTAAAATTAGTGTTAATTCCCAACAACAATACATTAAATCATCCATCCATAACTCTTACAAAACAACATCAAGATTTGCTTCTGTTTACCTTTAAATTACATAAAGACTACTTTTGCTTTGGTCAGGTATGTTATATCTACCAATCACAAAACTAAGCACTATTGCTACACCACTACATTAAATTCACTTGCCTTGCTTGAGACCCACTTTGTCCATTACTAAACATGAAACCCAATGCTGTGTTAAATATTCCATTATTTATTTAATGTTATGGAATATGTAGTGATAGATATCCATATTCTTACATAGAGAACAAATATTTTCATTTTAAATTAACTAAACTACATCAATGTGGATTATAGAGTTTGCAATTTTTGAAGTTTTAGTTGTGACAGTCAAATAAAATTAAATATCACTCCAAATATTGAACATCTTGCTGAGGTTCAACCAGGGCAAAACATATCTTAAAAAAGCAATACTAAAAAATAGGAATTTCTGTTACAATGAAGCCTTTAGGTTCAACCTGATAAACTTACTTATTCTTATCAAACATTCCAATCATTAGTCGACAAGTTTCGTGGTTAAATTCTTTCATCTTATTATTCATCAATGCAGTTCTTAATTCATCTGCAGATATTTTTTTGGATCCATCTTGATCAACAGACTAAAAAAGGAAATCAATCCTTATAAATGAAAGTAAAATATATCAAAACAAGGCATTGTCAACATCATTAATTTCAATACTTTTAAAGCATTTGGTCTTTAACAAGAACAATACTTTCCAAAAACGGTCTATAGATCAAAGCTTCATCTTGTCTAGATATGTCCTATTGTGTACTCCAGTACCTAGCCGCAATTTTTAATTGAGTAAATAATATCCAAATTTTTTATCACAGAATACACACCTGAAACCAATAAAAGACAACAGGATCTATTCCTGGTGGACATCCAGGAGGTAACTGAGGTTGTTGCGGATGAGGATAATATCCAGACTGTTGATGGTGACCATATCCAGAGTGTGCTCCATATTGAGAACCATGGTGTGAAGAACCATGGTGTGACTTTAACATGAATAGTAAAAAAATCGAAAATAAAAGATGTTGCTTATACAGTTGCAAAATACAATATAGGCGCTTAAGACTTCTGCATCTTTTGTTGGCTACAAATCACTTTTTTTCTTGTACTACGGTAACTGTAACCCCATGAATGCTAAAAAAGTGACAGAGAATTACAGGACTCTTCATCACTATAGGGTTGGCAGGTTGTCTATGTAACTACTGGTAAGTTACCGAGTTTTTAAAACAGCTAGTACCGGTGATAACTCCAGATACATGTATCATATTTCCTATTATTAGAGATTAGATGTATGAAACATTGTATCACAGTACAGCAGTAGGCCTATCAGTGTCCCAAGTTTAGGGATCAATTCACAAAAATAAAACAGCTAAGGTACAGTAAAAAAAAATAATATTTTACTCACATAGCCCCAAGACATTGTCTGACAAATTTTGTACTATATGATCAATGTTTATTCGTATGAAAATCTCACGCCACACACAACCATTGTTTACCGTAATTGATTGAATGCGACGAAACAAATCAGCAACACTTTACCCAGCTGAAGTACGGTTAGGCGATTGAAATAACAAATATGTCATAGTCACGTGACACAACACGGCCATATTCGAATTAGCCAAGAAAACGCTTTTCGAACTTCTGTTCGAAAGGGAGGGAGCCTGTTCGACACAAAAAGAGAACGTCTTAATCATATGGCGAACCACGGCCTCTCGTACGGTTACCAGTCCAGGTCGGGTATGGGATTGGTTAGCCAGTTATTTGTTTTCGGAAGCATGGACTTGATGGTAGATGAAGCCGTAACCGACCAGCGGTTACGCGAACCACCCTACGGCTACGAGGAGTCCAGCAATCCTCTCGCACATGATCATCCCCGCATGGGATTCGAACATGCGATTCCACGAAACGTAATCAGAGATGCGGTGGCGAGCGTATTCCTAACGCTTAGCACGATGAGCCACACCGCCGAGCCGAATGTTTGGGGCAAGTATGTATAACAATGGAAAATAATTCACTTCACCAGACCTGTATTTCCGAAAAAGTGTACCTATGCATGCTAATAGTCACGATAAATTGTCGGCGCACCCATGTTAGTCGTTGGGCGCACCCGGAGTATGATTGGGAACAGCCTCAGTTGTCGTGTATTTCCATATATAATTTATGCACCTCGCATTGAAGTTGAATATGTGTAAATACAGAAATAAATTAAACGATGATCAAAAGTATTTCATAAATCAAATATTAATTGAAGATTGAGAAAAATGAATAATATTTATATATTATCGAATTATATTTGTATAATTTTCGAATTTGGGAATAATTTATGTCAGGTAATGTTATGATATTATGTCCTAAATTTTATGTATACTTTTTATAGGTACATAAAAAAAAAAACTAAGAAACGCCGCTCTATGCTCCTGACTACTTTTACATAGGTTCATATAAAAATGACATCTGTGACTTTTTAATCGACGCTTACTCGCGCCTTTCGCTCTGAACAATGCCCTTACTTATAGATTATTAATGTCATATTTGTGATAATGTTAATGAGTAAAGGAATAGCTCGCGAACCCCCTAGGTTTCTCCGCGGATTCCTGGGGCTTCCTTCGTATGGAGCACTTTGAAAACTTGCCTCGGGCCTAGATGATGTGGCGGCATGGTGAAAATTCAAAAAAATCGTGTATTGATATATGAACAAGTTTTTAATTAGCATTATTCGTTGCCCATCGCCTTTATTTATGCAGTTGTGTTTCACTTAATTAAAACGAATATATATATTGTGATTGGAGGAAATTCGAATATAAAATAAAAGATCGCGTTTCAGTTCGATTCAATGGCTTGCCAATATATATCAGTGAACTGAATATACTACTTCAAAACTACAATTCTAGCAAAGCACCTGACCAAATTAATAACCAAATAACGGAAGAAATTACACTTATTCAACTAATTAACAAAGTGGTTTATATGGCGAATTGGCCGAGGATTTCGTCATTCTCGAGATCACTGTAATGTTGTTTGAGTTTTTGTATTATTTTGAGTTATGAAATATATTATATATATATTTATGGTATTTTATAAATATGGTATTAGTTTCATTTTATACTACATACAACTACCAATCATATATTTACCCCTTGAATCAGCAATAAGGATTATTATAATACATATGTTAGGATATTCATATTTAACACTGGTGAGAGGGAAGTTGATGTAATGGCCTAATCATACGGGAAAACTAGCACTTAATCTGATAAAAAAATTCCTAAGTATCTTAACAACATGTACCATATATTATGAAAATATAACTAATGAAAAATATAATATATATTATAAAAAAGCAAAACAAAATTCTAAATATACACAAAAAACTTACAGAATGTGTCAAACAACCAAAAACATATCACAATTTTTAAACATCAAAATAATATGTCTGTCGCTGAAAATTCGAAGTGAAACGATAATGCTTAACATTGTGATAAAATACTTCAAGCAGTGTATATACAATTTGTTTCAGAAAATAGTATGGCAATAACATCAATAGAAAACTTTAATCGTACGACTTTTTTATGTCAACTTTGAATATAAAAAAGACAAACTTTCAATTTATGTGACAAATTTATAAAATTGATCTCTGTGAGTGAACATATATTTCAGAAATAAAATAAATTGATTTAATTAATTATGTAATACAACATAAACGTTCAATAAAACACATTTGCCAATTTAGCAATTAGGGTTTCAAGATAAAATTTCGAAGTTTGGTATTTTGATATTCTAACAGCAGGTCGACTTCAATATAACTAGCGCTAATGATAACAATTCCATTTATGATGGAGGAACGTTTAAACGTTTTAAATATTCAGGCCTCAATATAATTTGTAACTAATAGTTTGCCATCGCTTGTGAGCAATATCAGTCAATAATGTTAATTAAAAAATAGAGATAATATAAATAGTGGAAAATAAATTTACACAACCATGACATTTGGAAGGCCAAAGACAATCATGTTACACCAAGAAGCTTGTACACTTTCATCTTGAGCAATCTCTTCCACAGGTTCTCCTTCTGTTTGCACAGGTGACTCAGATATCTCTGGTTCTGGAGTTGGTGGTAGAGGAGACGGGGCTGGAGATTTTCCTTTCTTTGAATCAGGTTTTCCTTTTACAGATTTGGCATTTTTAGTATCACTCCTTTCTTTTCCTGTTGGGGCAGTAGCAGGGGGTTCTGGTGGAACGGGTTTAACCAATGTCGGATTTAGCAATGATCTAACTGCTTTACCAACAACTTGTCCATCTTCCAATATGACACGAGTGATGCATTGTAACTTATTAGCATTATCTTCTAAAGTTGAGTGCCATAAATTCGAGCAGACTGTGTTTACGCCAACGAGGCTAAGCATCATGATAGTGTAAAGTGGTTTCTCTAATGCAAGAAGGGAATCACTTTTGTCAACATCAACTTTGCTTTGGTGTCTAAAGCTTTTACTGGTTTGTGCTTTATCCAAAAGCAAAACCATTTGGCATCCCGATAAATCAAGTGCAGCTACTTTTGAAGGAGGCATATGTGCAAAGAATCTCTCCATGCCATAAAATATGAATGATTCACATCCATTGATTAGATTTTCCCATTGGCCTACACTTGGTACACCAGATGATCCATACCAACCAGACCAAGCCGATGTACAAGAAGTGGAGTAAGTTTGCATCATTTGCTTGAATATTTCCATGGGTTTGTAAGTTTCCGTTTCAGCGGCTTCATCGAGTGGGTCAACCATGTAGTGTACGTAATTAGTGTTTATTGTTGAACATCCAGGTAACACTTCTCGATTTAGTGGGACTACTTTACCACCACCAGCAGGAGTTTTTCTAGTATCTTTTCCTGTTTTAGGTGTTTTGGGATTTCCTTTGGGTGGAGGTTCATTCTTCTTTTTCTCAGCAAGCGCAGCTGCCTCTTCTGGATCTACATGCCAACGATGGTGCGACATTTGTAGTGAAAAATCTCTACACATACAATCAATGAATGGACTTTGGAAACACTTTAATGCTTCTAGTGGTAACCCCATTAAATCTTCATCAATAAGTAACACAATTGATTCCATAGCATTTACATCAGCAGGTTGGCCCTGTTCAATTTGTTCCTTACATTCTTTAGTTAATGGATCAATCAGATTATCTTTGAGCATAGTAGTGAATGAAATTAAATAACGCTCAAGAGAATCCACAATATCTTGAAACTCATCCATGATTCGCATTTCTTCTTCCTCTTGTTCTTCTAAAATTGTGTTTGGCACATTTGCATCTGTATTTTCATTATTACCTACTGATAGTTCTTGTAACATCTTCTCTCGTAATGCAGCTTGGGCTCGCTGATATTCTGACTGCAGCAATAAACTCATCAAATGCATTGTATATTCTTCCATCCTTTCTTTTAATGAATCCAGCACATCAGGATTAACATCTGCTCTCAAGATAACAGACCTTGAATCTGAAGCTGATTGAGATTGCTTTTCTTTTGATTTCCCTTTCGCATCACCAGCAGTTGGGTTAGCTTTCGGTTTATCAAGCAATGATGCATACAGATATCGCTTGTCAGGAGAATGTTGCAGAATTACAAAATTGAAATTTGGGGGGAAATCTTTAATTAGGTCCAATGAAGTTGGAAATACATTCAATCTTTTCCATGATGTAAACTGTCGAAGAGACTCTTCCACCCAACCAAACAGAGAACTGACTTTCATGTGAGGCTGTTTTTCTGCCAACCATGTAGCTTGATGAAGAAGTGCAGCAAAATGTGAAGATGCCGGATCTGGCTGAGACCTCAAAAGAAATTCCTTAAAATTCAATGAAGACTTTGCACTTTGATGAAGTGCCAGATATAATGAAGCAGTTGATGGATCAGATTGACCACATATTTCTACAATTTCAAGTGAAGCATCTCTTACTATATGAAGAAATTTATGCTCTAAAGACATCTTAATACTTTGCAGCAATATTTCCATTGCCTGGCAAAGGTATGTTTTTGAGTGCTGTTCACCCTTCATAATTCTTGCAGCATTTTCTGCAAGTTTCTTCCTTTGCTTGTTAGTCAATGTAGAATCCATACTTGATTTGCTTTTTGTACTACCGATTCTTTCAATATCCAACTTTTCTTCAAAATCATGAGATTCTATAGGTTCTTCAAGCTGAATTTCTTCACTACTAATTTCTGCAGTAATATTGAAAGCAAGCACACTCCATATTCCATCAATATCATCTTTCAGGTACAAACCCAAGAGATGCAAAGATCGTCCGATCAAATACAAAGACTTTGCTCGATTTTCGGGTATGTTCACGGAAAACGAATAAGCACTCATGAACGTTGAAAACATTTTTTGAGGCAAAAGTTCACACATCTCTTTCCATTCCTGTTCCAAACGAGATAAATTTTTTTCAGTGCAGACATATTCATTTACAATGTGTTCAAGTGAACCAGATTTCGCTTGCATTTTTTGTTTAAGTATCTGTTCCTTTGCATTAATATCATACAAATACAGCAAATATTCTGCAAGGCTAAGTAAAGTGTTGCATAATTCTCGAGCAATCGGCAGACTAATACTAGGATTATCATTAATATCGGCAAATCCCGATGATACTTCTGTATATAACTCAGACATTATTTGAGCTGCATGCTCTAGTTTTTCAAGTCCATTAAGAAGAAATGAATGTTGTTCTTCTAATACAGATGTTTTGTTGCATAATTTCAAACAAATGAATGCATGTTTTTGATAAAGTTGAACAGCCTCTCTGATATATCCACATGAAAAGAGAATATTTTCTGCCTCATCTAACTTTGACAAATTAGTGTGTACCTGTCTTTCCATGGGCCCGTCTTTCAGAAGCAAAATATCAAATTTCATAAAAGCTGAATATGATCGAATCATACTTATTATATATGATATTGTGCTCTTTTTGGTTGGCCTCAACATTTTCAGTATTTCCATAGTTTCCACTGCTATTCTTAGCAATTTGCTGGCTTCTTTTCTCTTAGCTGGTGTTACATCAGGATCGAGTACAATGGAGTCTGCCAACATCAAAACCACTTTATACCAGTATTTTTCATCTCCTCCCACATCTTGTGCTTTCTTGAGGAATCTCATACTTTGTCCAAGGTTGGATTCTTGAATTGATAGTTGTGCCATTCCTAGATATATATCACCGATAAGCGTTTGGTCATTTACAGCAATTGCAGCTCTCATTGCTTGATTAAAAAGTTCTCTCGCTCTCTGATGATATCCTAAACCTAAAAGCACCATTCCTTTTTCCATCCATAACAGCCTCATGCAAATCCCTTTAATTTTTCTACCCTGAAGTGTGATAGGCTCCAATCCAGCATGAGACAATTGCGAAGTATTGTCTCCAGCTTCTTTTGCAACCAATGCTTTACCTTTTAATCTTGCTTCTTCATATTGAACTTGTTTTGCATGCTGATCCATGAGTTCACACTCTTGAATAAATGTTGATTGTTCTTCCAATGGCAAGAATACATCACTCAATTTGACTTCCCATTTCTTAGCAATTTCTACAAGGCCAAGATCATAACAGATTTGGATTTTATGCAAGCACATTAAATTGCTCCAACTTTCACTTTCGAATATCCCAAGAATTATAGTATCAGCGAGGCAAAGCACTGGTATTGATAGGTGATTGTATCCTAAAAAGCACAATTCATTCATTAATTCTTCAAGATAATGAATTGTCAAAGCAGGCTTCGTGATGGTTTTTGTACTTATCGCTGTGTCACCTTGATTGAATGAAAACGCTCTAATAATGTCCTCTTGGACAATATAATTTGCCCACTCAATTGTGCTATTTGGTAAAGCATCAAGCGGGCCTTTTTGTTTCTCTTTTGCAGGTGGAGGGTTACCAGGTTTGTCTTCAATCTTTGGAAGCTGACTTACAAGTGGACCAGCAGCTGCTAATGCAATTTCCCACAGTCTTATGATATAACCAGCAGCCAGTAGGATGTATGACTTATGTTTTGATGATCCTCGACCACTAATCGTTGCTAACATCACATGGGTTCTGATCAATACTTCTAGCTGACGTACACTGTTGAGTTCATTGAATTTCAATTCAAGATTTGCATTTTCTAGTCCAATAATGACTTCTTTTTCTATAGGAACAATTTCATCCAGATTTTCTTCATTTTTAGCTGATTTGTTTTCTACGCTCTTGGCGGTATCTTTTGTCTCTGGTCGTGATTTTTCATCTATTTTCACACTTCTTTTAGTGTCTCTTGTCTTGGGAGAACCTCTTGATGCAGGAGTTTTAGCAGGTGTCTTTCCTGGTGTTTTTCTCTTCCCCTTTGCAGGTGAAACTTTTTCTTCTTTTGGCAATTCTTCGAACTTCATACTAAACAAAATATCTACTGCCCATTCCAGTATATTTACTGAATCATCAAGTGGGTATTCACTGCAGTAAAGCCACGTAGATAGTTCAGAGAGATAGTCTACTTTTTTCCACAAGTTGACATCAGTATGAAGAGACTCAATCGCTTTTTGATAAGATCCTAATTGTTGAAGCTGCTCGTGTGAAGAGATTGCAACACGATGCCACATGTGAGCAACATACTCTTCCGATTCTTCACGGAACTTCGCTATATCCGCATGAACACTTCGGCCAAGTTTTGCTTTGACCATTATCCTGTTTTTGAAAATTGGTAATCTATGTTTTGTACGTGGCATATGTTGAATGGCTTGATCCATACAACTGAGAGCTTCCTCCCATTGGTTTTTGTCTGTATAGGTTTGAAAAAGAACTCCATACATTGCAGCACGCAATGAGTTATGACTATCTTGCTCTGCCGGTAATTTTTCTATCTGTGTAGTCTGCACAGCCTTGCTAGCTGCCTCTTCTTTTTCTTGCATTTCAATGAAAGCCTTCATTTTGGTTGCAGTAGAAGTAACATAGTGAAGAAGATTATTCAATGGTTGACGCAGTAGCTCACGTTCAATAGAAGACGACATTAGTGGTAAACAAGCATTCCACCACCATGAACAAGCAGACATGACAAGCTTATAATTGCCTGCCAAATCCGCAAATCGAGCACTCGCTTCAAATGCATCCATTGCTTGCCTTCTAGCGTAAGGATTATTAAGGACAGTAGTCATTATACTTTCTCCTAGAATGCATGACACAGAACTTAGCATCTCAAAATCACTTTTTGAACCAGTTTTATCCATTTTCCCCCTTCTACTATTTTTCAAAATGCTGGTTTCAAAAGCAATTCCCTTTTTCGCACATTTAACAACCAGATCATGTTCTTTATTGCAATGCGATAGAAATGCAAGCCGGGACCAAACTTCTAATTCTATACTCAGATCATCCCATTCACAATTCTCAGTTGCTTCTGCTGCTTCATTCAAAGCAGGTACTGTTAATTCCATCATACCATTTCTATTGAGAGTATGCATCTCAAGCATAATTAATGCCTTTGTCATATCTCTCTGAGATGGGATAAGCTCATTTTCAACTCCCAGACCTGCTCCAATTTGTTGTTGCAGCATTTGCTTAAGAAGAACCCAGGTAGATAGAATTTCTTGCCTCACAGCTGTTGGAACAATATCTTTTTTGGCGCCTCCTCGAGTAACATCTAGTGCATATTCAGTTATTTCCAAAGCTTTTTTCAAATCATCCTGTGACTCTGGTTCTACTACAATGGATGCAGCTCCACTTGCACCTGTTGAAGGTTTATCTTTGCCAGGAGTTTTTTTTCTACTTGGAGGTTTTGAAGAACCAGCATCTGGAGAAGGGTCAGCACTTGGATCCGTTGGAGGTTTTGAAACAAGCCATGGTCGTAATAAACCTTGTGAAATCAAGTTACAGACTCTCACCAGCAATACGATCTCACTTGAATGTCCAATCGCCCTAAGACCTGTTAGAGCTGCTTCGAATACTTCAATCAGATGTGAGAGTTGACCATCAGAAATCAAATGCTTATTATAATTCCACAAGTAAGCTGTGCCACTGCATACAATCCACGATTCACGCAACCTCACACCGAGTTCAATTGCTCGCAAAAAGGATCTTGTTGATGAATTACTTAAGAGCTTAATCCATTCAGTATAAGTCATCCAATCAGGGTCAATCTCTGCCATCTTGAAACCAGCACTACTTTTTGGTCTTTGATGAGCATCGGTAGGAAATCTAGGTGCCTGATTCAGCTTAAGACCCTGGCATTGAAGTAGATGAACCAGAGCTTCACCGTTAATAAAATGTACTTCGGCAAGCATTCTCAACAGATCAGTGTCATGTAAATGCGTTCTATCTGCTGGATCAGTGGAACTAGTAACAGCTACTTGATTTTGTGTTACAGGAGCAGCATCCGAGGTTGCTTCTTGGGATTTTGGAGCTTCAGCACTAGTTGGAACACTCGATGTGTGAATTTGTTCTGGTGATGATCTCGAGTTTTCCCAACGACCATCATCGTAAAGTAAGCAAAACCTTGCTGCAACACGACAAACGTCCCAGACTTCTTGTCCTCTTGCTACTTTAGCAAGATCACCCCATAACCTGGCACGCTCTCTATCATTTTCATCTCCTAATCGTTTCAGATGCCCTGCTGCCTTTTTTACACACTTTTGCCACTGAAATGCTGTAGAACCCAAGAGTTGGACAATTGATAAAGTTTTTTGACCAGCGACTTTAACTTCACCTTCACTGTCTAAAACATATTGAAATGCGTCCGGTGCCAATGCAAGACCAGCTTTAACAAGTAATGATCGCTTCATCCTAACACTACCAGAATCAGCACTTTTTCGAGCTTGTTCAATAATGACAGCAGCAGAATCTTCTGGTGTTTCAGGGCTTTGATATAATTGAGTGCTCAATTCAAGTCTTCTGAGCATAGTGTGCAGACGTTGGTGATATAACCCGGATTGGTCTAATTGTAAAGCTTTTCGAATATGACGTAAAGCTGCTTCAACTTGTTCTACATCTTCTTCACATTTTGCCAGTTCTGTATGAACTTGACATCTCAGCTGAATTTCTAATGAAGCAATATCTTCTAACGATTGAGCGACTAGTGTGAGAGGTCTTCTTACATGCTTACGTAAGTTAGTTTGCAAAAGTGGTAAGCAAAGGTTCCATTGAGTGGCACAAGCTGCTTGAACAACATGGGCCTTACCTGATCGAGTTGCATTTTGAATGTTTTGATCCATGCGCTTCACAGCAAAGAGTCGAACATCAACTGATGATTGGGTGTAGACTTCTTCCATATCACCTAAATCTTTGACGATCAAATAGCACTTTAAACATTCAATTTCCAGATCAATTCCAGGATCTGTTTCTATAACGTCAAGAGATTCAATGCATTTTCTTGCAAGTTTCACCTCTCCACAATCTGCACAATATCTTGCTAATTCCAGTAGAAGATTTGGTAGTAGGTCTCTTCCCATTTCACTCATTAGGTCAATTGGAATATCTAAACTTGCTTTTGACATTGTCCGAGAACGCCGTCTTTGAGGACTTACACTTGAAACACGAGAAAGGCTATCCACACTGCTTTCAGTGGCCTGCCCACTTTTCTTTCGACTTCCCGCCAAAGTGGGTGATCCGAGTGACCTTGATCCTGTTTGGTTCACCAGATTAACAAGTGAAGACAGCTCTTTATTCAAGTCTATTTTTTTATCACTTTCATTTGCTTTACTAAGATTTCGTTTCAGTTTTTGCAATTTCAAAAATGCTAAAAACTCTGGTATATTGTTAACGCTTTTAGTGAGTTTATTTTGCTCTACCAATTTATGCTGAATTTGTAATTTGAAAACATCTTTAAATCGAAGTTTGGCATACTTCAATGTAAATTCAGCAGCAGTTTCACTCGCGGCAACAGCTTCTTTTGTTTTTCCTGCATCCACTAAGCTCTCAACAAGAGAAATCATGAGTGTTGCTCTCCAGTCATAATCAGGGTCATCAATTTCATTCAACGCTTTAACAATTTGTTGAAGACTTAGATGCAGTAGGCCTCGATACCCTGGTCTTAAAAATGGTCTTGCCATTTGCCAAAATAAAACAGAGGCATTATAAACGATGAAGTGATATCTGGGTTTGTCTTTGGCAAAACTGATTGCCTTTAGCAGAAAAACAACAGCTGAATCCAGGTCAGAAGATGAGTTGGGTGATTTGCTTGAAAGTAATTGAGCTTTGCAAAGATATGCTCTACATAAAAATTGATCAGTGAGTTGTGTACCTTGGAAATACATTTGGAGAGCACCTTCCGCCACTTTACTTTCATGCAATCTGATCGCAATTTCTGCTGCAATAACATACAAGTCAGCTCCACAAGGACTTGAATCTGCAGTCTGACCACTTTCTTTATTTGCAGCATCCAATAATTTATACGCCTGCAAAAGATGTGTGCGAGAGTCTGCTTCATTTCCAACAGCATTTGAAGCTGCCAAAAGCTGTCTAATATTGGCATCCATATTATCCTGTAAATAAATTTTATGGAAATGAAGTTCTGATCTTTAGTCGTGCATAAATATCACAATAAGTGAATTATGAGAAATTTTTTTATGATGATGAAGTGTTCATGACCAAGAAATAGAATTCTGAAATTTTTTGTTAACACTAAACGATGCTATTTTGCAGTAAAATGATGATAAGTTCGTAGTTTACTAAGTGACATTCCATCATCATCATCCAATGGGATAGGTGATGAAAATTCAAGTGATGAAAATTCTACTGAAAAAACTCCTCTCTCAGAAAGTCCCTTTTATGAATCCCAGTGTGAATGATTATAGATAGGTCATGCACTGTTTTAAATTACTTTTGACTATATTTTTTTGATAAACCACATTTATGAAATGAAATATTGATGGATGTAACATAAAAGTTATTTCACCCTTACTTTTTATTGAAAATTAAGCTTCAATATGTAGCTATATTCGATATATCAGAATATACTGCAGCTGATCCAAAATTGCTTCTTATTGAATCTGTTAAATAAATAATAATTGATTAAACTGGAACACTCGTGAGAGAGAAAAATGGCAGAGGAATCAATTTCAATACCCAAGCATCATACAATGAAATATGGTTATATCTTTAGTTTTCTGGACAAATTATGAATCAGATATTGTTTGAGCATTTCTGAAAATTTCTAAAGCTTCATATGATTTAATCTATTGAATAATTTCATTATTATATAAATGGATGACCGAAATTTTCACTAAATGGTAACATGTTACTTTTTATTGCTCTGTAATTGTGACGAACTGACCATGCAGTTCTTCCAGTATATTTGTATACTATCTTTCGAGAATTTGATTACAGATTATTATAAGATTTAGCATACAATGATTGCATATTGAGTATGAGTAGAATTGAAAATAGTAACAATTTTTATTAATTTCATTTACAGCATTACAAAATAATTTGATAAAAGCCTACAAATATTTAATAGCCTATAAAGGCTATAATATAAGGTAATATTAATAATTATCGTACCTAGCAAAAAAGTTCCATTGTTCTTGAGTGCTGAGGAGGTAAGAAGACACTTAAAAGCTGATCCAATACAAATTAAACATATACCAGTAACTACCCTTACCAGTATATAGCTATCAGGCAGTATAGTCAACTGCAACCCACAATTCTGCAATTACCAAAATGAGAAGAATAAAATATATTTCATGAACGACCCTATTACCTACGGTACTGAAAACAAGCATACAAACGAACACAGAAAAATCAGGAAACTGGGCAAGACACAGAACTTCCAGACTCCTGTACCGGTACTCGATCAGTGATTGTCTCAGACAATCCCAATGAGAAAAGAAAAATAATAAGCATATCTTATCATTGATTTCCAGCACCTATTGAAGTGCTTCTAACAAACACAACTCAAGCCAAAAGCAGCTGTTGATGTTTCTACGGACAACCCGATCTGAAACAACTCGTGGGTGCCACCTAACCAAAGTGATTACCGTGACTGATATATACTCCCTATTTATATTAGTCCAGTATTTTGTCGGGGATATTCAATATATGGATGGAATTTTGAATGTAATTCTCAATCCACTGAGTGCACCGAAAATAACTGCGATTGCAATGCGGGAGTTGACAAGTACGATGTGCGTTTCGTGCTTGCCCAGAGAATTGATTTTAAATGCGCATGTAACAAAATTTCATATATGCGCCTATTTACTGCGAACCTGACTCAGTGTTTGCTGGCACATTTCATTATTATTAGGAACCCACCCAAATGTCTGTTGCCCGCGGAACGCAGGTACGAGTATGACCGCGTTTCTCTACATTTTATTTGATATTTTTCAACTATCTTATGTACATTCAGACACAAAGGACTAGATGACGAACAGAATTAATGCTGATTTATTTCCTATCCCCATCTGCTTTTAAGTTCACAATTTCCACATGCAAATTAACAGGTGTCAGCGATTTCCCTATGTAATAAGCTTCCTTTATGCGGCACAATAATTTCACCTGTGCTTATTTCATACAAATTTATATTAAAAGTCCCTTAGAAACACTGTCCCATATCATTTATCAATACCAGTGGACAACTAGAGGAACATTTTTCTCTTGTTTTTGAATCAGAAAACTATACCATACGAAAATTTTATACAAAAATACAATATGTCAAGTCAATAAGATAGGAGCACCAGTAGGCCTACTCCTAAATACATTCAAAATGATAGCAACATCAAGCATTGATGCTCAGAAGTACCCAGCATTGAATAAATATAAAAATACTGAATTCAGATATATTTGACAACTTAAAAGCACTTTTACTTCAAACCAACAGTGTAACAATTTTACATCACCAGTGCTGCAATTATTTAGGAGAATTATACATATATATATAATTGATACATATTGCTATTCACCCATACACTATATTCAGCAGCTTCATTTTTTTCAATTATAATTCTTATGAATTTCTGTTATATGCACAGTTATACACAACATTCAGTTGTTCCACGATTAGATGGCTACATGAACATTGAATGTTGTGTTCATATTTATTTTAGCCCTGCAATGCCTACTGCTTTTTCAAGTATTTTTCAGTATCTTTTACGCGCACCAAAGTATCAGCGAGAACAGTTTCAGAGCACATGGGACAAGTAGGATCCGAATCCAGAAACTTTTGAAATTCGCTATACAATGCTGGAAAATCACATGACGGGCAAACACACATATCAGTCTTCACAATATGACGACCTGTAGCAATGCAATACGGTATTTGACTTTTGCAACTGGGACAGAGAAGCTCTGTTTCAGACAGTGAATAATTACAAAAAGGACAGGGAGCATCTGGTTCTTCTTCATCTTCCCCTTTACCACCAGATTTTCTAACAATTTGTTCTATTTTCCTCTTGTATTTTTCATCAATTTTATTTCGATACTCGGGACGCATAAGCATTGCAGCATAACTGAAACTACTTGCCCGTAGTCCGGATTTGTGACATTCAACAACAGTAGATGTTAAAATAGGAACGATATGGCCAGGAAACTTTGAAATATTTTCTGCGACTCTAATCAACATTCGAGCTGCTTTCAAATGATCACCACGCTTTATATGACTTCTAGCAAGTATATATGAATGCAGGATGAGCAAATTACTTTCCATTTCAGAAGGGATCTTGATGTCACGATCTTTAAGTTCTTTCATCATGCTGAAAAGCAGATCACGAGCGCTAGCGTAGCTTCCAGACTTCTGTTCTTCTTTTGAAATAATAATTGCAGTCTGTGCAGCATCATGGTATCGATCCAGTGACATGTACAACCTGAATAAATGCTTTGGATCCTTGGGAACGCCATCATTTTCACCGATCAAAAATGATATTAATGTTTGTACGATGGATTGATCTTTCGACTTCGAAGCAGTTTCTATCCCCAGTTCTATAGCTTGAGTTTCATCAACAGTGGTAGAAGATAGAGCTGATTTAATAAGGTGTTTTATTGCTTTGTTGTATAATCCAGCAAGATAATAGAATTTACCACTCAAAAAGTAATTTCTCTCGTTTTCAAAATAGACGGCAATACTTTGTAAATCATTCGGTGTCGCATCTGTTCCAATTATTTCAGCATAAATCTCCATTTGTCCATGTTGTTGTGCCATTTGGAAAGCTTCGTCATTACATTTTGATAAAACCAGAAATTGTATCGCTGAAGCATAATCTCCAAGTCTTATAAAAAATCTTGCCACCATACTGGCACCTTCGATAGATCCCGTTTCTTTCACAATCCTAACTGCTTCATCAGGTTTTTGTAAATGATCAAGATAAACTCTGATCTCATTTTCGAAATCTTTAGCATTTCTATATGCAAGAGCAGCTTCTGCAAATTTACCATCCGTCTCTTTAGCCTTTGCATACTGAAGATGAAGCTTGGGGGATGTAACGTTAGGTAACAATTCCCCAACTTTATTCCAGTTTTTGCATCTTATATATACTGCAGTTGCTTTTTCATAGAATTCTGCCTCTTCATATAGTTCAGCTGCTTCTGGGAATTGCCTCATGCTTTCAAGTATTGCAGCACACTCCTTTTTCAGTTGTCGGTTTCCACTCTTTTTTGCTTGTGTTACTCCTCTTCTAATATCTCCTTGCCTTATTGACATACGTGTTATTCCATCAATGCAAATCTCATCATGTTGCTTGTACTCAATTCTACGCGTTAATCCTTTTTCATAATGAGAAAGTGCGCTGGGATAGTTACCGGTGAATTCCAATTGTTGGGCATATTCTTTAGCAATGAAGGGTATTTGTTCTGGATCCAAAGTCTGAGCCAGTTGCATAGCTGTGTCCCAATGCAACAGATCTCGACGCATGTCCAAGGCCGCTGACGGAGTCCCAGAATTCAGTAACAGTTCTTGAGCTAGCTCAAAATCTCCAATGTAAGATGCAAGGGTCCCAGCCAAAAGATTACTGTCCTCAATATCTCTCAATTGCTGTAATGACAAGACCATCCCTGCGTCCTGAACACATCTGTATACACGAACAGCAAGGTCAAGATCTAATGCAGTTATTGCAGCCATTCCCAGTCTCAGCCAAAGTTTCTTTTTATTCAATGAAGCACATATAGACCAGGCCTCCCTCCATCGACATAATGAAATAGCGAGAGATAAATTTTTTTGTAAAACATCTGAATCTTCGTCTTTTTCAGTTTCCTCTTCCTTTAGAAACGAATGAGTGTCAAGCAATATTGTGTTTATTTTTCCATTCGTTAGTTGCAACGACAAATTCCCATTGTATAGAAGGAGAGGGTGTTGTGAAAATGGAAGATGTGTTATTCCAACAAGATTTACATGTGGCCCATTCAAGGATTCTCGATGATAAACATAAGTCAATATATTTGTTTCATCATACACTATGAACACTCCTTTATCATAAGGATATCTTTCCCAGACGAGCCCTTGTATATTTGATGGAAAATCAGGAATTTTATGAAGAGCGTCATTAACTGGATTATATATAAATCCTTGGCCTTGATCATCGACAATAACAAGTCTTGTACCTGAATAATCTTGATGAATAGAGCGAATTCCATTCGCATGACGAAAGACGTTTACCTGATTCCAATCTTCCATACTGAAAAAATGCAAGCTCCCCATATCAGTGCTATAAATCAAATATTCATTTGTAATGTCACATGAAGTTACTTTTCCAAGATCATCTCGTTCTGGAAATAACTTTGTCTCTCTGTCTTCCATATTTGAAGTTGCATCAAGCATATGTAATTGTACTTTACCTTCAAACATTACAGCAGCATAATCAGAATTGAGATGCATACTTTGAATCGTTCCGAGGTATTCACGGTCTTTCAACCTCTCTGCTCCATCCTCGCCGACAAAATAAAACCATGCTCGGTTGTTCATACCGGCCGCAATATGATATGGACCACAAGCAATAAATGCAGGCTCAACATCAATGGGAATTTTAATAGGCTTTGCACCTTCTACGGGGTTAATAACAGTGACTTCAAGAAGAGATGTAAGATAGGCAATTTTAGTCCCATGCGTGTCTCCAAGCATTGGTAATTTTGTTAAGTAGCAATGCAGGTTTCCTTTGGCCCCAGATACAGCAAGAAGCTGTCCGTCATCCGTCCATTGGATTTCTTTTAAACCCTTCGGTTCATCTTCAATGTTAATAATAGCCGTTATTTCACTCAATTCTCTCAGGTCGTGAATTCTAATACTCGAGTCTCCACAAGATGCAGCAGCATTTAATGATTGTGAAATTGTGACACAAGACAAATAATCATGATGATTGCGAACTTGGAAAAGTTCCTGACCAATTTCAGATACGTGCGTCGATATGACGACTAAATATCCATTAGAAAATCCAATCATAATATAACCATCGCCATACCAACGATATGACTCAATTTTTCCATATCTAGACTGGAATGCAAGTTCAATCGGATTTGATGTATCAGACATATTGTAGAGATACAATGTCTTTCTCCCAACCACAAGACTGACTGTATTTTCTCCTAAATCACTTCTAGTGTTCCCTTTCATTTCAGAAAACTGCATTAAACTTGGGGTATCACGAACATTGAATTGAAAAAGAGTTTTACCCTCTTTATCGCTGATTGTAACAGTGTTGTCAACTCCTCCCAAAGCAAATTTATTTTGATAACTCCATGCACCGCAAACAATTTTCTTGTTATGTTTGCCAAGTATAGGTACTTTGCGACCAACTTTATGATCGTAAAGAATTACGTTGCCTTTCGAAGTACCAACAGCCAAACACAAATCTGTTTTCGACCACATCAAATGAGTATGTCCATCTTTGGCTCCGCTATCAATATTGATAACTTTATGTTGATTTGCATCCCATATGAATAATGTGCTGCTTTTTTCACATATTGCAGCCAATGCACCTCCATCATGGTCCCATTCTAGACCAGTGCATGGGCTTGGCAAAACAACCTCTTCTTCTATCTGACCGTGCCTGTCCCATATTCTTATGACGTGATCATGACCAGTGGTTGCCAAGTAATTTCCGAGTTTCTTTTGCCAACGAAAAATAACAGAAGTTTCTGATCCATGAGCCTTATTCAGGCTAAACATTCGCTTCATTTTGAATTTTTTATGTTATTTAACAATATGAGATTACCATGTTCTGATTGGAAAGAAAACAATTCAGATTAATATAGATAATATTTTTCTTCCAATTACTGGATTGTCTTACTTCTATCTAAAAATATTATGTGCTGAAAAATGAAAGAGATTTCATAGTGCCAAACAAGATTGCAAGCGTAACCCAAAGTTTATTTTGTCATGTTTCAATGTACAGTGTGGCACAGTTTTCCGATTCCAAGGATAGCCCATACATTCTGACATTAGAAAATATCGATTATAACAGTGAGTGCAAACGCCTCCTCTACATGACAGTTTGAGTGTCCCTATCTGCAAACTGGCACTGCGCAATAAATTAAAAGCAAGAGCAATCTTAAAACGTCACCATTGAATTCCTCTGAAAATACTAATCCGATTTATCGGAGGAAAAAAAATTGCCATAGTAATCGGAGTTTTTGACAAAGAGAGAACTTCGGTCACGAGACAGACGACGCATGTTAATTTACGACATACCTAATTCTATTCAATAACCAGATGCCACAAACCGAAGCACAAAAGCAACAAGTTGCCCACAGGCTTATTCTAAAAATATTGTACATTTTCACTCAACAGCATTCAAGTTTATGTTTTATTAATAATGTAGCTATTTCGGGTCTCGTGTAGTTTCGTACCTAACATACTTCTAGTGAGCGTATCGCAATAATTTTTCGACATATCAATCCTAACCTGACTACGCCATCCAAAAATTATGTCACTACGACGTCAAAATCACGTCATAAAGCTTGCCAAATACTCGTACGACCGTCCGAAATGGCATCGGCGCCGACGATAAGGAACTGACTAACGTCAGCGATCTCTCTCCAATCGGGATCGTTGCGACGAAGAAACGAGAGAAATGGCTGTTCGATTTCGGGTTCTCGTATTCGCGTCTTGGATGACAGTTCGCATAGTTTGAAGGGCTCTTAGTGACGTTGTCGTAGTGACGTAATTTTTGGATGGTGTGGTCAGGTGGGGGTTGAGATTGACACGTGAAAAAATTGTTATGCTATGCCTACTAGAAGTGCGTTAGGTACGAAAGTACATGAGACCCGCTATTTCAAATTCCCTTTACATACAGACATATTAGAAGTCAGGAAGTGGTGCTAAGTCACGGTATCTGAAAATACTCATTATTCCGACTGTTTCATAAGACTATGCCATACCGGTATGTATAGGTTGTTGGATTTAGGAGTCAGTATTTGTAGTAGTTTTTTGAGACAAACGAAAATATCGTTTCAGTGTTTGAAATATGCTTGCTTACTTGTATACAAAGTATACTAATAAATACCTGATGGCAATATGATATATAGCCTGTAAAATGGAAAATCTTACTTTGAGACAGAAAATAAAAGTGATAAAAAACATGACAGTATGTGATACCGGTATTTTCAAATCGGGTAATCTCAAGTTCAGAAGCTTGTGAGCATTGTGATAGTTTCCGTACATGCATGTGTCCTATCACATTACTGCATTACGAAAACAGCTCAATTAGTAACTGGTGTCAATACCGATAACCCACCCCAAGTTCAAAATAAATTGCCTCACCTCACAGGCCCTACTGACATAGGTACGATATCAAGCAAATCGCAGAAAACAAAATTAAAAACGAATTCCAATTCAGGTATTCGCTCTCTACTCGCTGTAGCGAATGCGCCCATGACAACCTGCATTCTTCGAATGCGAGAGGATTTCGGAGTCGGATAAATTGTTCCGGATTTTTACAAGGCATCCGATTCCCAAATTTTCATCATTACTTTTTATAGAATATAAATTACTTTAGATTCGGTATCATTTTTGCAATGAAAGTTAGTCACAGATATTTGTTGCAGTTAAAAGTTTACTTAGGTTTCATTTGCGCTTCAGATTATGGAATCAGTGTTTACTTACCATATTATCTCGTTACTTTATCACCATCTAATCTGATTATGGACTCAAAATTGCGCATTGGCTTATAAACTGATGATACCAAATCATACTTTGGCAATACTGTATGTAATTAGAGTTAAGGGAATACCTTGAGATTTGACCATCTGAAGAACCAATGCATTCAATCGTAATAGTATATATTTACGATTCAATCAAAAAGGACTTTTATACCTTCCTTTGTATTCGTTTCTACAATGCCCTATTCTGGGATTCTCACCCATCTGGCACCACACTACGACAGTGAATTCAATGATTAAACAATTCACTAGTTCATAGATCCTTAACGAGTTTCGAAATTCTTACTATACGATTTTGCACCACACATACGAATAAAACCAGGTTTCTTTAATGATATATTTATTGCACAAAAACAATATTCATTTTAAATACCATAGATTTTAGTAGAAGGCAGTGCCATTCACGTCAGGATATATCATGCCTCACAGTAACCCTGTGGTTACATTTTAGCACAATTTCATTCCAGGCTATATCTCTACCAAAACAGGTAGGGTAGATCCATTAATAACATTGGAACCATAGACTTTGAAATTGCACCTATTGCATAAGACTCAAATTCACTTAAAATAAAACACAGAGTAGAAGGGTTTCTTCAAAAAATGACAAATAATATGACAGATTTTGTAAAAAAAAACTTTGCCATATTCAGGCCTTCTTCAAGTGTCTATTGAGAATGCTTGGACAACTCTGGGCTTTTTCGATTTCAGTCAGGAGTTTTGACTTAAATTATCACCATTAAAAATCTGAAATTCTGACTCTGAAAAAATCAAAACTTTGGCTTCGGGTGGTTGGGAAACATGAATTTGACTCTAATAAAATAAAAACATCATGCCAAACTTGAATCCACAGACAAAAACTGCAAGGATAGCGATATACTCTGCACCTTATAAACTGCTAAAACAATAAAAAAAGACAAAAACTGCATTACTTACCAGGCACCACAAACAATATGACAAAAATAAGATTGGCAGAAGAGCACGTGCTTATGCAGGGGAAAAGACTTACCTGCAAGAATCAGAAAATAAGGTGTCCTATATTTCAAATAAATAAAATCACGAAATTGTACAATCATATTTGCAGAAAATTGTCCGGGATATTTATTTATTAAGCATACAGATTTTAAAACTCCAAATCAGGCAGTCTTTATATATTATATTATTTTAATAAAGTGATTAACACACACTTTGTGTTATAATATATACTGCATAAATATAATACTAAACTTCGCCAAATCAAAAACAATATCAAGATTCGAAAATTTAATTTGGTCCAAATTATGATTGGAATCGTATAAAACCAAAACACTAAAGGGTTCTTAATTATAGAAGATATGATTAATTAGAAGTATATTAAGCATCCTAGTTATACTGCATCAGTTGTGCTGTTAGATGCCTTGAGTCTCTTTTGTTTTTTATATGCTATATGCTGCTCTTGTATGGACACAAAATGCTTGAACAATTGGTCAAAATCTACATCAGGTGAGCTATTCCCCGTCACAGTAGGTATATCCTTCTTCTTGTTATTTTTGACTTCTTTTGAACTATATGTGGAAAATAAAAAAATATAGCCTATTCACTCATGTTCAAATAAACTATGTCAATATAAATTCATCAATGACATAACACACTTACTAATTTATCATTTCGTGATGTTATCGGTTGCAAGCATGGAATTTGGAATCTCAAACACAGAGAATACTAAATTTTGAGACAAACTCCAATGAAAACTGTCAAACTATACGACCCTAGTCCCTATGTACAAGGCTGATTGATAATCATCAAAATATGATTTGTATTTATATATTTTTAAAATATCATATTTTTTCATTCAACTAGAAATTGTACTTAATTTAAAATAGCAACGGCAATCGCACACCAATCAGACAAAATGGAACTGTATAAAAATCCCGACCAAAATATTAAAACATAAATTGAGTAACGTTTCCTCAATTGAAATGATCGGCACAAAAATAAAAGAATTGGATGCTTACCTTAAATGGGAAACCAACTGCGGAGTGGGAAGGCATGATAATCTATGTTGAAGAATTTCGAAGGAACGACTTTGAGGCAGTAACATCAATAATGCATACATACATTTCACTAAATGTTGATTCGATTCTACATCTAATAACTGAAGGCGTAAATCTAAAATGAATGAATGAATAACAAAATAGAACTATTGAGAAAGTTGTTTGAGTATTAAATTTTATGTTTATCCTAATTGAAGCAAATTTATAGCAGATAGTTCGCAAAGCGTTAGACTCAACTGGTAAAAATCTCGGGTTTAAATTCCATGCTCACCACTTCACCCAGGTGTAATAAATTGAGTAGGGGAGGCTGATCTTAAAATATTCTCAGATGTGTGTGTCACTCACGCAGGCAGAAATAAATACCGTAACTATTCACATCTAGAAAGCATGCTAAACAATTTCAAAATCCTTCTACACTAACAACCACATATAATAAACAAAATATCAACTCACATGTAAAAATAGGAGATTCTAAAAGTTGAATAAGTTTGTCGACTTCCGTTAAAAAATCCACAGTAACTTCTAAATCAGCGCTGTACGACATATCAAGTCAAAGAAAACGGTATCAAGTTATCAGAGAACAAAATTAAAACCTTCAACTTGAAAATATGCAAAACTTTCTCCACGTTTCTATGGAAACAGTTGATACAAAATATAAAACACCCCCTTCATGAAAAAAAAACATCTTTTTTGGAAGGATACAATTTCATAAGTAGATCACATCCATGTTTGTAATTCTGAGTCAATAAACACAAAGAAACAGTAGCTACCGGATTATGGCACCAACTCTTGTAAAGGCAACAAAATAATTGTGAGCTGTCCTGAAAGAATAAACGAATAATATTGTACAGACAAATATAAACTGAGAAAAATCAAATCATAGTGCCCCAATCGTGATTGGGAGTGTGTCAAGTCTGTGGAATTCTTGTATGGATATAATTAGAAATTGCTGATATTTTGCTGATATCGCGGCCACATTTTTCAGACATGTTTTAGCAAGATATCAGCAATTTCTAATTATATCCATACATCCTAGTGGGTAAAGTGTTTGACTTAGGTCCACATCACTGGTTACACATCTCGGTTTCAAATCCTATGTCCCCTACCTTACACATAATGTGATATATTTGGTATAGGTCAGTGTTTCCCAACCTTTTTTGGTCGCGGACTATTTTCACACCAGGGAAAATCTTTGCGGACTCAACGTGCGTTAACTGTAAAACGGAACTCTGTGTGAAGAAGCAATAAAATCGAAAACAACAGAATTTTACCGAAGTACGTTTATAATCCATATTTACAAAATTCAATCGGAACCATAGCGAGGGTGCTCAATCATTGAGACATCGCCCACTGAAAAGATGTGGAATTCATGCGATATTGGCGCACAATAGATCATTTAAAAATGTGGCAATGGTGTTACAGGAAACAAATAAATAAAAACACAAATATAACACTCAATCTTAACGGAAGCGAAAAGTGCGTGTAAACTCGTGTTTTTGTCAGAAATCTGCGAGTCCGTTGTGCAATTTAATCATTTGATTCAGCGTGATTGACCTGCTGTGTCCAAGTCACATGTTACCAGGTATCCCAATAGTTTGCTGTTTGAGTATTTTTTCGAGTAATTATTGACTCGATTAATTTTATTTGAATAAACTTGCCTTTTATGTTTTATGTAAATACTAACGTAAATCGTAACTTGGCTGGTACTTAAGTCTGGTAAAAACGTTTTCGCCCCGCAATGAATTTTGCGACACTGAAAAGGTTAGTGACCTATATTGAATATACTACTACATAACTTTCTAATTTGGTCATTGCGGACTCATTCGAACGTTCTGCGGACTCATTTGAGACCGCGGACTCGGGTTGGGAAATACTGGTATAGGCACTGCTAATTCAGAAATTTTTTTTAAAATTCCTTCCAAAAAACCTCAACTCTTTACATCAAGTGACTGTTCGTACAGGGCAACGTATAGAGCGAAAGGTGTGAATAGGCATTGTACAAAAAAAATCAGATGATGAAAAACTAAACTACCGGTAACTAGAACTAAAAGATGAATTCCATACTAGTAGTTGGCATATATACTGGAAAATGTGCATCAGAAAAAAGGAACAAACCTTTGAATCTCCCTTTTTCAGTTGATTCCGTAATTCAAAAAGCTCACTGGACGTCATCAAAATAATGTTAAATATTTGCACAATTAAAGAAGCGAATTTACAATCGTCTTCTTGCTTCAATAAAATTTCAGCAAACACTCTATAAACGTTTTCTGCATTCAACAACAGACTAAGCTGCCTGAATTGAAAATGGAAAAACTAAAATTTATAGATCTCACTGAACCACATTAATCACATTATGTTCAAAAAAGTTTTAGTTAATTCCTAACGGCTTAGTAGTGAAAGTGTTGTACTCAACTGTGTTGGCATCGCAGATGACACACTTCTTCAAACTAGGAAAAAAAAATTGAAAATGAGACGTAATTAAATTTTACCTTACAACAAAAGAACTTCTGTTTTCCATAAATTGTTTGTCAGTTTTAAACATATTCAACAGAAAAACCATCAACCTTCGAAAATATTCATTTAGAACGAGAGTAGTCGATGATGAAGTGTTTCCTGTCGATCCTAGAAAAATAAATGGATTATATTTATATGTTCTCCTGGCTATTATCAAAATTTGATGCTCCAGAAGTAACTGATTTTGTTCGCCTATTTTACATCAAGTTGTGTAAAGGGACTAAAACATATGGGAAGAGGATATATTCACTTGGCTAACACAGACAGTCCCCGAACTCGTAATAGAACTAAAATAAGGAAAATTGTAATAAAATTATGGCTTAACCCTAACCTGGTACACACACTATGGCAGTACCCAAAATTCTGCCTTGGATACAAAATTTAAATTAATATTTTTGCTCAATTTAGTTAGCTGTTAGTATAAGCTTTACTCTGTATGTCTAACGTTGATATTGTACTTCTATTTGGTTCAAAGAGAAATATCTAAAATATCACAAACTATTTCATGTCTAACAACCTGTCATGGGAGTCCCAGCTGCTGATGATGCAAGTTCTGCAAGACATTCCAAAGCCAGTAACACAACCTGTGATAAAGAACAATCATACGCTGTAGCATGCAGAGAATAAAAGTTGGTATTATGTTAACGATATAAATAAGACGCCCAAGATCAGTTCTAGGAATGAATCCTCAATTGCTTGAAGCTTTTATTCTCAGCCCTATACCTAAACCGTAAGAGAAACCCACGAAAAAAAGATGTATGCATCATGTTAAACAAGATTATCAATTTACAAATCTTTGCTTCGATTTTGCTAGAATGTCAAAGTCAACCAATGGACAAGCAAATTCAGAGCTATTAAAAGGTACTCACGTGATCAGAAGAATCCGCCAAGGTATTCATTAAATGTGTGAAGATTTCATCAATATACATGAATGTCTAAAATTCAATAAAAAATATGCTTGTTTACTATAAGAAGGAAAAATAAAGGGAATACGATTATCAGCTTAGTATTTATAACAATATAAATGCAATTGAATCAGTTGCCACTTGGCACCAATCAAAAATACAAATAAATGGAAAGCTACAGCTACAACACACCACACAACCAATATTCTGAACTAAAACTTATCTTAAGAACAAAGTGTGGTTAAAAATTTACAGATACTATATTTCATAATTATAATTATCTTTCATAAAACACCATAAAGCAGGGGTGTGCAACCTGCAGTCCGCGGGCCAAATGCGGACCTCAAGGGAAAATTGTGTGGCCCCCGGCGAAGTGCCAACTGCCAATTTTCAATGATGTGCCTTCCGCGAAACGAGTTTAATTTAATTCAATACGTGCAAGTAATTCCAATCCTTTGCGCTGCGAAACCTATACCCGAGGCCGAGTCCAAAGTATTATCTATGCATTTGACTTTACAATGCCCTAATCTAACAACTAGCTCGTGCGAACATCGCATGGTATGATATCAATAACCAACATTTCAATGCCTGCAACTACCAGGAAGCCTATGTCAAATAAAAGTGCGGCCCACGATTTCACCCAGTTATTTCTATCTGGCCCGTCCTGTATTGAAAGTTGCACATCCCTGCAATAAAGCATCAGCAAAAAATCATTTACCCTGTATGGAATCTGCACCAACAAATGAGTTATCCATCTGATAACAGCAGTTTTAGTTGAAGTTGATTGATGTTGTAAATATCTTGTAAATACTTGAAACATGTCGTTCAAAGGCAGTGGACTGAAAAATAATAAAAAAAATCAGGACTCATAAACACATATTCAGTGGATTCAAAAATCTTGCATCACACATAAATTTCTTCGTGTAACGTTTCATCTGACGAAACAACCATAGGTCTTATAACATGAAAAAGTGCTTGGAAAAAGCGAACTAGCTAACCAGACATAAACTGTACACTCCAACTTACTGCTTTATATACAGAGTCATTAGCTCATTTATTCATAAATTAGGTGCCGAATCTTTAATTCAAATATGGCGTTAATAACCAGGCTATGGAGTCTCAGAATTACAGACTTTCAATGGTGTTAAAAAGTCGAAATTTCTCCACAGAAACTCAGAGCACAAAGTTTACCATGCATTCTTAACAGTGCAGTGCAGTCTACCAAAGAAAGCTTGCAAAAGCGAAAGTTTCTGTTATTTTGTTTGATATACTTTGGAGTTCGGAGCTGGAGTCATAATTTCTTACAACCAAAGCGTCAGTAGAGTCTGAGTCCGAATTTTCTTAACCCAAAGTCGAAGCCTAAATTTATTTCCCAGACTCTACAGCCCTGTGATAAATTTCCGTTAAGACTTGAGTAAAAAAGATAATATACTAGCAAACCTGTCCTCGCCACTCGATCCTTCAGATTTATCACAAGAATTATCAATCAATTTCATTAAACTTGAATTGGCAGATTTTGCAGCTTCATGCACACGTGTTGGTCAGTTAAGGACAAAATATACTTTTTATTACGAAGCAGAGTAAAGGTATACTTTTGTATTAACAATTTCTCACCAGCTTTGAAGTTATTTGTTCAGTATGTAGCAATATCAGATATAACTTTAATTAAACATGATTTCGAAACAAAACGGGCTAGTCTGAATTCTGAAAAAATTAATAAAACAAAAAGCAATGCTCGAATAAAGAGAAACGAATTGTTAATTGGATTAAAACAGCAAATTTTAGGTGAATTAATAGGTAAAAAGCCCTCTCTGCGTCTTAGACTTTGAGTACTTGAAATTTTTAGTTTGTTAATTGTGGAGAGAAGCATCTTTTTCATAATAATGATTCATATCTACACTTCATCCAAACATTCCCAGTGAAAAATCATGATAAGATATTTGAAGAGGATATTATTATGCATTAAATCTTCATATGCAAGTGTTGGTAGCACTGCACCCACCACACCAGATGCATATTGTAGAACAATTGGACCGGCAAGTTTTATGAATTCCTGCATCCACAACAAAGCCTTTACCTTGATGAAATCATCTGGTGAAATAACATAATGGAAATTGATCGTGAATTGTGTATACATTGATAGTTTCTGACTTCTTAAGACAATTCGTTGCATTTATAAATGACTTTTATCAGAATGATTTATTCTTCTGGACTTTTTCTGATATCTTACATCTTTTCAAATGACCTACCCATCTAATAAGCAGTAAATATATGATTTCAGACGAATTTAGTTTTTTTGAATTTGATGGGCGGCGGTTGACTCACACATTCTGCTGAGCATTAATTGCCATTATCCACATTCTGATTATCCCATATAATTAATTATGTGCAACATAATTTTTGACTGAAATTTGCTGTATTTTTGTATTTATCCCATGCAGAGGAAAATCAATACCAAATCAGATAGCAAATCACGACCTCGGATATGTTGGACGAAGCTGTAACCGGCTACCGATTATGTGAACCACCAAATGACGAGGAGGAGTCAAGCAATCCTCCCGCAAATAATGCTATGAAGTTTGTGATAATTTAATATCATACCTTGAGATTGGCAATGTACGATGACAATATTAACCATTTCATTGAACTTGACTGATTCTGGATCTTTTTTAATATTTTGTAAAATCTCATCCAGTGTCGTTTCACACCTGAAAATTACACGTACAAATTACAAGGCGTCAGAAACCAGTGAAGGTCAACTATTTAACAGATTCCATACAGACAAAAATATTACCAGACTGTATATTGCATTAACTTTGAGCAAAAACACAATAATATGCTCTAAACCAGTGGTTCCCGAACTTCCATGATCGGTTGCCCTACCAAAAACTGAATAGTGGTGACACACTGCTCTCATATAAAAATACCTAGTTTAGATTTTGACAGGCTTCGTCAGTTATTTAATGCCTCATGTTTAAAAATTAAATAGCCAACAAATGAAATCAAAAAGAACAAATGCATTACAGTCGGAGAATTTAATAAATCTATTTACTTTAAAATAATGATATCTGTAGGGGTCTTAGCTCATGGCCTCCAAGGGAGCAGACAGCCAAATTTGATAACCCCTTAAAATCATTTCAAGTCATATCCACTGTGCCGATATGTAACGTTATATATTACTATATTGCGATATGACAAATACTCATAACGAAAATAACAGGACACAATCAGGAAGCGTTGAATAGCACAAATTGATTTTGCTGCTTCCAGGAAACATTGCCCTATTAAACAATATCACGATGATACACATTAAAATCATATGGGGAATGTTGCATAATAACATATTTCAATTTGGGCCATATGATAATTTAATATGTTTAATATTATCATTTGCCAGATTACAGTCAGTATACCTACCAAGCAAAATAAATTCTATGTCATGATTTTTTTACAAAAAAAAAGAGGAAAATAGAATTTGAGAAAAAAATAGAAAAATAGAGAGTATATTGGTGAACCAAGAAAAAAGGAGTCAGCTAAATAGCCGGAAAATATGGTATAGCTTACCTGTTTATTGCAAATGAGAAAAAACACTCACATTTTTTTAATCTCCATGCTCGTGTCACCAAGTATTTGAAACATACCGTCCAGGAATTTGGGTAAATATATCAGAATGTTGATTTCAGGCACAGAATCAAGGCAGATCAACCACTGAATCAGAAATCGCCTTGTGTATTGATTCATCGTATAAATTCTATCACATAACAACGGCATAAATCCAGCAACATCAAAAGCTGGAAATTCTGTCACAATGTCCTATAAGAAAACAATTTTGCTAATATAAGAACAACATATGGATATTGGATAGTACTTAAAAGAGTCATATTTGACGCATGTCTCAATAATAAGTAAAACATTGGAAATTGGAAAATATAAAATTCCTGACTGAGCATTTTTTATTCCACTTAAAATCATAACATGTTTAGGCAAACTAGCAATACATCACTAATGTGGTCCCAGTACAATGTCAGCAAATGTCAATGTTAAAAGAATTTACCAAATGTATTAAATATTAGAAAACATGGTACAAAAGGGCATATGAATGCCTGAATTATAAAATCCAACAATTTGGCATCAAATAATGGTCCCATAGGAATCAAATGGAAAATGAATTAATAAAGGTCATAGCTTTCATCTTATAGTACCCAAACTGGTCCATTAGTTGCAGAGACAGATTCAAAGTTAAACAATACTGATTGAACGAAATATTTTACTTTATACCTTGAGTAAACGATCAAGCAAGTCCGAACCATTTCGTACATTAGGATCCGGATCAGCAGTTAGCTAAATAAAATAGATGAAAATTATGTTTACGCATATCAGAACAGCTACAGTAATATCATTTTACTGACAATGCCAGATGCAGGAACTAATTTCCGATATAGAAAATTTAAATGGAAAAAAATATTGTGAATGTAACTATATTAAAAAGGTATATTGAAAAATTATATAGGTACCATTTGCGTTTTTTTGTTAAAGTTCAGAGGGCAATGAGTGTGAGGATACTTTGGAAATGGGCCACAGATCCTGATAGTTTAATTGAGAACAACTAATCTAAACCAAGCATTGAAAAAAGCCTCACCTTGCTCATTGCATCAAAAAGTTTATTAAAGAAAGGCATTGTATCTGCTCTTGAAACTTTAACAATGTTATATAGAGATTCACAAGCAAAATACCGAATTCTGTTATCTGCATCCATTGAACAAATTAATACAGGATTAATCAATTCATCCAAGTATTGTGTGATATCCTGCAAAATGTATATAAAAAGCAGATAGATTGAAGGTTTTTCATAGAGAGTAACAGAAATTTTGATTATTGCGCAGGTAAAATGTGGCATGTATAACACAATGTGATTAGACACAAGTAATTAACGCTCTCAAAACGACAGGGCAGTTGAGGATTGAAATCATAATGGCTCTGGCTGCAGCTCCGAACATTCATGCCATGGCTCTCGCTTCAAAATCCGAGCCTTATTTTTACGACCATGAAACATCAGCCCAAATGCACATTATACAAATTTAACTTGAAAATTTCAAATGAATAGCCTATTAGAAATTTAATTAAAACAAGAGAATAAGGTGGAAAAATCGATTTTATTATTTTTATAATATTCTAGTAAATGAAAAAAAATATGAGTAAATGAAAATACAAATAGATGGTTAGGAGCTGGAGCCAGGGATGGCCAATATCGAATAGTTCACTATTTCGAATACATTCGAAATTATTTTTTTCGAATATGAAATTTCGAATACTTCGAAAATAAAATCCACTAATTGAAGCTTATCTAAATGTATGTAGGAATTTCCATACAATAAGCAATGGATTAACTGCTATCTACAAGTTACAACCTAGCCAAATTACCAGGCATTTCATATTTGCAGATTATTGCAGTATATATTTTATATACCATGAGTCATGTTAACAGAATTAAATTAATACGACAATAGTGGTATCGATGATGGATTTGAATATTTGCGCAACACAAAAGCATCCTAGTAAAACGCCCATACTTTTAAATACCAACCATTATCCAAATTATTTGTCAAAGAGCGGGATAAAGTATGAGGTATTTTTCCGACTTGTGACAATTTTTTCGTGAGTACAAAAATACGAATCAAAAATTATTTATATTCGGGAACTTTACCACACATTTTAAGTCCGCAGATCGCCGTTGTATGTTTGAGTAATAATACTTTTACTATTTCATAAATATGAAAATAGGAATCAAAAACTATTTATAATCGGGTAGTTTACCACACATCGCCGTTGTATTTTGTAAATACGAAAATAGGAATCAAAAATTAATATTAATCGCGAGTTTGCCACACAATTTATGTCCACAGATTGCCGTGATATTGTGCCGAATATAATTAGTTTATGATTCCTATTTTCGTACTCTCGAAAAATTGTCAGAAGTCGGAAAAAGAATTTATACTTTATCCCGCTCTTGGGAACTAATTTGGATAATGGTTGCCATTGGTTTGTATTTAAGTATGGACTTTTTACTAGGATGATTTTGTGCTGCGCAAAATATCCGAATCCATGACCGATCCACTACTAATGCCTTACTGTGTTAATTTAATTCTATTATCATAACTCAAATGTTGGTAAATCGGGCAGTTTACCACACATTTTAAGGCCACAGATCGCCGTTGTATTTTAGAATTATAATAGTTTATTATTTTGTAAATACGAATCCGAAATTAATTATAATTGGGCAGTTTACCACGTATTTCATGTCCACAAATACCCGTTGAATTTGGTATTAATACTTTCATTATTTTATCAATATAAAAATAGGAATCAATATTTAATAATATCGGTCAGTTTACCACACATTTTATGTCCACAGATTGTCGAGTACGTTGAGTTACGTTGAACAGAATTAAATTAATACGGCATGACATTTTAAATGCTGGTACCAGTCATGGATTGGATTATTTTGCGCAACAAAAAATCATCCTAGTAAAGGATCGATACTTTCAACTATCGTTATCACAAGTTTTTCCAACTTGTGACAATTTATTGGATATCGTAACAATGACGGCTATAAATACCGAATTTCCCCGCTAATAAGTCCACATGGCAAATAGGACGATGCCTATTTTTAGCACTCAAAAAAGGGTTTTTTCCATATAGGCCTCACATAAGACGGGTTGAAAAATTGTGTCCCTGTTGTTCAGTAATGCTGATATGCGCTAATAATTTTATATGTTTAGAACCAGATCATGTTAGTTTGGTAGAATCATACTCACAGAATTAACTATTTTTAACAAATGAGCGGTAAATTTAAGTTGTAAAGCGGCAATCATTTTAGACAACCTATTAACCGGAATGTCGAAATAATTTTGGAATGTGATAAGTACTACACTGTACGTCCACCGGTTATTTCACGGCTGTGTTTTCCTATCCCTGTCGTGTTCTGCTGAATCGGCAAAACGAAAGGGTCACAAATCACTTTATCTCGGTGGCCGTGTTTCTCTTTAAAGTAACGATAACCAGCCTGCGATTAAATATCATGATTGGCAGACCCTAAGACCCAAATATAAGGTTACACAAATCATGCTTGAGAAGACTCATGTGAATAATAAGCAGGCCACATAGAAATAAAATAAAAATACTTTCTCAATTTTTCGACGTAATGGAAATGAATTTGTAAATTAAAAGCCACGTACACGAATGTCGGCAATGTCCACCCACGCAAACGTGCAAATGTGTCGCAACACTATGCGACGTACGGTCGCACGGGATATAAACAATCAAAGTGCCGATTCTATTTCATCGTCATTACAATACGTGAGACAGCGTAAAAAGTCGTTTGAAGATTCTCGTTAAAAGGAAACACCACGTTTACGGCGAAAAGTGGCTACTATTCGGAATTATTCGAAAATCAGCCGAAAGGGTATTCGAATACTTTGATATTCGAATACATTCGAATATTCGATTCGTTTTGGACAACCCTGGCTGGAGCCACTACAATTTTTAGTAGCTTCAATTCTATATCCATCTATTATGGTAAGCTTGGCTCCAGCTCCCACAAAACATCTTGATAATTTGTGTATTTCAGAGAAATCTTCACCTGACTGCCAAGTGCAATAGCACAAGCCGCAAGTCCAATCAAACCACCTTTCCTACTATTCGAATTATTTGAAAGAGTAAAATCACTTGTCAACAATGTGATTGCTTTTTTAACATCATCATTTCTTCTCTCAAGCACCAAGGCTCGAATGATTCTAGGAAAAAGGAGTAAAATTTAATTACTTTTTTACAGATACAAAAACAGAATTGGGATCATAAACATCCCCTCTCAGTTGGGAAAGAACGATTAAACACAAGTTTATCAAGTCAATTCACAGCAGTAGGATCAAATTGGCCTATGTCACATCTCAAGGTTTTGAGAAAATCACTTTTCTGTAAATTATGGATTCGTATTGCTAAATCTGAAAAAGGACATAATTATGCAATATCTAAAATCAAATCTATAACATGTATAGCTTTAAACTCAGACCAATTGATGGCCACTTGTCAACACACAAGATTTAACAAAATTTTTTGAAACTTGAAGCCATCTGCTTAAATTACTCCAGCAAATATAATTATCGGTATACTTCAATTTAAGTTTGTCACATAAGTTCAAAAGTTTCATTTGTCATAATCAATACTAATAAAATACTCCCAAATATACTCAAATAGTTTGTAAGAGAGTTACCAAGCAGAGTGTTCGAATATTAGCTAACTAACAAGTCATATTTTCCCATTTTTATACATCAAAAGTTCAGCGACGTTCGTGCTGCACCTTTGTCGCCAACAGGGTTTAACTGGTCAATTTTGCCAGGTTCACTGTTTTCAGTGAAATTTCCAGTCCTAGGTTATATATATGGACATATCAGGACAGTATTTAAAACAGAGAAGTGTCCCATATTGGCTATGAATGTAGGCCCTACTTACTTTTCTATTTCTAACGCAGCAATCTTTCGCTTTTCATACAGCTTATCATGAAGTAGACGTACAATTGTTGTTGTGAGAGGATAATTAGGATCATTGTTAGCCATTGTACAGTCCAAATTGATTACATCAAATTTTTATCGAAGAACTAATTTATAACAGCTTCAATAAATATAACTGGGCAAGAACAACTTCCGAACTTAGGTCTAGCTATTGCATATTATGGTGCATCATAGTAACAACACACTCCCAGATAACAAAACAATCTGAAAAAACAAAATATTTAAAAATGTCCTAAAAACATTGAAAAACTGCAAACTAAAAATCTGTCTCTTCATCCATTTTCAGATTTTAAGTGGATTCAGAACATATTCGAAATGGCTTTCAAAATCTCATAGACTTTTTTCAAAAGCAATTAAAAAAAATGTTATTCAAGATTCATCTTAAGATTTTCATATTGCTGCAGCAGGTGAAGATGTGTGAATTAATTTAATAGCTTTAGGTGAGTTAACACGTACAACATCTTTTTTGCAAAATTTCCATCTTATACTCTGTACGTTTAACTGTCTAGTGAGGTTTTGTAGGCTGTATTGATTTCCTAATCAGCTTTTTTACTGTTATTGCCTGTTGTTCCGATTATGGGTTCGAGATAAACTTGTAACTTACAGTAGATGCATAAAAACAAAAATAGTGTTAGTAGTTGTTTTTCAAATGGCATTTATAAAGCCTAAATGTATAAATTCTATCCTAATTTGGCAAAACAATTTTTCTAAATTTATGAAACATAGGTCATTTTGTCAAGACTACTTTTTATTCTTCGCAACACACTGACTAAATGGACAACTGGAACTGCACCTAAGCCCAGTAAGCTGTGAAGCGGGAGCGACGGGGACACAATAATGAAATGCTGTAACTAGGAAATGTGAATTCAGTGCACTCACGTGACTGACGTGAGTCGCACTTTCGAGTGATCTGTGGGAATGAGAAAATTATCGGGGAAAATTGGGAACTGTGGGAAGAAAAGAAGATACGCATCTATGGGTTTTTTATAGAAAAAATAGTACTAAATATCGCGAGCTTTGTAAATGACAGGAAAATCCCGTACCTTCATTTGCAAAGCTATGAAAAAGTGACTAGCTTTCCTAACCTAACGATTTTTGCGCCAAAGATGGTCTGTCATATTCCGTACACACTGCACTTTAAATAAACCAATGAGCATATATACATATATGCTTATTGAATAAACCCATTCGACTAATGGGTTTAACCGTAAATATATACTACTACGGTTTAACCGTAAATATATACTACTACGGTTTACTTTAACATATGTCCAAGTTAAAGACTCGCATATCCAATACGAGGAAGGACCGATTGTCGACCTCGGATCTGTGTGCTACTAAACGGAATCTGCGGGCATGATAATGACCTGTCATAGCTCTTACACCTTAGCTCAGGGCAATCAATTATAATTTAGTTTAATACAACTGGGAAAGCAGCAGGTAACGCAAAAAATTGTACAAAACTTGAATCTTGTCCTGTGACCTGTTGGGAATTAAATTGTTGACCCATTTCTATTTTACCACGGCCTCATCAAATTCTGTTTTATTATTCAACACAGAAGTGATGTAAGTTCACCCGCGGAATCCAACCACTACTCGCCCTCAGTGGAATTCATCAAAAGAATCAGTTTGAACAGTTGCAGTCTTTACACCAGACTTTATGGCCTGAAGACCACACAATTTGTCCCCTGTTCCATCACAAACACAATTTGGCAAAACTGGTACAAAAAGAACTGTATTTCTACTCCATAAACTAAAAATTATGGACCGATGATGGCACAAATGATTTTAATAAACTGAATGGAACAAAATAAAAAAAATGATCAAAATTCATCATTTACATAAAACCTGTTGGACAAACTGTTGAACAACCCAAAAAAACTTTTTAGTACATGAACTATTCCCTGTTTCATCAAACAAGAAACGAGACTGGAAAAACCCTGAAACATTGATATATGAAAAGAATTGAGATGGAACATATGTGATAATGTACAAATCCATGTAGGATCAACATTTACTTCACAACAAAATTCCTACTCTGATAGTTTCAAATCCAAGTTTCATGGTGAACTACTACCCACAAGAATCTCAACTGCAAAGATGAACATAATAGCTCTTAGCATGCAAATGTGGATTTGCACCTCAGTACCTTTTCTACATTAATTTTGAAGGCCCTTGAGCTTGCAAATTTAGTAAATTGAATATATAATGACATCACTGCAAGCCCAATGTACAGGGCTTAGCTTGCTTTTTCAACAGTATAAAGAACAATTCAATATTAAAAAGTGCTTCAGATCTACTAAACCAATGTTCATACAAACTCACAAGAGCTGATAGGTGAATATTTTTAACATTGTGATAACAAGAAATAATGAAGTGTAAATCTGGAGCGCCAACTTATGCAGCAATATGAATGACATATTCGTTTATACAAATTCACTTCATTAATTTAGCAAAAAAGTACAGTCAATGGAAGTGCTGCAGTGGCTGTGTCACCATTTTATATGAAGCCACCAGCTCACATGATTTTCTAACAAGTAAACTCTGAAACTTTTGTATAAATTGATGATATATTGCAGGGAATCAGGGATAGCAAACCTTTTTTACTGAATGGGGAGCACGTTATATTTTTTTTGTGAAAAAGGATAATGTGGATCATGGATTTAATCAATTAGAAACTTGCTTTTTTATCATTTCCGCAAGTATAATAAACTTGGGTTATTATTGTGTGGTATTGAGCTTTACAAATCCAGTACTTATAGCACCGAACTAAGACAATTTCTAAGACTCAATTTTATGAAATTATTTATCACTGAAATGTTAGTACTTTTTCCGCATTAATTCTCGGCATATCACAAAAAAAACATACTGGTCAGAAGTTTGCTATCCCTGATATAATTCAAGCATATTGCAGGCAAATGATATTTTCTCACTGTACAATCTTATGGGTGATGAATAAAAGAATAGAAGAAGCATGGCGAATAAAAGACGTACTTCAGTCCCACAGCGACACAATTTGTCAGTTTATGCACAGATTGACATGGTGTGATAATGGGGTGCAGCTCATGTGCAACATATTCTGGGCTAGCTTATTAAAATTCAATTTTATCGGCCATTGTCGTTTTTTAAGGTTTGTCAATGGTGTTTTCACATGTAGTTTTCCAGTTCTTTCAAATCATCTTCCAAATCTTTTTGTGACCCGTTTCTATTGGCAGACACGCCAGGATGCAAAATGAGTTCATTTCCTAAAAAAATAAAAAACTATGTGACATAAATTCCCTAAAATCACATACCTGATATTTTTGATTCACGCAATAGCCAAGTTAGATGGATCATTATGAAGCAAAAATTCTTCAAATAAAAAAACACATTTGAGGCATAGACTTATTTCAACGATACCATCTAAACCAGGGGTGTGCAACCTGCGGCCCACAAGAACAAATTGTGCGGCCCGCGAGGAAGTGCCAATTTTGAATGGCGTGTGTCACGCGAAACCAGCTTCTAATTTAGTTCAATCTGGTACGTGCGAGTAATTCCTAATCCCTTTCCGTTGCAAGGCCTATATCCGAGTCCAATTTATTATATATGCCTATGACATTACAATGCCCTAACGACTAGCTTTTGCGAAGCGAACAACGCATGTCATAATATCAATAACCACTGGAAAGCCTAAATTAAATAATGGTGCGGCCCGCGGTTTCACAGAGTTATTTGTATCTGGCCTCATGTAGTAAAGGTTGCACACCCCTGATCTAAATTATGCTTTATCGCTCCGGACTACGGTTATTAAACTTACGGTACTTTCTATATGTATATTATCCATAAGAATATTACTATAATCTATCTAGTCAATTTAATGAAATGCAAATCATTACCTGTAATATTTCCGCTTCCAGAAACTGCTGGCATATCCTAAACAAATAAAAAAAATAATTAAAACTACTGTATAAAAAATAAAGTTTTGAATATTTCCTATAGTTTTTATACTCACAACTCTGGGGGGCATAATATCAGGAGAAGTGCTGAACAACTGTAAAAATGTAAAGAAAAAAATTAACAAGTGATGATGCTGCTGTATGTGAGCATCAATGGAAACGCCAGTGGATGTTTCTTCATATATTAAATGCCAAACATTATTTTTCACAAATAAATTTCGAGAAAAAAAACTTGAAAATTTCAGTACCAACCTCTTGAATTAATCCATAATCCAATTGTACTTGGTCATTATTAAATAAAAGATCTTGAATATTTTCTAAATTGTTTTGCACAGAGTCCACATGTGATGAGAGATCACCCCTGTAAGATGTTTTTATGAATGGAAAATCTCTGTATGTGATGATAGAATAAAATAAAATTTGAAATTCAGAATGTGCACATTTCAAGGTATTATAACAATGACTACAAATTTTATTGTTGAATACCTTCATTCAATGAAAAAGCATGTTAGTCTTATACTGAGTAATAATTTTGAAGAAGTGAAAAAGGTATCTGCAAAAAAATTTGGCAATAGTATATATCTTAACACTCACGGTAACAATTTTGGACTCCGAGGCGGTGAGTATCGAGTCAAAGTATTCTGTGCGTTGGTTATAGGACTTTGTATTCTTGATTGTTGTGGAGGGGAATAATATGCAGGTTGCTGTTGGTTGGATGTGGATGACTGTGAATTGACAAGTAGAATAAAATTCAATTTAGGAAATCCTTGCATCCTTGATTGTCTTGTTCCCCATAACCAATAAAATCCATGGTGTTTTGTAGATCAAATCTTTAGTATACTTGCAAGAATTTGTTAAAAACGAGACTTGTTCAATTCTTTGACTGTAGCACAATAATTCTTTTATTTGCTGGCTTTTATTATTATTAAACGTGGAAAAACTGATGGCAACGCCAACATGTTAAACTGTATTTTTATAGATGAACAAGAGGTCACAAGAATTTAGAGCCCACATAAAATATTGATAGTCATGAAAAACTATACCTGTGTAGTACTAATGGCAACTTGGTTTCCCCCGAATGCAGCTGCTGGGTTGATGAGACCACCAAAATTATCATCTTCTTCTTCATCAGGAAAAGTAACTGTGCCAGATGGTTGAACAACGGTACTTGGTGTGTTCAATGTTGATTCAATGTATTGGTTGACATCATATGCAGGGTTGGGTGGAACAGGGTTACGTGCTGAAAGGCAAAAATGTGTTGTATACATTATACTTGGCTCTATTGGCATCATAACCTACACATCTCGTGTTCAAATCAAAGCCTAATCAAACGTATCCAGGTTTTTCTAAAAAAAATAGATAATAGCTCCTATATATCAGTGCTTGAAGAGAGCCTTGTTCGAAGCTCCAGTGCTTATTCCACTATCAAGTCCATGCATCTGGAATAAATAACTGGTTAACTAATAAAGCCCTGATTTACCTCTGGGTGAAGTGGTATTTCGGCTTTCCCCCAGGATAAAAAATATGAAAATCCTACACCTCAACAAGTCAAACCATACTGAAAAGATAATTTTATATTAGATAACATAGTACCTTGTGCACTTGATAGTGTAGAGTTGACAAACACTGGATCATGCATCTGTAGGGCTGCTGTATTCATATCACTGGCACCAGAGTAAGATGACATACCTTGCGGTGTAGTTACTTCTGTTATGTACGGACCAGAGCCCATAGCAACAACCTAGAAAATAATCACCAGTCAATCATGTGTCTGGGATCAGTTAGCCAGTTATTTTGTTTTCCGATGCATGGACTTCATGGTGGAGGAAGATGTGACAGACCAGCGGTTACGTAAACCACCCTACGGCGACGAAGAGTCAAGCAATCTTCTCGCACATAATTCGAACCTGCGAACCCACGCAAAGTAATCAGAGGTGCTGTGGCAAGCATATTCCTAACACTTAGCAAGGTGCGCCACACAGCCGAGTTACTTTGATCCACCGTATTTATGTAGTTATACGATCAAACTAGTATGCGAAAATTATCAGAGTCACAACCAAATAACCAACTAAGGACTCATATGTTGGAATATGAAATATTGGATATAGGCTGCACGGTGACAAAACATGTAGAAGTGGATGTATATTTAACAAATTCGAATCTGGTAATGCAGGTGGTAAGTTATTTAGATAAATATGGATTTGAATTTTCTAGTTGAAAGCAAAATTACATACTCAAACTCAAACAAAAATCCGCGAGTGTTGAGACTGAGAGTCTTTGGAAACAGTTCATGAAAGTTTGAGAATTAATCACCTATATATATATAAATATAAACGCCACCATATAACAAGAAACTAACATTATTGTCTTGAGGTTCCATCACACTGGCGGGAAATGAAACAGTTGGTTTCGTAGGTTCTTCCAGTGCTAACTGACCATCATTAGCATTGTCATCATCACTGACAAGAAGGGGTTTCTGATATTTCTTCGCAGGAACATAATTAGAAGAGCCTGACGAGCCATCTTCAATCATTAAAGGCCTGAATATAAATAAATTCGTGAAAAGGAGTATGTTATATATTATATGATGTGATACCGCTAGGTGGCGCACTGGCGCTATTGACCCTCACTGTATTTGACCTTGTATATCCGAGGTTAGGGTTCTCTTCATTGTGTGCCTGTTTAAGTATTGACTTGCTGTTTAGTCTGTTACTGCTATGGTGTCTTACATGTCTTAATGTTGAGATGCTTGACTCTTACAATAAAGTAGTGTTGTAATGGAAACTTGATGCTTGTTTATAAATATCTAAAGCAGGGGTCTCCAACATTCGGCCTGACTATGAAAGTTAGCAAATCAGCCCTCCGCACACGACTAACGGACGAGCATTTGCATGTTGTCTTAAGTCTAGCAAACCAACAAAGAATAAGGCCAAACATCGAGACCAAATATCGGGCACAGGTGAATGAACATGCTTCATGTCTCGTTTGCTGTAAGATTTAAGTGTAATTTCAACACAATACATTCAGATACCCATTTTTGTACCTAATTTCTTGGTTTGCTCTTGGAGTGGTCAACAAATTTCAAAAAGTGGCCCACGACATGTTTTGAGTTGGAGACCCCTGATTTAAAGGCAGAATACATTACAGAGTATGTCTAGTTAAATTATTGTATTATCCTCAAAAAATTTGCACATTATGCAAAACAATTTTATTTCTGACAAAATTGTTTAAAAAAAATCAATCTACTAGTATCAAAAAGGGTTTTTCTCTTTATCCAATTTTAAGTACATATCACACATAAATCAAAGCAAATTCAAAATTATTATGAGAGTTATGATAAAGGCAAAAGCAAGACAACCTATGTTTTCTGTTTAATCAAAATATCAAGGTTTAATCAAAATATCAAGAATACTTACAGTTTCCTTTTTACTCCTATACCATGCTGGTGAACCAAGTTTACCAAGAACTGTATAAGCTGAAATGAAGGACGAAAAAATATGAAAAAACAATTGAATTGATATACAAATACAATATTTCAAAGGAACTTTGAAGACAATATGTTTGTTAAATATATCAGATTCAAACCATACAAATGGTTGTTACTGTACAAATAATAAGGTATCATCATTATTTATTCTCATGTAACCAGTGAGATCAATTAAAAAAAGCAAATAAGCAAAATAGTAACTGTCAGTAAAATTTAGAGGAGACTAACTCCCAATGCCCTTTTGCTAGTGGATCCGTATGCGTATAATGCAAGGATGCTGTATCAGGAATAAACATGGCCATACTATGCAATTCAAGAGTCATGCCACACTAACACAAATATATTTCTGTAATGCATTGTTGTAAAGTGCTTGTATGAGAAAGTCTGATTTTGGTCAGACGAAACAATGTTAGAGAAATACATTTGTGTTAGTGTGCAGCAGGACTCTTGAATTGCATAGCAAAGCAATATTTTGTTCCTATTTTTCTAACATAGGAATTAAAATTAAATTTTCTAGATTTTAAACTGATTCAGGATCATTTAAAATGACCTATCAATTCTTCATATGTAAATTTGAATAAATGTGAACTTGGTTCTTTACAGATTTAAATGCATCTTCTAATATAATTCAAAATATTAGGTGAAAAACCTAGAAATATTCGGGTATTTATTTTCCTTCATTATCTAACAAAATTTGAAAATCCTAAATTTATCGTTATTGAATACTTTAATCACCTTATTGACAACTTTCTGTTGATGTGAATGCTTATGACGTAGATTAACAACCTCTCGCCACAAATCTTCATTCTCTCTGAAAAATAAATTAAACAAATTAATTTGTTCCCATTAATAAATTTAAAAAATTATTTTTGGAAAATCATTAAAAGGTGTTAAAGTTATTGGGTGGCTTTTTATTAAAAAACATTGCGAATATAATAACTGATGGAAGCCTGTTAAGAACAAAACTAGGTTTTTTATTGAAGAGCAGGGTGCCACAAAGTAATGAAAGTCTTCGGAATAGGGCCACAGATCATATAAGTTAGAGAAGGACAGTCCTAGTGTTGAAAAACAACTAGGTAGGGGGCCAAACAAAACTAGGCAGGGGGCCACAAAGTGATGAAAGTCTTCAGAGGAGGGCCACAGATCATATAAGTTGGAGAAGAACTAACCTAGAATATATAAGTTAGAGAAGCAATGTCTTAGAATATATATACATACTGCTTCAATTCTGATAGCTGCGAAGTTATGTTTTCTTGGTAGCCTTTCATTTGTTTAACATCATCGAGTACTTTGGTAACATCTTCATTGTTACGGCGATTTGATTCTTCTGGTTTGGGTACCTGAATACAAAAACAAGATAACTACAGGCTCAAATTCAAAGTATTGCCAAAATAGGGAAGAACATATATGAATAGATTGGTATTCTACAACTTCGTCTTCATCTAATTTGAATAGAATTAAGTTCTTGCATATTCAAATCAGCAGCCTAATAAAAGAGGCCATGCCTTAAATGTAATGTAATCATGTTAACAAGATTTAGTCCAAGAGCACAAAAATTGTTAATTGTGAATATTCATGCATGCATTCATGAGTTCTTATATTATAAAACTGGTTTTGAAAGCGTTTACATTTCCATTAATGTAGATTGTAAAAATATGTAAATTAAAAATAATGTGTCACTACAAACATGGTTGATAATGCCCCTAGTAATATGGTATATCGCTTCACAGTAATTACCTGATAATATATTGACATCGCTGAAAAGACATTGTAAGGTTGAAATAGCTAATCCCGCAAAACCTCAATTAATAAGGTAGACTATAGTGATATAAACAATAAATTAATTCAAATAATTGAATAGATAAATACCTTTCTCTTAATATGTTCCAGAAATACTTCTTCACCACGAATGAACAAATAATGGTAAAACTCAATCTCCTCCTTTTCATTGTTCAAACCACTCTGTGTTAATGATGTGATCTTGCGAAATCCATCTGAAAGATAATTAAAATTGATTACTTCAATATTTTTTTATAGATATCATTTTTTTACCAACAATTCCATAAAGTGTATACTGGAAAAACAAAAATTGTCAATAATCACCGGGGCTGAAGAAATTTACAATTGCTGTGTTGAAAAAATCATGACTGTGACTTGAAAAACATTCTCCCACGCCAAGCTGATGCAAATTTTGTCTCAAACTCTACCTTCGAACTCTCCCAGAACATTAAATTCAGACAGTAAAAAGTTTTGCGTATGCCAGACTCTTTAACAAACTGTTAGTCATGCTTAGTCAACAATAATTATTCCAAAATTCTGTACAAATTTTGATTTTCATTTTTACCATGAAAACTTGAAATATACTCACACATATTCAATTGTCTGACGAAACTTGCAAACTTATTATGTTTGAAATATTTAGGTAGAACAATTTTTGAAAACTGTACTTGATCTTTCACAATGAAAGATGTTCCTGCCTGAAAAAAAAATTAGATTAATCTATTCAGTCTGAAATTGAAATTTCAGAGACAAGACTTTCAATGGCAACACTGGGTGCTATTCAGCCAGTCCACAAGTACCAAGTTGCAGGCCAAGAGTCTTGATCTCAACAGACACATGATTGAGTCATTAACCCCAGAGTATGAGCTAATTTTAACACTTGAGTCTCAAGTCAAAACGAGTCACTCCAATCATGAGTCACAATTTTTTTCTTTATTTCGAAGACACCCCAAACAATTTCTCAGAGTTTCAAGTCATGTTTCTCTTATGGTTAGTCGCATCATTTAGGTTTGATGACAACTGCCAAATGTCCCAGTTTTTGAAAAACATGAGTTGAGTCCAACATCCCCGTAAAAGTATTTTCAGGTCAAATGGGAAAATATGTGATGATGTGGGATGTAAGGCTTAGTGAAAATACAATGAAATAACTTTGTAGGCAATCAGTAAATATTCATAAAGCTTACAGAGGATAACTAACTGATTTAATGCTGTGATTATGTAATACATTTCACCCCTAATAGCAAAAATATACTAATTTATAATAATATGAGATAAGTTTATTAAACGATTGAATTACCAAATTCTGAAATTATTTAATGCAATTATACAAATGTTACAATGTAAACATTTCTAATTCCACATTATTAAATATATAATCACACAAATCTAGACTACCTCATTCCAGTCCACATATTCGTGATTTGATTCATCTTTCAACATATTAACAAGTTTCAATAAAAATGTCGGAATATTTGAAGTTGTGGGATTTTCCATTACAGCAACAGGAGCATTAGTAGTCTCCATTTTTTAATTTGCAGTGCTAATTCTTCAAATATATAGTCTATATGGTATTTATTTACTCACATTCTTAAATACAAATAACAATAGCTCAAGTAACGAGATAAATAACCAACCAGCATGTGGATATATTGGTTTTATAGTAATACTGTAATAAATACCTCATTTAGGATAGGATTTACATATTTATCCTGGGGGAGAGGAAAGCCGATAAGACGACTTAATCATATGGCGAACCACGGCCTCACGTCCCAGTCTGGATTTCATGGCCTTTTTGAACGAGAAATCGGGCGTGCAATCAGAAATTCCCGCGTGCAAATAAGAATTCCTGGCGTGCAATTATAGCTCACGACGTGCAAAACAACTGCACTCGCGTGCAACTGACTTTGACATCAGATACCTCTCAATACATCCGCGTAAAATTACCGGTATCGGATAAAAAATACGTTGAATCAGAGAAAAATGGACGTTTGACCTTTGACCCCAAACATTATTTCTACAGTTTGTCGCTAATTTTGAGAGTGTTTGTGCGACTTTGGATACCGGTACTGTTCAGTACATTCGTGTAAAATTATTGTATAAAAAATACGCTGAATCAGAGCCGTACTTGGCCATTGGTGCGGAGGCGATCTTTTCGTCCATAACTATTTTCACGGGATTCCTATTTCCTATCATTCAACACGATATGGACCTTTCCCCGAGCATCGACTTCCTTGTTTACTTCGTGACATTGGCCAATCAGCAAGATGCAAAAAAGGACGTAACAATGAGAGGAATTTTTCGCGGGTCAAAGGTTGGGGAAAGGTCCATGGTCTTTTTGCTTCGCAATATTTCGATCAGACCAAATCTTGCAAGCTGGTATTTGTCGACAATTGTGGAGTTATAATATTTTGGCATCTTTATATTACTGGATTATTGATTTTAAAACCATTTAAACCGATTTACATTGGTGAGCAATTGCAAATTTTCGGCGTGCAAGATTGATTTCGCTCGCGTGCATTTTTGCGGAGCGCTAGCGCCCTCGGGCGTGCACCTGCCATGGAATCCAGTCTGGCTCACGTCCAGGTCGGGTACCTATGGGATTAGTTAGCCAGTTATTTTGTTTTCAGAAGCATGGACATGATGGTGGTGGAACCCGTAACCGACCAGCAGTTACGTGGACCACCCTACGGCGGCGACGAGTCCAGCAATCCTCTCGCACATCTTTCATGGGCTTTGAACCTGCGAACCCCCCCAAGGCAGTGGTGGGATTTAAATTTTGTGTCAGCCGGTTCTATCATACAGTCATACAAATGTCATATTTTCAGGCGGTTCTGTTACAAAAAGTCATGTAATGCTAACCGGTTCGCTGATCTCATAAAATTCCGTGAGACGGTCCTACACTACCGTTACTGCCTGCACCAAGTAATCAGAGATGCGGTGGCGAGCGGATTCCTAACGCTTAGCACGATGCGCCACACCGCCGAGCCATCCTATCCTATCCTGATCGAGCCTATTGCATTGTCTGTGATTGTTGATAAACATATCTCCACATTCGAGCCTGCTTGGGCCCAAATGTTTGTAACGGATAGCGACATCATATCTGCACTGTCCGAACACTCGTCTTATAGAATTTCCTCTCCATAAATATCAAAATTTTATCTCTTATTAAAATAGCAGAAACGCGAGATCACCACAAACTGGCCAATATAGACCACTGTGAAGCTAGCAGCATTTTCAGCCAGAATATTTTTACATATTGAATATAGTTTCCACGCGCATATAATGTTCACTTATAGTTACATATAAAGATTGAAAAGGTTGATAAAGTATAATTTCACCACGGAAATACATGAAAAAATCTCTAAACTGGATGAATACAACGAATTTGACTAAAAAATAGTGTCAGATGAACATTACAATCCGAAGAAGAGGGAGTTGATTTAGTTATTTTAAATTAAAGATACAGTTGTGGGCAAAGTCAAATGAATTTCAACAAAACCTTGGAATTATGTGAATTATTCGATTGAATTTTGATGATCTGTCGCAAAATTGACGTAACTCGTATTTAGCGATTTTGGTGATTTTCAAAGCCCAGCAGCAAGTTGTCCGGTCAAGAGGCGGTTGATTTTATTATTTTAAATTAAAGATATAGTAATATAGATTGTAAGCAAAGTCGAATGAATTTCAACAAAAACTTATAAACTTTTGAATTTTTCGATTGAGTTTTGATAATCTGACGCAAAATTGACGTGACTCGTATTTAGCGATTTTCAAAGCCCATCAGCATGTTGTTCCGGTCAAGAGGCGGTTGATTTTATTATTTTAAATTAAAGATATAGTCATATAGATTGTAAGCAAAGTCGAATGAATTTCAACAAAAACTTATAAACTTTTGAATTTTTCGATTGAGTTTTGATAATCTGACGCAAAATTGACGTAACTCGTATTTAGCGATTTTGGTGATTTTCAAAGCCCAGCAGCAAGTTGTACCGGTCAAGAGGCGGTTGATTTTATTATTTTAAATTAAAGATATAGTCATATAGATTGTAAGCAAAGTCGAATGAATTTCAACAAAAACTTATAAACTTTTGAATTTTTCGATTAATCTGACGCAAAATTGACGTAACTCGTATTTAGCGATTTTGGTGATTTTCAAAGCCCAGCAGCAAGTTGTTCCGGTCAAGAGGCGGTTGATTTTATTATTTTAAATTAAAGATATAGTCATATAGATTGTAAGCAAAGTCGAATGAATTTCAACAAAAACTTATAAACTTTTGAATTTTTCGATTGAGTTTTGATAATCTGACGCAAAATTGACGTAACTCGTATTTAGCGATTTTGGTGATTTTCAAAGCCCAGCAGCAAGTTGTTCCGGTCAAGAGGCGGTTGATTTTATTATTTTAAATTAAAGATATAGTCATATAGATTGTAAGCAAAGTCGAATGAATTTCAACAAAAACTTATAAACTTTTGAATTTTTCGATTGAGTTTTGATAATCTGACGCAAAATTGACGTAACTCGTATTTAGCGATTTTGGTGATTTTCAAAGCCCAGCAGCAAGTTGTACCGGTCAAGAGGCGGTTGATTTTATTATTTTAAATTAAAGATATAGTCATATAGATTGTAAGCAAAGTCGAATGAATTTCAACAAAAACTTATAAACTTTTGAATTTTTCGATTAATCTGACGCAAAATTGACGTAACTCGTATTTAGCGATTTTGGTGATTTTCAAAGCCCAGCAGCAAGTTGTTCCGGTCAAGAGGCGGTTGATTTTATTATTTTAAATTAAAGATATAGTCATATAGATTGTAAGCAAAGTCGAATGAATTTCAACAAAAACTTATAAACTTTTGAATTTTTCGATTGAGTTTTGATAATCTGACGCAAAATTGACGTAACTCGTATTTAGCGATTTGGATGATTTTCAAAGCCCAGCAGCAAGTTGTACCGGTCAAGAGGCGGTTGATTTTATTATTTTAAATTAAAGATATAGTCATATAGATTGTAAGCAAAGTCGAATGAATTTCAACAAAAACTTATAAACTTTTGAATTTTTCGATTGAGTTTTGATAATCTGACGCAAAATTGACGTAACTCGTATTTAGCGATTTGGATGATTTTCAAAGCCCAGCAGCATCTTGTCCGGTCAAGAGGCTGTTGAAATTAAAGATATAGTCATATAGATTGTAAGCAAAGTCGAATGAATTTCAACAAAAACTTATAAACTTTTGAATTTTTCGATTGAGTTTTGATAATCTGACGCAAAATTGACGTAACTCGTATTTAGCGATTTTGGTGATTTTCAAAGCCCAGCAGCAAGTTGTTCCGGTCAAGAGGCGGTTGATTTTATTATTTTAAATTAAAGATATAGTCATATAGATTGTAAGCAAAGTCGAATGAATTTCAACAAAAACTTATAAACTTTTGAATTTTTCGATTGAGTTTTGATAATCTGACGCAAAATTGACGTAACTCGTATTTAGCGATTTTGGTGATTTTCAAAGCCCAGCAGCAAGTTGTACCGGTCAAGAGGCGGTTGATTTTATTATTTTAAATTAAAGATATAGTCATATAGATTGTAAGCAAAGTCGAATGAATTTCAACAAAAACTTATAAACTTTTGAATTTTTCGATTGAGTTTTGATAATCTGACGCAAAATTGACGTAACTCGTATTTAGCGATTTGGATGATTTTCAAAGCCCAGCAGCATCTTGTCCGGTCAAGAGGCTGTTGAAATTAAAGATATAGTCATATAGATTGTAAGCAAAGTCGAATGAATTTCAACAAAAACTTATAAACTTTTGAATTTTTCGATTGAGTTTGATAATCTGACGCAAAATTGACGTAACTCGTATTTAGCGATTTGGATGATTTTCAAAGCCCAGCAGCAAGTTGTACCGGTCAAGAGGCGGTTGATTTTATTATTTTAAATTAAAGATATAGTCATATAGATTGTAAGCAAAGTCGAATGAATTTCAACAAAAACTTATAAACTTTTGAATTTTTCGATTGAGTTAATCTGACGCAAAATTGACGTAACTCGTATTTAGCGATTTTGGTGATTTTCAAAGCCCAGCAGCAAGTTGTTCCGGTCAAGAGGCGGTTGATTTTATTATTTTAAATTAAAGATATAGTCATATAGATTGTAAGCAAAGTCGAATGAATTTCAACAAAAACTTATAAACTTTTGAATTTTTCGATTGAGTTTTGATAATCTGACGCAAAATTGACGTAACTCGTATTTAGCGATTTTGGTGATTTTCAAAGCCCAGCAGCAAGTTGTACCGGTCAAGAGGCGGTTGATTTTATTATTTTAAATTAAAGATATAGTCATATAGATTGTAAGCAAAGTCGAATGAATTTCAACAAAAACTTATAAACTTTTGAATTTTTCGATTGAGTTTTGATAATCTGACGCAAAATTGACGTAACTCGTATTTAGCGATTTTGGTGATTTTCAAAGCCCAGCAGCAAGTTGTTCCGGTCAAGAGGCGGTTGATTTTATTATTTTAAATTAAAGATATAGTCATATAGATTGTAAGCAAAGTCGAATGAATTTCAACAAAAACTTATAAACTTTTGAATTTTTCGATTGAGTTTTGATA